AATAATATAATTTAAAAATACCTTCCAATGACTGTGAGTCAGTTAAGTCAACTACATAGGTGAGTCAAACTAGTAGATGAGGAGTGTAGCAGTGAGATCATCAGAAAATAAGAATTTAACTAAGGTTAGAATAATTTATGACGCGAAGAGAAGTAATTTAGAAAAAAACGATTCAACGATTGCACTGCATGCATTAACAGACAAACAGACAATAGGGTGGGTGAGAGAGGGTTGAAATTCTAAAAAGTAATCTAGGTAGGTGGAGTTAGAGAGACGATTGAATACTAAATCCTTGTTCATCGAGTTTACACCCAACACATATAACAGAAATGACTCAATGCAAATACCAGAGATATGCATGGAAGATATTATTACCACCAGTCAGTCAATTCAGAGGAGAATAATAAATAATCTTAAAATTAAATTTCAATTCACATACATTATGACATTTTAAAAAGTTATTTATTTATTTTACTATAAAACCATCTGATTGTGTTTGATTGATAACACTTATGGTGGAGCTACGTGGCCTGAGTTCACCAAATGCTCGAGAATTGAGCTAGTAATTGTCTTGTATTGTCCCTTTGCTAACCATGCCGGATAATGTTCAGAGATGCGTTTGGAAAGCGTGCGCTTTGTGCGGCCAATATAACTTGCTCCACATGCTCGTGTGGAGCAAGTTATATTGGCCGCACAAAGCGCACGCTTTCCAAACGCATCTCTGAACATTATCCGGCATGGTTAGCAAAGGGACAATACAAGACAATTACTAGCTCAATTCTCGAGCATTTGGTGAACTCAGGCCACGTAGCTCCACCAGAGTCGTCTTTCAACATCATCGATAACACTTATATTATTATTTCTGAATATACATTATCTTATATTGATGTTTATTCAAATATCTAATCATCAATTCTTACTCATGTATATAAATGAAGCAAGAAAGTTGTGTGAGTGAGTGAGTGACTTGATATGATGATTATGAGTGGCATTAATTCGTGCGCGACATTTGCTCATCAATAAATATTACTGTATAGCAGTGTGTGATTTTTATCAAAATGAAATGTTGTCTTTAATGGAGTTATGCTCTACCCCAGTCTGTCTGTTTTTGACATAGAACTCTGCACCGATGTGCAACAGTTCAAGTTTCCACATTCCCTCCGTGTAGCACACAAAACAACAAAAGAAATGCATAGCAGAGACAGTAAACACAGGTGTGAAACAAAGGAATAGTAATAACGAAGAACTATATAGTTTCATTGGAAATCATAAGTCACAAGGAGTGGATGGATGCATCTGCACCAGCCATTGCATCCGCAATGCCCAAGTTTTATACTTATATCATGGTACCACCTGGATTCTCGAAGTTTTTACACTTTCGATTGTTAAGCATAGTTGAGGTAATCGCCTCAAAAACATTTCAGGACAGTCTATGTGTTCAGAAAAGGTTTGTTCAATCCCCCTGCCTTTCATGGCATTCAACCACTACACAAAATAGTTATCTCTCCCGATGACACCAGATAACTCTAAATTTAATTTCATTATTCATTATTACTATCATCATTCTACTTGCTTTTATTGACCCACATTATATATATGACTGATATTTTATTGTGTATAGCCTGATGAGAAGTTAGGCCCGAAAATACATATCTGGTTGATTAAATCACGTTCTATGCACGATACTTTTTTGTAAGGACAAATTGAATTCGTACAAAATTTGACTAAATTCAGTATGTACATTTCGGTACTAACGAGCATCTATCAGAGAATTATTGTGACTGACTGATTTCAACATAGAACTTCGCACCGATGTGCATCAGTTCGAGTCGCCACACCTCATTTAAATAGCACACAAAACCAGAGAAGAAAGTATAAAGAAAGGCAAAATAGATATATTAAACAGAGATATGCGGCAAAAAAGAATAGTAATAGAATATTAGAATTTTATTGGAAATTATAAGTCACACGGCAATGGATTCATCTGCGGCAGTCATTGAGAGCGATTTTCAGCCATATCACCAATTGTCTCTAGCCTTCATGGTGTTTACCGTCCCGAGGACCAAAACCAGGAAATCTACATCTTCCTACGGGGATTAAACTAACTGTTGTAGATTTCATTGACAGTTGAAGGCATGTTTTGGTTTGACCACCAATAGCCAACTCTTTTCCAATCTCACCCTGTGTCAGCTTACACTGCCCGACGAGGAAGGCGATGGCTAGGCACACATTCGTAACAAATATCCGAACTATCTCAATCGAGGTAGCGTTACAGCCTCGTCGATTGATTTACCCTTTCATTTTCCACTTACAAAAGGAGAATTATTGTATTTTCCTGGGCAACTGCTCCGGGGTTCTTCGACACTCTAAAGCAGTGACTTAAAGAAGACATGCTCAGTGTGAATCGAATTTTTAACAACGGCTTTGTTTAGCTATGGTCTGTATATCGCAAAATAGCAGAAGGTAGAATTCACGAGATATTGGATTCTAAAAAGTGGCGGGTGATGGTCGTGAATGGTAAAGAGACTTGTTTTCTGTCAGTTCTACATTTGTTCCCTAGTTCAGTCTGCACTATTGAAGATTCCAAACTAGAATGAAGCAGCTGGATAGTGCCCATAGTCTGCAGTGATTCCATAGCATACATCGTTTCTTGACGAGATGTCCATATTGATTTAGTTAAAGATGTGTAAAGCAGAAGAAAACGATGGATCCCACTGAAAACATAATGCCAACGACATTTCAATCGATGTCATTAAGAGTAGATGGTCAATTTCATCCAGAGAAAGATTATGAAATGCAAATACATCACTTATTTTATTTTGATTCTTTTAAGTTATAAACAGAATATAAGACATCAAATTTAGACTGAGAACTTTGATTAGCAGTGACGTCTTTCTATTACGCAATGGGAATAATTTCATTGACTTAGAATATGCAGACGATATAGTCCTTCTAGGCGAGGACGCTGACAAAATACAAGCACAGTCTTCTGAACACCTTGAGCTGCAATCTACGAATGTTTGGGATGCGATTCGCTACCGCCAAATGCAACATGATGTTACAGGACTGAACTGGACTACACCGACTCCTAGATTAGAAATAGGAAGTGAAGTGGTAGAACACGTTGACCGCTTCACTTATTTGGGAAGTACCATCAGCGAGTGACAACGGGTTGATCTCTGACTAAATCTCAATACGGATACACGGGGCTCGTTTCGGATTTTCCAGTTTACGCCGTCTCTGGCGTAGACGTGATATCCGGCTGGCTATCGACCAAAGAGGGAATGTACTGCTCATCAGTCCGCTCCGTCCTCCTTTACGGCTGGCTGTGAGACCTGGCTACTGAGAGTGGAAGACATGAAAAGATTAGCTGGCTGTCTTTGATCATAGGTGCCTGAGTTCTATCTCCTGTGTGAAGTGGAATAATAAGGTGAGCAATATTGAGGTTAGGCGTTGAGTTCTAGGTAAGAAGGGGAAATCAATCGACGAAGTTGTGAAGTTACAAAGACTGAGATGGTTAGGACATGTGTTACGCATGTGTGGCCTAGTCATCGCCTTCCTCGACGAGCAATGTTAGCGGATATAGGGTGAGGCTGGAGAAGAGCTAGCGGAGGTCAAACCAAAACATGGCTTCACCAGTCAATGAAATCCACAACAATTAGTTCAAGATAGCCACGTAAGAAGGTGTAGACTTCTTGACTGGTTGAGGTCCTCGGGACGGTAAAAACCAATGGTTGGAAACAATTGGTGACATGGCTCAAAATCGTTGTCAATGGCTGGCGCAGATGCATCCTCTCCTTGTGACTTATGATTTCCAATGAAACTATATTGTTCTTTGTTATTACTATTCCTTTGTTTCAGACCTCTGTTTACTGTCTCTATTATGCTTTTCTTGTACTTTCTTCTCTTTCTTTGTGTGCTACATGGAGTGTGGCGACTTGAATTAGTGCAAAGTTCTATGTCGAAAACAGACACACTGTAAAAAGACATGATATATATTCTTTGGTACTCGTGCATTTAGATAATCATGGACGCCAATTCGATTGAGATAATGTCGAAATTTTAAACAGAGAAAAAACACCAAAAGTGCAGTCAGAGAATTCCTAGAAACCTGGTTGGTACTCAAGTGAATCAGCCAGCGATTAACAAACACGGTAATACAGACCAAATTTACCAACTAATAAAAAAGTAAGTTATGTAACGAGAATATTTCAAATCCAAGTCAATAGAATATGATCAGTAGATATGTGAATCGACTACCACCAGTCACGAAGAAAGTCGCCAGGAGACACAATTCTATCTATCATTCATGCAGGGAGAATTCGAAATCAGTTCATTTTATGCTAAGAATAGACGGGGGGACGACGACGAAAGCCTCGCGATAAAAACAACCAGCTAGCTTCTCAGAGAACTCAACTAATTCCAAATCATACACCTGAGGTACAAAAATCTTTTATATTTTTGTTTCTCAATAACACTAATTCATTCATTCATTCATTCACTATTATGGATGAAGAATATATACATATAACTGTAGAACCTGATGACGAAGAGCAGGTTATCGAAAAGGATACTCTATGTTCAGTTGATGAATCAGTCTTTTGAAAAAGAAATAAGAATGAGTGTAATTATAATCACGATTTTAATTATTTAATTTATAATACATTTATGATATAAACGAGTCAACAGTAATAACAATAATAATATTAACAATAATAACAACAGTAATAAATGCTATATACATACACTCTAATCAAGTTGAAGAATGATGACTACGTACAGAAATAGGCATTGCAAAGATGTTTGTCATCAGTTAAAGTTTCCTGTGAGTAAAACACACAGAGAAAAAAAGGAATCCTCACTCCGTCCACGCCGATGGCTTAGAGAGGTTGGGAGGAGGTGGGAGGCTTAATAAACTACGACGATTAACGATGACTGGCTAAAGTGTTGTTCAACTTGTCAATTTTGACACATTAATATTACCATGTATTCCGTATTTATTACTTGTCTTTATTATTATTATTATTAATAGTAGTAGTAGTAGTGGTAGTATTACTCTCTTCGTGAAGAATAGAGTTCAATGTCTGAAGAATATCATCTGGGATCTGAAAATACACAGAAACGAAATAAAAATGAAAAAAAATATTTGTGATTTATTCGAAAACAAATAATAATAATAATTAAAACGGTCCAATCAATAAAAACGCCCCAAAACGCGCCCAATAATACCAACAGCGGAAGCAGAACTACCACCAGTGGACATCAACCCTCTGACAAGAACAGAAATCCTGAAGGAAATCAAGATGCTAAAAGCTGGAAAAGCAACAGGACCAGACAGAATCCAAGCAGAGGCATTGATAATAGACTCAGAGACATCCGCGGACTTGATGACATTACTACTGGATAAGGTGTGGGAAGAGGGCAAGGTACCTGCGGATTGGAGGAAAGGCTACTTATTCAAACTGCAAAGAAAAGAGACTTAAGTCAATGCAAGAACGCGGCGAGCGGAATTTTCCTTCCGTCCATCCGAAACAAAATACTAAGCCGCACCATCCTGGAGAGAATCAAACACGCTAACCTGCATGGAAAACGCCGACCGGAACAAGCTGGATCCGGGAGGAACAAATCATGTATTGATCAAATTACCACACTACGGATCATCAGTGAACAAAGCATGGAATGGCAGTCACCTCTTTATCTCAACTTCATCGACTTTGAAAATGCCATCGACAGCGTCAATCGACAGGTGATTTGGCAACTAGTTCGCTACTACGGGGTCCCATCGACAATTATACATCTCATCCAACAGTTATACGACAATGCTGCATCCCAAGTAATCCACGACGGGAAACTCACAGAATCTTCCGAATTGAAGACAGGAGTAAGACAAGCTGGCTGGACTATTTATCGTCTGCATATTCTAAGTCAACAAGATTACTCCCTGGTAGTAAGTCAATCCCAGAGTCTCTGAAGTGAGCTAGGGTTAAATCCATTAGCACATCTATGATGAAGTTGAATAGAAATGGGGATAATGGGCATCCCTGACGGACATCACTAGTCGTCACCACTTCGGATGACAACTCGCCATAAGCCCTCACTTGGCTGGCTGCATCAGTTCGAGTAGAGTGAGAGCCTTGATCAGTGCAATGTATTTTCTCGACATTCCCTTTACAGCCAACCATCGCCAGAGAACCTCTCGGTCGACAGAATCGAATTCCGCCTCCAGGTAGGTCAAGAAATATAATGACTGTTGGGCGCCGGTAGGAATTCCTATGTTCTAGAATCTGTCGAAGAGTGATGATATATAAAGGATATCTCAGAAATCACTGAAAGACTCTTCAAACCTTTAGGAATTGACGTCACACACAAACCAACAAAATCGCTTCACTTGGCTGGCTCTATATCAACCAAAAAGACTCAACAACGAAAGAAGATAAAACCAACATCATCATCTACAAAATATGTTACAACAACTGTGAAAAACTGGACGTCCCCTTAGTGTTCGTATCCACGAACAGAAGTTAGCCATCAAAAGACACGATATCTACTCCCTCATATCGCTACACACAGACAACCACGGAAATCCATTCGACTGGAACAACGTTCAAATACTAGACAAAGGCAACACCAAGAAAGCCAGAGAATTTTTGGAAGCCTGGTCTTACAGTGAATCGTCAATTAGCAGGCACATTGAAGTAGACAAAATTTACCAACCGATAAGAAAGAAATCTGACACACAAAGAGTCAAAGTTCAAGTCAAGGAAACAATCAGTTTCAATACAAGTAGCCTGGAGAGTGTGAAAAACATGAAAACAACCAATGACGACGTTCAAGGTCGCCCACCAGGAAAGATAACTAAAGAACTCGTGGAGAAATCTAAAGGTTCAGTTCAGTTCAAATCAAAGTATGCGTGCTGAAGATGTCGCCTAGTGGTAGGGCAATGAAAGCTTCGCAAATTAACTATCCAGCTAGCTCAGAGAACACAACCGCATCAAAAAGTTCCTAGGTTTAAATACCACTCCACCTACTTCAGAATCTGGGTGACTGAATAGTATCATAACATCCCCCTACCACACACACACACACACAGAGAGAGAGAGAATAAGTGTGACTTATAGCTTGGATTATGAGATTGAAGCTCAGGGTAACTAAGCCCTAACAACCATAAAGTAGCACACAGGAATAGATCATTTCACCGTACACTCAAGACATGATGTAATTTAGTTTAGATATGAATCTGTTTCACGTCGATAAATCAAATCGGATCTATCTGTTTGGCGGAAACACAACACAAAATTGACAAATCATTAAGTTTTGAAAGATTACGTAACAGTTATTCAATTTTATCAACAATAAGAAAATAATGCAGGGAGAGAGACACACACACACACGCAGAGAGAGGGAGTAACAGACCAAATTACCTTATCAGATTTCTCAAAATGACTTCGAATAAGTTGAACAGTCGACGGAGTAATTGATTTCAACAAATCTTGATTACAAGCCATCGATGAAGTCATTGTACGTATTAAACCAGTCAGTTTGTTACTTGCTACAGGGGATTCCGCTGTAAAACACAAAAAAACAAACAACAAAAACAAAATAAATATCCATACGGAAATAGGAACACGATTCAAAAATTTAGTAATGACAGTGGAGCATTTAAAAATCCTTCACAACACTGTACACCCATGACCCTGTCTACTCTCTAGAGATCGAGTCTATGGCATTCAGATCGCAAGATGAATCATATTATTAGGATTGACGCAATAGTAGGTTGCAATCAAATCATCTATGAAATGATTCACTATGCAGCGCGTCATCTTCAACACAAGTCATCACTCATCTCACTATTGGACACGCATAAAAGTTAACCAGTAATGAGTAAATGCGTCGACGGAACAGCGGTAGAATGCTCACCAACCACACCTTATGTGGTTCGGGGTTCGATTCCCGGTCACCGACGCACTGCTTTACCTCACTAAGGCAGTAATAAGACTGGTAACGAGGGAAGGTTGGACATGAAGCTAGCAACTTCATCCCGTAAAAATGCACACCACTGCACTGCTACTGAAACTTCAAGCCTGTACCCTGAAGCCCTATATATGTTCCGCTGGGGACGTAAAGGAATCAACACACACACACACACAAATAGTAATGAGAAAGTTGTGGATGAAAGCCCACAAGAAACAGCTGTCGAGTAGTTTCTTGGGCGCATAGTGTTTCCTGAGATGAAATCCCACCTTGGAATTCACAGTATTCACGCCTAAATGAGTGAAATTCTTCCAAAGAAAAAGGCTAGCACCTATATAGAGGTCGACTGTCGTAACTTCAGTAAATCCTCATTCCAACTGAAAACATGTTCACGCATCTTTATTAGACTAATTCTAAGATAAGATACAAGGAAGATAACAAGATTAACAGCGCATACTTCGTGTAGAAAAATAGATTATTAGAAGAAAAATATCACTACCTAAAAAATTGGAAGTGTGTAGAATTATGACACAAATGAACGATACATAAGAGAAAACATAAATCAATACGAAATTACATCACAGTTCTATATGCCTAAGTAATATCACATCGTGGTTACTGAAAATTATCCTCATTCCTATTCAATTTTATTAAAGATGTACTAATGGATTTAACCTTAACTCACTTTAGAGACTAGGGATTGATTTGCTACCAGGGAATAATCTCGTTGACTTAGAATATGCAGACGATATAGTCCTTCTAGGCGAGGACGCTGACAAAATACAAGCACAGTCTTCTGAATACCTTGAGCTGCAATCTATGGATATTTGACATGCGATTAGCTACCGCCAAATGCAACATGATGTTACAGGACTGAACTGGACTACACCGACTCCTAGATTAGAAATAGGAAGTGAAGTGGTTGAGCACACTGACCGCTTCACTTATTTCGGAAGTACCATCAGCCAGTCACAACGGATTGATCTCTGACGAAATCTCAACATGGAGACAGAGGGCCAGTTTCGCATACGCCAGTTTACGCCGTCTCTGGAGTAGACGTGATATCCGGTTGTCTATCGACCAAAGGGCGAGTGTACTGTCCATCAGTCCACTCCGTCCTCCTTAATGGCTGGCTGTGAGACCTGGCCATTGAGAGTGGAAGACATGAAAAGGCTGGCTGGCTGTCTTTGATCATAGGTGCCTGAACTCTATCTTCCTTGTGAAGTGGAATAATAAGGTGAGCAATATTGAGGTTAGGTCTCGGTGGAGTGCTAGGTAGATGGCAGGGGAAATCAATCGACGAGGCTGTGAAGCAGTTACATCGATTGAGACGGTTGGGACATGTGTTACGTATGCCTAGTCATAGCCTTTCTGGACGAGTAGTGTTAGCTGACATAGGGTCAGGCTGGAAAAAAGCTAGCGGAGGTCAATCAAAAACATGGCTCTACCAGTCAATAAAATCTACAACAGTTAGTCTAAGCCATGTAGGAAGGTGTAGACTTCCTGACTGGTTGGGGTCCTCGGGACGGTAAAACCAATGTTTGGAAACAACTGGTGATATGGCTCAATGGCGCAAAAGCATCCACTCCCTGTGATTTATGATTTCCAATGAAACTATATTGTTCTTCGTTACTACTATTCCGTTGTCTCACACATCTGTTTACTGTCTCTATTATGCATTTTTCTTCTCTTGCTTTGTGTGCTACAAAGGAGGGAGTGTGGCATTTTGGACTGGTGCACATCTGTGCAAAGTTCTATGTCGAAAACAGACAGACTATCACGCAATGAATATGTAGAAAGAAATGTAGGTGGATTCAGAAATTTTTGAGTATCGTCATGCCGTAGGCCATCGCGTGGAACCCGAATGAAAAAAGACGAGTTCAAAGTCCGACAGTGACATAAAGAAGGTCATTTGAGGAGAAAACGAAAGCTGATGGACAATTGTGGAGCCAGCCAGTCACCTGAAAAAAAAATGCAAAGAAGAAAGTGAAATTTGAAGGCCTGCTTTTCAAGTCGGCGCTGTTCCACTCAGAACCCAAGGGAAAAATAACAGTTATACACTGACACAGTGTGAATGCGTATACATACCTGCAACACGTAAACAATTATCCAAGAAATCAGGAATATGTTCCGGATCGGTGGTTTTCATAAATTCAAGTGTTGACAAGAAAGAAGATTCCGTCAGTGGATACCGAGGACTACCAGACAAAAAGGTTGGCGATATAGGTTCAATAATCTGAAGAAGGAAGAGAAAATGAGAAGAACTGACTTATTAATTGTTTTAACTAACAAGTTATACTTACTTTCGAGAATATTAATTACGTAAAATAGATTACGTGGAGGATTTCATCATGACCTGACATCAGTTAGGGAACCACTGGAAAACCTGCTGGGAGTACTGGACAGCTGTTTCGTCAACCTAGTTTGGGACTCTTTATCAGTATGCACTCAGGACCTTCTGGTTACAAGGCGAGCTCGTAGACCGGCGGGTGCGTACTGATGAAGAGTCCCAAGCATTAGGACGAAACAGCTGCCCAGTTCTCCCAGGTTTTCCAGGGGTTCTCTAACTGATGTCAACTCATGATGAAATCCTCTATGCAATCAAACAAAATCCCTACAAAACCGATGCTTGAAATAGATTAGATAATATTGATTTTATCTAATATAACGTCATTTACACATTAGATTCAGCTACTACCCAGCGAACATCGGCTGAGCACCACCTACCTTTTGTGAATACAGTTGGTGTCACAACAGATGCCTTTGGCTAAGGCGACACTTACTCGGCCACTGATAGCATAACTTCAATCTAATTAGTCAATTTTTTATTTCACCATTATTGACCATCTTCTCCTTCTGACAGCTTGCACAAAAGTTACTTACTTTACTTCGGCTATCTCCTACGGGAGGATGAACCGGCTTCATGAACATCTCGAATGTTTGTAAGAGAGTTGATGAAGTTTCATGGGAATTGGGTACGAGTGATGTCCCCAGCATCGCTCGGCCTTTTGTTTGAGAGTACAGCTCTAGCCTTTACACAACCAAGTGTGACCTACAAGGCAGCAAAAGTGGAGTAGGGAGCCCACTATCCATTGGCAGCCGGTGACCGGAGTTCGGTTCATACACCTTTTTGAATGGGGCCAGACATCCAGGACATCCAACAAGCCCTTTGTCCATACGTCTGCCGGTGAGCTCCGGTGAGCTTCATACGCCAGTCGTTGAAGGTTTGGAATCAGGGTTTAGCCATCTCCACAAAAGTAAGAAGTCTAGAGAGGCACGGCCTCCTGTCAACTGGTGTCAACCACCTGATAACAATTTAAAGTGCACCACGATAGCTTAATCAAGTCAGTAGGCCAAGTGGTATCCCCCATTGGGCCATATCGTTGACATTATCACTGACAGGCACTTGATGTCATGCAACAAACTTCTAAAGGAATTTTGTCAAACTGTCAGCAACCACTCTACCCACAGCTCCAACCTTGTGTCTACGCAGGTAAAAAAAGAAGTCTTTTCAGAAGACTTTATTCATATACGTCTAAGTAAATAAATTCCACTATACCATATTTGGCACTTATTTTATATGATGAAAATAATGTCAGACATGAACTAACTAACCTTCTTTGCACTACTAAATAAACCATTTCCCCCACTCTTACATCAAACTTTATTGTTACTGTACCTCTTATATTTATAATCCTCTCATTTATTTTGTTTTTATTTGTTTATTTTTTCATAAGTTTGAACATCCTTTCAGCTGTGTGATAACTGTTAATTTTGTATTTCCCCTTACCATGCTGTTTCAGCAGAACATTAGATTCAACAATCTATAACATACTAAAATTTCCTAACTGAATCAACAATATTGTTTGGAACAAATACACTGTTATGATTATTATTATTATATTTAATACTCTCAATTCATGCTTCGAAAATTTTTGACTTTATATCGTAAACGTGGACAAATTCCTCTGGTTACTTTTGTTTTAATTTAATTTATATTTTAAGTAAATCAGACGCAATATTGTGACAAATGCTGAGACTTCCATTCTGCAATATAAGTACTGTTTTTATGAATAAAATAGATTATTATTACATATCAGCTAGTGTCGGTGGCATAGCGGTTAGGACGCTCGCCGACCATGCACATGATCCGGGGATCGATCCCCGGCCACATAGGCACTCCTTTACCTCGATGAGCCAGAAATAATGCAGGTAAAGAGGGAAGGTTGGGTATGAGGCTAGCAACCCCATCCTGTAAAAATAAAAACACTGCTTTAGAAACTTCAAGACACCAGCTTGAAGCCCTAAGTTCTACTGGGGAACGTGAAGGGAAAAAAACCATATCAACCAACTCGATGGCGATGGCTGATACAATTCAGTAAGCATCTAATGATCAAAAGAAAAGTATGCGAACAGCTCATTAGTAACGTTTCTGATTGCTACACATGGATAACACCAGTTTGAATCTCCAAAGGACATCTTTTTCTTCGACGTTGTAAATAAATACTCTGTCCTAACGAGAAAAAAACAAGCACGAAATTTAAGTACATGGCTTCCTAGTATTTGATTGGCTTCAATCAAAAAACATATGTTGACATATGTTGGATGTCAGTACCATTCATTCTCGACGAATTTCGACATCCTAGTGACGATAATTCCCAATTATGCAACACTATTTAACAAAAACAAACAAACAAACATGATGGCAGCAGCACTAAAACTTACATTAGTTAACTCTCCAATATGATCACACAAACCTCGATTGATTAGTACTCCAGCTAAATGTGAACCTGCTGAACTGATTCCATTTTCTGATATCTTATTCACAATGCTTATCACTATAATATATAGAAGAGAAAAACATAAAGACAACGCAAATTTATAATAGTAAAGATGTGCATGTGTGTGTGTGTGCGCGAAAATGGTAAAATGTGAGAAAGAGACAATGATTCGTCACAGTTAAATGCCACTACACTTAAAACATTGAACCACATAAGTTGATATCCAATCAGTTCTTAAATACTTGAAATAATAAGGTCTGAGGGTTCGATCTCTGGCCAACGCACTCCTAAACCTCCCTGAGCCAGGGGTAAGGTTGGTAAAAAGGGAAGGTTGGGCGTCAGGTTGGCTGGTAACCCCACCCCGTAAAAATAACCACCACTGCTACCGAAACTGCAAAGCTTAAGCTTGAAGCCCTATGTTCCACCGGGGACATAAAACAATACAAATACATTCAGAGATCGGCGACCAGTGTTTCCCAGATTGTTGAAGCACCCGATTGGAAGACGTGTATTTCGCAACTTAATAAGTTCTCTCGATAGTTTTATCGAGTCTTCGTTCTAGTACTTGTTCTACGTCAATCTCTTTCTCTTAAACTATTTGGAAAAATTTACAGAGGACGTAGACGGAGTATCCAACTGGCTATCGACCAAGAGGCGTGTGTACTACTCAGCAGTTCACTCCGTCCTCTGTTACCCCTGTGAGCAGGACATAGCCATTGATGATGGAAGACATGATAAAGCTATCTAGCTGTCTTTGATCATAGGTGCCTGCACTCTATCTCCCGTGTGTGTTAGATGTTACATAAGGTGAGGAATATTGAAGTTAGGCTTCGTTCGAGTGGTAGGTAACAAGGGAGGAGAAATCAATCGATGAGGTTGTAAAGTTACGATGATTAAGATGGCGAGGACATGTGTTACGCATGCATGCCTAGCCATCCATCGCCTTCCTCGACGACGGGCAATGTTAGCTGATATAGGGTCAGGTTGGAAAAGAGCTGTTACGGGTGGTCAATCCAAAACATGACCTCATCAGTCAATGAAATCCACAACAGTTACTTTAAGCCAGCCAGTCTTTGGGACGGTAAAAACTAATAAAGGCTGGAGACAATTGGTGATACAGTTCAAAATCGTTCTCGATGATGGCGAAGATTCATTCACTCTTGGTGACTTATCATATCTAGTAGAACTCTCTCCTTTAACTCACTTTTTACTTTCTTCTCTTCCACTTGTGTGCTAAGTGTCTACTATCTCTTTGAATTCCAGGGCAAAAATATATAGACAAACAGAAGGTTTAGCGAAGGGATGGACCATCAATGTCCCTAATCGAGGCAGATATACCTATGGACACCTGGAAGAATATAATGGAGATGTGTGGATGACGCTTTCACTCACAGTGAGTTAAGAACACAACATTTCTCTTTCTCTCTCTCCCTAGCTTCTTGACACACATATAAACTCACAAGTAGAGGCAATAAAATTCACAGAATTGAATCAGAAAATGGACAAGAAGAATTAGCTATGATGTTAGGTTGTAAAAATAAAATGAACAGAAGAAGGTAAACTACTGCACACTAGCGTTTATCAAAAAGGCAACGTGATTGTGCTAATAGATATTTAGACCTCTGTAATTCATCTTATCTGTTCGTTATCTGTAAAGGCCGACTTACTTAAGCGTGTCTAACAAACCGGGCAACAACATCACTAAGTAGGACAACAAATAATCACAATGATGAAATGGAACAGATAGAAGAATAGCTGGTTGGTGTTAAATAACCATCCTATAAAATTTCATTAGGGAGATCAGAAAAGGTCTAAAGTAAAATAAAATAATGGTGAACCTAATAATCATAATAAGATAAATAAGAGAGAGAGAGAGATAGGACTTCAGGTGAACATAGATAAAACAGAGGTGATGAAGATTCCTGGTCAACACCAACACCAACAACAACAGACAACAATCAGCCAACATAAATGGGAGGAACCTGAAAGAAACAACCTCCTTTACCTACCTAACTGGGAAGCATCGTTTCAAATACAACCCGACGGAACTGACGAGGAAGCAAGAATCGGAAAAGCAAGACAAGCTTCCATTACTCTCAAGTCTATGTAAAGGTCAACAGCACTCAGAATCAAAATTAACATCCGGATTTTCAACTCCAATGTGAAGTAAGTCAGTGCTACTCATTGTACGGATCAGAGACTTGGCGCGTCATAAAGAGCATCCCAAACAAACTTCAGACCTCCCTTAACAGCTGTCTTCGCTCAATACTGAAGACCAGACGGACGGCCAGAAAAGATCAGCAACAGGGGTCTCTGGCAATGAGCGAACCAACCCAGCAGGAACCGATTGTGAAACAAATAGGCGGGAAGAAATGGAGGTGGATTGGCTGGCCACACTCTGAGAAAACAATCTATCAAGTGACATCAGCAGACAAGCCATTGCTCGAGTGGAACCCGAAAGGGAAGCGGCGAGTTGGTCGTCAGTCCGAGGGTGACTTGGAGGAGGTCATGTGAAGAGGAAATGAAAGCATGTGGGCAGACTTGGGGCGGAGTGAAAAAGTTGGCAGAAAACAGAAGGTAATGGAGATTCGCAGCTGAAGCCCTATGTTCCTCTAGGAATTAAAGGATATAATAATAATAATAATAATTTATCTACAATTTTACCATATTAGGAAGGGATATCTGAGACCCTACGTAGCATTCACAATAAGGCAGAAATTAGAATGGCATTTAAACCTACAAACTCACTTAGGTAAGACAAGATTTGTAGGTTAAAGGACACTGCCGGTTGACTCAATTAAACAAAATACCTTGCAATCACTGTAAGTTAAGTCAGCTTCATAGGTCAAACTAGAAGATCAGAACATAAGAATTTAGCTCAGGTTAGAATGATTCACCCCACCAGTGAAGATAAGTGATTTAGGAAAAAGTTCAGCAATCGCACTACGTGCATTACCATTCTTCTTATTCTTCTTCCTTCACGTTCCCAGTGGAACATAAGGCTTCAAGCTAGAGGCCTGAAGTTTCTGAAGCAGTGTTTATTTTTACAGGATGGGGTTGCAAGCTTCATGTCTAACCTTTCCACTTTACCAGTCTCACTACTGACTTAGCGAGGTAAAGGAGTGCATCGGTCGGGGATCGAACCTAGGACCATGTGCATGGTCGTTGCATTACCATACAATTCTAAAAAGTAATATAGGTAGGTAGAGGATACAGAGAGGTTGATTACTGCATCCTTGTTCATCGAATCTACACTGAAAATATCCAATAGGAATGGCTCATTACTGATACCAGAAATACGGTAAGTACTACTACCAATCATCAAATCAAGAGATGAGAAATAAACGGAATCAAATATAAACGGAGTTAGAAAGTTGTCTGAGTAGTGACTTGATATGATGAGTGAGCGGCAATAATAAATTATGCTCAAAACGTGGTCATTAGTGAACATTACATACTGTATAACACTGTGAGACATTATCAAAATAAATTTTCTACATAATGAAAAGTTCTATACATAAAGCAAGTGGTAGGACGTAATTTGTCTGAATCCTGTGTAATGTTGCATTTGCGCCCACTACACATTTTGAAAAATCTGATGAAACAGGGATTTCTCATGGGAATATATACATATGAAATTAATAAAGAGGAAAGAGGTGAGAAAATAGACACGTTATGTCAAGTTAAGAGGATATATTGAAGGTCAAAATAACAATGAAGATCACTAAACCAAATAGCAGAGGTAATAGTACATCTTCCCTGACTAGTATCAAAACAAAATTTACGAAGGAATGTTTATTGTGATGACGAATTGTTGCTTTGATCACATAAAGGTGCTTTAAACTTCTTAGTTGCCAGCTAGGGCAGCAACAACTTTAGGATACGTTCCAAACACATTTTATAGATAGGTTTAAAAGATGTGTTAACGTCAATTTTATGTCCTGTCTTTATAATATGTTTCGCAATAGAGCAGCTAGGTCTTCTGTTCTCACCGTTAATAGGTTCTGAAGATTCCATTTGTTTTTGGAGCCATTTAGGAATGTGCTGTGAAGCCAGCCCTTACTTACAGAGATCGATGGGTCCTCCCTATGTATGTGTGTCCACATGTACATTGAAATTGGTAAACATAGTGGGATGTGACACCATTTTTCGCATGTTCGAAGGGCTTAGATACATATATTGTCTTTACATTCTTCATTTTTATGATATTAGCTGCATAAAAAGTCTTTTTTAAACAGCAGCGTTCAGCCTTTGTCTAGTTATCAAGCTGCTATGATCCCCCACACATATAGGGTAGCTTGATGTACACGTCTTTCTTAGGCGTGAGTTGTAGAGTGGGTGGGTCTTGGTGTTCCACTAACTACTTTATATATCTCCTGATGAACTTGTCTGGATAACTGTTATCAAAATTCAGTCAAATTCAGATAGTAACTTGTGTGTGTGTGAGTGTGTGTGTAACCATGTGTTTATAATATTATTATATAATTATAGGTAGAAATAGAATAAAGCATGAATTATACATATACATATGCATCATAACATACATCAACTTACACTCTATAATATAATCAGTAGGCCAACATCGAAATAATGTATCCATATGTGGACTGTTAATAACAGTGATTAAATCCTCTGGAGTCATACGGGTCAGTTTATTGATTACAGATTCAACAGTTTTTAAACTTTCTCTATGATCGCCAACATCGACACCGTTGTCATCATTATTACCATCAAAATCATTGCCATCATCATTCAGAGATTTGGAACAAACTCTAAGAAAACAGAAGGAGACATTTATAGTTAGGCATACAAATAACTATAATATTAAGGATGAATAAATGATATATATATATATATATATATATTCATCAAATGCATCGGCGGTCCAATGGTGCAATGCTCGCGAACCACGTGTATACTCTGGTGTCAACCCTTCTGGCCAACTCATACTTTAACCTCGTCTAGCCTATGATAAGTCAGGCAAAGGATGGAGGGGGGAACGGGTGGGCGATATGCTAGCACCCCCACCTTGTGCAAACAACACCATCACTAATACAACTAAAACTTCAAAGCCTGAGGCCCTTCACCGCCTTACACTTAGAAAACAACAGAATAAAAGGAAAAACTCATCAATCACTTGGATTTTATAAGTTTTTTAAAATTTATTTATCAATGAGTGAATGATAAATAAGAAGAAATTTCTGCTTTTTACTGACGTCTCGCTACTTTAAATGCTGCTGCTGATAGTTTTTATCAAAGTCTGTCGTTTTTCAACATAGAACTTTGCACATATGTGCGGAAGTTCAAGTCGTCACACTCCCTCCGTGTAGCACACAAAACAAGAGGAGAAAGTACAAGAAAAGCATAATAGAGACAGTGAGCAGAGGTGTGAAACAAAGAAAGAGTAATAAAGAAGTACAAAACAGTTTCATTGCAAATTCTATGTCACAAGGAGTGGATACATCTGCGCCAGCCATCGACAACGATTTTTAGCCGTCACCAATTGTTTCCAACCATTGGTTTTTACCGTCCCGAGGACCTCAACCAGTCAGGAAGTCTACACCTTCCTAACTGGCTTAAAATAACTGTTGTAGATTTCATTGACTCTCTCTCTCTGTCTGGATTCAACACAGAACTTGACTGGTGAAGCCATGTTTTTGTTTAACCTCCACTAGCTCTTCTCCAGCCTGACCCTATATCCGCTAACATTGCACATTGTCCAGGAAGGCGATGACTACACATGCATGCGTAACACATGTCCTAACCATCTCAGTCTTTGTAACTTCACAACCTCGTCGATTGATTTCCCCTCCTTACCTAGAACTCAACGCCTAACCTCAATATTGCTCACCTTATTATTCCACTTCACACAGGAGATGCAGCGCAAGCACCTATGATCAAAGACAGCTAATCTTTTCATGTCTTTTACTCTCAATGGCCAGGTCTCACAATTAGTGATAAAGGAGGACGGAGCGGACTGATGAGCAGTACACACGCCCTTTCTTCGATAGTCGAATATCTCGTCTACGCCAGAGACGGCGTAAACTGGTAAATCCGAAACTTGCCCTCTGCATCCGTATGGAGATTTAGTCAGAGATCAACCCGTTGTCACTCGCTGATGGTACTTCCCAAATAAGTGAAGCGGTCAACGTGCTCTACCACTTCACTTCCAATTTCTAAACTCGGAGTCAGTGTAGTCCAGTTCAGTCCTGTAACATCATCTTGCATTTGGCGGGAACGAATCACATTCCAAACATTCGTAGATTGCAGCTCAAGGTGTTCAGAAGACCGTGTCTGCATTTTGTCAGCGTCCTCGCCTAGAAGGACTATATCATCTGCATATTCTAAGTCAACGAGATTATCCCCTGACGGTAGCAAGTCAAAGTAAAAATATTAAACCAGAATTTACAAAATCTCAGCTTTTATACAACAACTTAATCACCATTCCTCAGTATGGGGCCACTTTTGCGTTATCAAGTTGCCCAATTGGTGTAAAGATAACAAAACTAGGTGTAGATGACTGTTGGATTTGATGAGTGCGTAAAATTGTAAAAGCAGTGTGTGTTTACAAGTCCAAACTGCTTATTACAGTTGTGTTATTCCATTATGGGTAAATTTTGTTATGATAAAGTCTCACAGTGTAATACAGTAATGTTTATCGATGACCCCGTTTCGAGCACAATGTATTGCCACTCATAATCATATCAAGGTACTATTCACACAACTTCCTAACTTCATTTATATAGTCTCATTATTTTTCACTTGATTTGATTGGTAGTAGTATTTTCCATATTTCGGGTGAGTGATGAATCATTCTTACTGCATGTGTTTAGTGTAGACTCGATGAACAAGGATTCAGTAATCAACCGCTCCCTATCTCCATCTACCTAGATTACTTTTTGGAATTGCAACCCTGTCCCACCATATTGTGTGGTTGTGTGTTAATGCATGCATTGCAATTGTTGATTTTGTCACTTCATGCAAGAAATTGGGGGGTTTTGTAACCAGGTCAAATTTTGTTTTAGTCCATCATTCCTATTCAGATAATTTGGATTCCACTTGATGATATGAAGTGCTTCTGATGGTATTAGACGTTCTTTGTGATTTCTAAAATGCTTTTTCTGGATTATTTCAATATTATCAAAACCAATTTTGTGGCCTGATTCTATGGCGTGTAGACCTATGGCTGATGATTTTTCAAGCTTTTGTAGTATAACTGGATTTCTCGGTGGTGGCAGAGATGCTCTACGGTGTTTATTTCGGCTGATTTTGATTCCTCGAGATGTTTTTCCGATGTATATCGCATCACATTCCAAGTATTTCATTTCATAGACACAATTAGATAGAGAATCTTTAGGGATTTGGTCTTTTATGTGGACAAGGTTGCTTCGCAGTGTGTGTGTGCATCTGATGTTGTGAAGAAAAATCTGGTATCGAGCTTATTGAGTACTCTTCTGATATCGTCTGACGTCTCTGCTCTATATGGAGTGACAACTGTTGAGGTCTATGTTATAGGAATACGTTTTCGACAATACATAATGGCAGCGTTGATTTTGTTGATGAAGTTCCTTGGGTAGTTGTTTTGCTTGAGAGTCTCAATGGTGTTTGATATTTCTTCCTCTTTTTCTTGCTCATCCGTTATCAGAGAGTGTGCTTGACACAACTGATACCTTTGCACTGAGGGGATGGGATGATCTGAACTCTAAATATTTGTTGTTGGAGTGGGTTTTCTTCTTGAATATGGATATACTAAAATGTCCGTTTTCCCTCCTCTTAACTAGGCAGGCAGTCTAGAAATGGTAGTTCACCGACGTCTGATTCTACTTCCAAAGAAAAGTGGATTCTGGGAGATAGATAGTTTACTTTCTCCAAGGATGAATTGCATAGATCTCGTTTTAGCACAACAAAAGTATCATCAACGATACCATAGTCATATTTTAGGTGTGAATAATGTTTGGGAAGATGTTATCTTTAAATGTATTCATGAAAAGATCAAAGACTATTGGAGACATTGGTAACAATCGGACACATCCCTATTGTGTGAGTTGAGAGATACAAGCTAATTGCCTAAGTCATTGTGTGTGTGTAGAGAGAGAGAGAGAGAATGTTTCAAAGTTGTAACACATTGAGTGAAAATCGATCGCCCTGCACCGCTGAAGAACAAAACTGTCACCAATTTTGTTTTAGAATAGAGCATATAGAGAGTAGAAATTAAGACCAAATCATTATCGTGTTATATTTTCAAATGTTCTACAATTTCTGTTTGTGTACGATCAACTTTATCGATTGTATTTATTAATTAGTGGAGAGTGAATACTTCGAAGGCTTGTTAACCAGTTATTTCATGTTTCTCTTTTCTTGTAGCTACTCTCTCTCCCTCACACACACACACACAAGGATAGACAAACAATTCCACTGATTTTACAGTAACGTACTACAGACAAGACAAAGGTGAGTGAATACTACTAATCTACACGTCAATAAAAAATGTGTATAAAGGTGTGCTTAACGAAAAACTTCAACTAGTGTCTAATAGGCGAATAACTTTGTCAACTCGTCTCCTCACACACACACAAACACACACTGAATAATCATACTTGCCAGTTATGTATAATAATAACAATAATGAATCACTTGTCTTCAACTCTCTTTAGTTATACTTAATACTGAGAAAAACTCCGTAGTACTGGACAGCTGTTTCCGCCTAGTTTGAGACTAATCACAAAACGCTTTCGCTGAAGTTCGAATCTAGGACTTTCCAGTTATGAGGCAAGCTAACAAACCATTCGGTCACTGGTACCCCCCACCCGATGGTCATATATATACATATATCACGAATTGGAAGGATCTGGAATTCATGGGCTAACCAGTGGATCACGTCACAGTGGCTGCAGAATGATCTACAAGCTCACCGCCTTATAACCTGGCTATAAACCCTTGCGGTAGGTATGCACTGATGAAGAGTCCCAAGCTACAACGAAACAACTGTCTAGTATTCTACGGTGGTTTCCCAATACTTCTCAAACTGATGTCACCACGTGATCTATCCTGCAACCAATCAAATCCATGAAAATCAATACTTGGTAATTAACAACACTACTACTATTGTGCGTCGGTGGCACAATCGTTAGGACTCTCACCGACCATCCACATGGTCGGAGGTTCGATCCCCTGCCGACGAAGCACACCTGATATCTATGGTCGGCCAGCGAAACTTGAGCTACCGATAACCATGCTGAAAATTTCATACTTGTACCAAAAATACAGTGTGAAATCAAGCTGTAATCAAAAATGAAATAAATAAATAATACACTATATGAAGGCAAAGCAAAAAGAAAACCTCATTAAAAATTCCAAAAGACTTGAGATTATTGAATAAAGAATATTCAATTTCGATAACTTCTTCTACATCAGGTTCCACAGTTATATATCCCTAATAGTTACAGAAATACTGTTATGCGAATGTTTTCGAATCAACACCCAGTTCATAGGCACTTGTACGCGATAATATGCATCATCAGCATAACACTAAACCTGAATACTAGATAAATTAAAGGAAGTAATACGCAGGCAAGTGTGTCGTTGGTTCCGCGCCAGAACGTTCACGCACCTATACCTTACATGCTCCAGAGTACAAAACTGCGCGGTTGACGCACTCCAATACTTCGCTAAACCAGCAATAAGACTGGTAAAGAGAGAACCCTGAATGCATGAGGCTAACAACACCATCCTGTAAAAATAAGCAAACACCACTGCTACCGAAACTTCAAGCTTCTAGCTTGAAGCACCCTATGTGCCACTGGGAATGTAAAAGAATAAACAAAATTTATAGATGCATCAACTTATAGAAGCTGGTGAAGAGGAAGTTATCGAAAGGGAATAATCTTTATTCACTAAACTCAGTCGTTTAACATTTTGAATGGACATTTTTTTAAACAAGCTGTATTCAGGAAAGGTAAATCATGTCCTGACCAAACTGCAACTCTACGCATCATCATCACAGAACAAAGCATGGAATGGAAATCAAACCTCTACCACAACTTTATAGACTTTGAGAAGGCCTTCGACAGACAGTGTTGACCATGAAGTAATTTGGAAACTACTCGAGTACAACGGCGTACCCCAAATATTCATCAACCTTGTTCAACAGCTGTACAACAACGGCACAACGGAAAACTCAGCGAGGCGTTTGAAATAAACACAGGAGTCAGACAAGGGTGCTTATTATCACTCACCAATGATATTCCTAATTGTGGTGGACTGGATTATGCGTCAGACAGTGGGAAACTAGAAGATAGGAGTATCCTGGACCGACGTGAAGAACCTAGAAGACCTGGATTTCGCACGTGGATGATTTATGTTTGATGTCACACAGAATCGACGACTTACAAGCGAAAACCGACAAACTGGTCGAAGAAGCAGCCGGAGAAGACAGGACTCCAAGTGAACATAGACAAGACGGAGGTGATGAAAATAACCAACCAACAGCAAGAACAACAGCAGAAACATCTAGCGCCAATCACCATCAACGGGAGGGATTTGAAAGAGGTTACTTCATTCACTCACTTATCTAGGGACCATTGTCTCAACTACAGGCAGTCAGAATGGGCGAGGATGTCAAATCGAGAATCATCAGGATGGCGAGAAACACATTCATCAACCTGAAACCAATCTGGAAAACTTCGTCACTCAGTCAGCATCAACAACAAAATTCAGTCGGATTTTCAATACAAACGTCAAGTCAGTCAGTTCTTCTATACGGATCAGAAACTTGGAGGGCGGGTCACAAAGAATATTTCCAACAGGCTATTGCAGACTTTTATCAATAACTAAATGTCTTCACTCTGTACTGAAGATCAGATGGCCGGGTCGGAAAGAATCACCAACAAGAAACTATGGGAACAAACAAAACAAGAAGCAATCGCCAACCAACAAATATGCAGGAGAAAGTGGAATGGATTGGATACTACTCGCTGAGGAGGCCGCTGGGTGACATCGAGCGCGCGTCAGGCCATTGCTCGAGTGGAACCCAAAGGGGGAGGCGACTGTGATGTCCAAGCGTGGATGACATGGAGGAGTTCCTGTGAAGAGGAGTTGAAAGAGTATGGACTAACATGGATGCAGGTGAAAAGTACAGCAGAAGACAGAAGCAAGTGGAGACGTGCAGTTGAAGCCCTATGTTCCACTAGGAACCCAAGGGAACAATAATAATAATTTTTTAAGTGTAGGGATTTGATTGGTTGGGGGGATTTTATCATGAGCTGACATTAGTTAGAGAACCAATGGAAAACCTGCTGAGAGTAATGGACACCTTTTTTGTCCCAAAATTTGGTATTCTTCAACAGTACGCATCCACCACAGGGGAGTGGAACCCAGGACCTTCGGGTTACAAGGCGAGCAAGCTCGTAGACCATTAAGCCACTGGGACCCGATCCAATGCTCAGGCAGTCCATGAATTCTAACTTCTGCCAATTCATGACATAGCGCGAGTCCTAGCCATTGTCTTCGGGGGCGAGTATTTGTTCTCACAACCGACCTGCTGCACCCTACTGGTCGTGACTTCTCATTTTTTTTAGTTAACTGACACTCATTAAAATCAAATTCGCAGTTTACAAATGTAACACCATCTGAGATGAAATATAGCATAACAGTTCCTCATCGGTCGTCCAGTGTTTAGATCCCTTCATCATTGTTCTGGCTAGAAAACATTACTGATTGTCTGTCTGTCTTCGACATAGAACTTTGCACTGATGTGCACCAGTTCAAGTCGCCACACTCCCTCCCTGTAGCACACAAAGCAAGAGAAGAAAGTACATGAAATGCATAATAGGGACAGTAAACTGAGGTGTGAGACAAAGGAATAGTAATAACGAAGAACAATGTAGTTTCATTGGAAATCATAAGTCATAAGGAGTGGAAGCATCTGCACCAGCCATTGAGAACGATCACTTTGAGCCATATCACCAATTGTTTCCAAACATTGGTTTTTACAGTCCAGAGGACCCCAACCAGTCAAGAAGTTTACACCTTCTTACGTGGCTATCCTGAACTAACTGTTGTGGATTTCATTGACTGGTGAAGCCATGTTTTGGTTTGACCTCCGCTAGCTGCCTCTTTTCCAGACTCACCCTATATCCGCTAACATTGCACATTGTCCAGGAAGGCGATGACTAGGCCACACATGCGTAACACATGTCCTAACCATCTCAGTCTGTGTAACTTCACAACTTCGTCGATTGATTTCCCCTCCTTACCTAGGACTCGACTGAGCTCTAACCTCAATATTGCTCACCTTATTATTCCACTTCACACAGGAGATAGAACTCAGGCACCTACGATCAAAGACAGCCAGCTAATCTTTTCATGTCTTCCACTCTCAATGGCCAGGTCTCACAGCCAGCCATTAAGGAGGATGGAGTGGACTGATGAGCAGTACAACCTCCCCCCCTTTGGTCGATAGCCAGCCGGATATCACGTCTACGCCAGAGACGGCGTAAACTGGAAAATCCGAAACTTGCCCTCTGCATCCGTATTGAGATTTTGTCAGAGATCAACCCGTTGTCACTCGCTGATGGTACTTCCCAAATAAGTGAGGCGGTCAACGTGTTCTACCACTTCACTTTCTATTTCTTATCTAGGAGTCGGTGTAGTCCAGTTCAGTCCTGTAGCATCATCTTGCAATTGGCGGGAGCGAATCGCATTCCAAACATTCGTAGATTGCAGCTCAAGGTGTTCAGAAGACTGTGCTTGTATTTTGTCAGCGTCCCCGTCTAGAAGGACTATATCGTCTGCATATTCTAAGTCAACGAGATTATCCCCTGACGGTAGCAAGTCAATCCCTGAGTCGCTGAATTCGCTTAGGGTTAATTCCATTAGTACATCTATGATGAAGTTGAACAGAAAAGGGGATAATGGGCGGGGATCTCTGACGGACCCCACTAGTCGTCACCAGTTCAGAAGACAACTCGCTGTAAGCCCTCACCTGGCTTCATGGGAGTGGTAGTACCCAACTATTCATATGTATCAATAATTCAATCAATCAATGAATTAGTCGATCATATGCATTGTCAAACATTAAAACTCACCGTATAATATGTGAAATTGACTTCAACGCATAATATTTGCTTTTATCCGATTCTGGTAATGATGATAGAACACGTTTGACAAGATTCTCAGCTCCAAGATTAACAAGATTATACAAGAGAATCAATTTCCCTATAGAAAAACAAAAAAAGAGGAACAAAGAATGAGGAAAATGTTTTAACCCCACAATTGATTTTACTCGTGTTAAACACAATGGTATTCAATTTTAAGTCAAATAGTGGATGGTGACTAGCAATGGTGGACTCGAGGATATGAATATATCATCTAATTTGGGACTTGTCATCTGCTGGATGTACCTGCATTCCCCAGTCAGTGACTGACGGTGTTCCCACAGAGGCTCGAACCCAGTACCCCTCCTTATAGTTTCAAACGCCAAAGCGTTATTCATTAGACCACTTGGGGGGGGGGGTTACGAGAGCCAACTGCTTCTTGTGCAACGAGTGTTTTATTAATTAATCGGTTCAATTTAAATCCAGTTGGCGAGTCACAAACAGGACGAAATGTGAATTTTGGATCCCACTATTGCTAGTCACCATTCATCAACTGATTTCAAGTTACATGACCAGACATCGTCAAAGCACCTGCACAAGGAGCGCAGATACGTTAGTCTGAGACAGAAAACTTCGATCCAATCCATCGACGGGAAAATCTAAAACTGTATTAGGTACTCAATTTTTCTTAAAAAATATTTTAACTGGAAGAGAAGTTTACAACTTTTTCTCCATGAATGTAATCTTTAGATTGAATTGATTCCCCATGTCAACGACGTAGGAGTAGATGCTAAAATCTATGCGCCAGTTTATGAAATATCCACACAGGCGAGAATGATATGCTCACTCCAGTGACACATTGGTAGGAAGAGAGGGGCTAAAGACAAGAAAAAAAATGTCCAAGAGACGAAGGATATTCACAAAGGTCTATCAACAGAGTCGGGAGAAATAAAAAATACCACAGTGAATAAAAAAATCCGTATTCGTCATCCACCTGTCATTTAAAGGCGACAGCACACTGTGGAGATAATCAACAGACGAATTAAGAAATCATTGATAAGAACATTCTCTGCGACTAGACTAATTCTTAATATACCGAAATGAATGTTCTTTTGTTCAGTGAAAGATCAACAGATATCCTTCCTTTGTTAACTCAGACTGTGTATATCAATTTACGCATAGCTGTTGTCTCAGAAACATTGAAGGAACATAAAGACAGGACTATCTTAGATTTCCTGAACATGTACCAAAAAGTCTGTGACTAAGAGGAGGTAAGTCAGTGTGAACAGTGCAGTCAGGAGACATCTGACCGATATAGGATATCACATGGACATCTTGAATTATTTCAAGATACAGGCGTAACTGATGAGGATATCATAAAAGCGGCGATCATAGGGAAAGCAAGTCAAGCTTTCATTATTCTCAAGTGTGTTTAGAGACAGATCAACAGCACTGCTTAGCATGATAACTAAGAACCATATTTTCAACTCCAATGTGAAGTAAGTGCTACGCACTATTCGGATCAGAGACTTGGTGCATCGCCGCATCACGATGGCCACTTCAAACAAACTAAACACCTTAATCAACGGCTGTCTTCGCTCAATACTTCGATCAAGATCAGATGGCCGACCTGAAAAGATTAGCAGCAGGGATCTCTGGGAGCGAAGCAACCCACCCAACAGGAAGCAATTGTACAACAAATCTGCAGGAAGAAATCGAGGTGGATTGGTTGGTCATACTCTGAGAAAACAAACCATCAAGTGACATCACATGCCAGTCTGTCTCTTAATTAGAACCCGAATGGGAAGCGGCGAGTTTGTCATCAATGCGAGGGTGACATGCAGGAGGTGATGTGAACAGGAGATGAAAGTATGTGGGAAGACGTGGAGCCAGGTGAAGAAGTTTGCAGAGAACCAAACGCAATGGAGACGTGTGACTGAAGCCCTGTGTTCCTCTAGGAACTAAAGTAGACAATAATAATAATAACATTAAATAAACAATCAAGTCTCCAGAATTGCGCAGAAACCATCTCTCCATAAGCAAAGATTATAATCTGACTTATGAATTCAGAAAGAAGCTATGGTAACTCTCGAATTTGGTTCCTCAAATTTTAACTTTGACTGATTATTTGAATTTTTGGATGGAAATATTGATTGCTATTCACACTTAGTTATTTACATCACCATCTAATAAACCTCATGATTCATGTGCCTGATTTCTTACCAAATGAGATTAACTCACAATTTTTTATTGACTTACGTAGTCTTATAATTTATGTACCTTAATGCTTTACTTCTACCTTTACCCGTATTTTATTGTCTTATGTGGGCAACTGAGATCACAGTCCTCTTTAAAAGTTTCGATTTATCTGAATACCATGATCACTACTAATCGTTGTTCTACGTTTTATCTCCAATAATCTAAAGCGTGTTAAAACTACAGGAGAACTTTCTTTCTTCATTCCCATGTGTTCCTCTGGAACAGAGAGCTTCAACCTTCAGTAAAACTCGTGTTTCTTTATAGGGTGAGGATGCTAACTTCATGCCCAGCCTCCCCTTGTTTCCGGACTTACAAATGGGTTAGATGAAGATTAGGAGTGCGTCGGTCAGGAGTCGAACCTGGACTATGTGATTAGCTGGCGGGAATTCTATTCCTGAACGACCGACGCGACAGAACTATTAAATTTTATTATTAAGGCTGTACGCACCTGAGAAAAATTATTGTTTTTTTATTCGTTTACGTTTCCAGTGGAACATAGGGCTTCAAGCTAGAGGCTTGGAGGTTCGATAGCAGTGGTATTTACTTTTACGAGATGGAGTTGCTAGCCTCATGCCCAGCACTTCTTCTTTGCCAGTCTTAATACCAGCTTAACGAGACGAAGGACCGAACCCTGAACCACATGAGGCGCGACTGGTGAGCATTCTAGCGCAGTTCCCATGCCATATATACACGTAGTCCGAAGATTGATTCCCGTCTGGAGCACACTTTCACCTCCCCTAACAGGTTGTAAACCCAACAAAGAGAGGAGGTTGGGCGTGACGCCATGTCTGTCTGGATTCAACATAGAACTTGGCACCGAAGTGCAGCTGTCCGAGTTGCCACGTTCCAATTGGCACACAAGGTAGACAAGAAGATGAGTGGAGAGAATCAATACAGTCTGACAAGTATAAGAGTGAAACAGAATGGGTGATGGTAGAAAGAAATATGAAAGATTACAGAGACTGAATACATGTGCGCTGGCCATTGACAACGATTTTGAGCCATGTCACCTATTGTCTCCAGCCATTGATTCCTAGAGTCCCGAGGGCCCCAACCCGGTAGTTTGTATCTCCCTACCTGAATGACTCAGTTTAACTGTCACGGATTTCATGCATTGATGAGGCCATGTTTTTGTTTGGCCACCACTGGCTCTTTTCCAACCTGAACCTATATCAGCTAGCAATGCCCGTCGTCGGGGGAGGCGGTGGTTAGGCATGCGCAGCACGTCACCTAGTCATCTCAATCTATGTAACTTTATAGCCTCGTCGATTGATTTTCCCTCTTTGCCCAACACTCTACGCCTAACGTCAACATTACTTACCTTATTAAACCACCTAACGTGAGAAAGAGATCGTAGGCATCTATGATCGAAAGCAGTCAACCTTTTCATGTCTTCAACTCGTATTGGCCATGTTTCAGAACCATAGACAAGGACGGAGCGAACTGATGAGCAGTACACACATCCCTTGGTTGATAACCGGATGTCACGCCTAGGCCAGAGATGGTGTAAGTCAGCGAAAGCAGCTCGAGCTTTTCGGATCCGTGCTGAGATTTCACCGCCAATCAGTCCGTTGGTGCTAATACAACTTCCCAAGTAGGTGAAGTGGTCAACATGTTCTATCACTTCACTCCCTATCACTAAGTTAGGGGTTAACGTGGTCCAGTCCTGTAGCAGCATCTTACATTTTGTAGGGGCGAATCGCATGCCAAACATACGAAGATTGCTGCTCAAGGTGTTCAGAAGACTCTGCATTTTGTCAGAATCCTCCCCTAACAGGACTATGTCATCTGCATATTCTAAGTCCATTAGATTATTCCCTGGTAACAAGTCGATTCCTAAGTCACTACGTTCAGTTAAGGATACTTTCATTAGCATTTCTATGATGAAGTTAAACAGAAATGGGGAAAGTGGACATCCCTGTCGGACACCACTGGTTGTTACCAATTCAGATGACAATTCCCCGCAATGACCTAATCAAGCTATACTGGCTGAGACTTATGTCTCTTGAGGTTCTACCATGCCAGGCAGGTTGTTTGGATAGCGGTTAAACAAAAAGCAGCTACCTCATCCAATACCATGATCCAAACAAATTCACAAAATTTCATGCCGGATCGGCCGTGGCCCGGATTAACAACGACCGCGCTTCCTGCTGCCGTGTCACAGGGCGGGAATGATAAGTATACTACTGAGGCACACCAAACAAAAAAGAACAAACAAAAACAGGCCGCGTGTGACCGGCCTCAAGCAGTTGTCCCCTGGGCTCTGCGGTCACGCAACCAACTTCCACGGTGTGGGCAGCCGGGAAGTAACAAACGCCCTCACAATCCGAAATGCGTGACGCCATAAGATAAACAACCCTGATACTGAAACTTGAAAGCTCAGGCTTGAAGCTGTATGTTCCATTCCAAACGCAAAGGAATTACATAATAATAATAATAATAATAATAATGAAATGATAATGCAGCTGACAAGATATCGACAAAAGAGATAATGGATCCGTTGTTTTATCCTACACCACGTGTTCGTATTACTTTGTTCATATCACACCTTTTTGAATGACCATAAGAATATTGGCGCCAAAGTGGTCTAGTGGATAACGCTTTGGCGTTTGAAACTATCCACACTGAGTTAAAGTCACTGTGCGAACGCTCTAAGTTACTGGGAAATGCAGGTACATCCAGCAGACGAAGAGTCCAAAATAGGACGAAATGCGCGTTATCCTGGACTCCACCAATGCTAGTTAGCATCCACCAATTAAATACTGAAGATAATTGCTAGAAAAGTATACTCCATTGTATTTCGACTAGGATTTTAATTAGTAACACAGTGGATCAACGTCAGGTGTAATATCATTCCCTATTAGCAAGCTGTTTCTTTTCAATTTCCGACTCTTTAAATGGACATTCCTCAGTACTTATAAGTACAGTAATGAGCACTGTATATATGCATAGACCCTGTCTTCTTCCCTCTCTCTCCTGTGGTCTCTTTTTTAAGGAAAAACTTTCCCATCTATAAAAAAGAGTGAACAGAACTACATTTGATAGGGTTCAAGCATTTTCTTAAGCCATGTAACAACAATAAGAAGAATATAGTGTCATTGTTTATCATTTTTCAACCCATCTATCATTATAGCTCAACCGAAAAACAATCTGCTTAACTGTGCCACTTCCATGCGTATCTAAAAATTCACCTGTTTCTGACGGGAAACTTATATAGACTGAACTACTAGACACTTCAACAACCTCTCATTACTAAGCATCTTCGCTCATGGTTTGTAAAAGGTCTAATAAAAATCTATGAGAAGTTCTATTTTGTCTCATTTGATTGATGATAGCGGTCAACAAGTGGAGAGAAGAAGAAGTGCCTTCAAAGTTATCTATCGTATTCCATCGACACTTTCGAATGGAATTTGAACCCACCTGTTAAACAGAGAGCCGAAGTTACAGGAACTAATTCGAGAGGACAACCTAGTGCCTTTGCATATAAAAAAAAGTTTGTTCAACCTTCGTCTTTCCCTTGCTTGTCTAGGTAAAGTCTAATGCAAATAAAAACCCTCCCACCCTTTATCATTTATCATCTCCTGCGTAATTTTAGGATATTTATTTAAACTTCAATTATCTGTCAACTTCACCAACCTTTAGTATTAGGTAACTTTTAAGATTTGACCTTATTTATTTATTTAATTATTTATTGAATTCTCTACATACACACATATCACTCACTACTTTCGTTATTCGCATCGCCCCACCTACAGCACAGACCTTATTATCATTATTATTATTTTTGTTATCACTATAATCATCGTTATTACTGATGTGCAAAACAGTAAATACTTATTCTTATTATCCGATCGATAAACTCCCCGTCATTAGTTAAATTTCTTTTTATACATAAATAAATCTATGTGGATTAGAGTAAAGCCTGAAGAAGATCTAATTGAAAACAGCAATATTGTTCGCTTATATTCCCTTGTTCTAATACTACTAATAATGGGAATATTTAAAGATTTGAAATACTAGGGATGTTTATATTCTCAATGATTTCTTTGGTTGGAGCTGAGATCAGTTGGAAAACCAATGGAAAACCTAGAGGGGGCACTGGAAACCTTGTAAAAAATTGATTTGGCCCTATCCAGGCAGTGACCTGGGTTTCTAGTGAGAAACCGTGACCAGTAGAGTACAGCAGGTTGAAGGTGAGGCAGTGACTCATCAAAGAAGACATTGCTAAGTGGTCACGCCATGTCATGAATTGTTACAAGTTAGAATTCGTGGCCTACTCATTGCGTCAAGTTCCAGTGGATACTGAATGCTCTACGAGCTCGCCTTTTAGCCAGAAGGTCCTGAGTTCAAACCCAGTTAGTGGGTGCGTAGTGAAGAAGAGTCGCAAGCACTAGGACGAAACAGCTATTCAGTACTCCCTGCAAGTTTTCCAATGGTTCTTTAACTGATGTCAGCTCATGATGGAATCTTCCAACCAATCAAACTAAATCCCTATACAAAAAAAATCAATGATTTCTAACTTTGAGCTACACACCGTGAAGCTACAAAGACTGGATGGTTAGGACATGTGTTACGCATGTGTGGCCTAGTCATCGCCTTCCTCGAAGAGCAATGTTAGCGGATGTACGGACAGGCTGGAAAAAAGCTAGCGGCGGTCAAACAAAAACCTGGCACCAGTCAATGAAATCCACAACAGTTAGTTTAAGCTAGCCAAGTAGGAAGGTGTAGACTTCTTGACTGGTTGGGGTCCTCGGGACGGTAAAAACCATTACCCATTCTTTTTCACTATCATACTTGTCAGACTGTATTGATTCTCTTCACTCATCTTGTCTACCTCTGTGTGCTATTTGGAACGTGGCGACTCGAACTGCTGCACTTCAGTGCCAAGTCCTATGTTAAATCCAGACAAAAACCAATGGTTGGAAACAATTGGCGACATGGCTCAAAGTCATCGTTCTCAATGCCTGGCACAGACGCATCCACTCCTTGTAACTTATGATTTCCAATGAAACTGTTTTGTTCTTCGTTATTACTCCTCCTTCGTCTCAGACCTCTGTTTACTGTCTCTATTATGCTTTTCTTGTACTTTCTTCTGTTGGTTTGTGTGCTACGCGGAGGGAGTGTGACGACTTGAACTGGTGCACATTTGTGGAAAGTTCTATGTCGAAAACAGACAGACAGACTGAGAATATAAAGCTATAGACTAACAACAAAGTATGGTTCTTTGAAGATAGAAGAGTCTAGAACTACTGTCTGTGGTGAGTCAACTGACCATTATGCCTCCTTGAAGATTTAAACATTTTACCAGCCACCCACCCAAGTAGTACAAGTCATATGAAATTATATCAATGATATGATCAAAGGGGTTAAACTTACTTTGCATATCCCATGATCGAGTAATTGACATCATAATGGACTCTTGAGTTCCTCGATCATTTTGATGACTACTTATTAAATAAAGTGAAGAGAGGTGAAACAAAAGAGTATGAAAATAACAGAAGTGTGGTTACTGAATAACTATCGTTAAGTACGAAAATACCAAATAAAACAACAGAAATAGTGTGGTGAGAGATGGCTGTTAGTCGAAATTGGTGGACAGTAATTTACGTCAATGTTTATGTCCCCAATATTGGTCATGAGAAAAATGAGAACAAAGGCTTTGCGTAGGCGGATACAGTTAACATATAGATGATTTGACATTCAAGAAACGGCCATAGAGAAATGCAAGGTTAACTTTCTGTGAGAAACAACCAATCAGAAGACTGTGTTTTTCTGCTTAAAATAATCTACAACAATGTACATGAAAATCTATAAATACGTGTTGATTTCCTTAATAAATGATCTGCTTCCTGACCCTTGTCCTCTGTTGTTACAAGAGAATTTGAAACTATTCAAAAAGGGGAACCAAATCCTAGTTCTTGGTGTTGTCGGAAAATGTTTACCTGGAATAAATTCGTTATTATTATTACTATTCTCACATGGGTTTCGGGTGGAACATAAGGCATCAATCTGGGCACATCTCTTCCAATTTGTTCTATTTTCTGCTACCCTCTTAAGCTACGTCCACTTATTTAGAGCGAACAGAAACATCATCTACTTACTTATCAACTGCCGTCATTATATGTCAATAAGTTACAGTTTTGAAGGTAACAGCCAACACGTGTAAAACTTGGGCACTGTGGTAGTAGGTAATTCCATATTCATTTGTTCATTAGATATATGACACACACAGTGAAACAGTACTATTTTTCACTCGCTAAGCCAGTATTAAAGCTGGTAAAGAGAAAAGGTTCGGCATGAGGCTAGCAAACCAATCACTCCTACAGAAACTTCAAGCCTCGAGCTTGAGGCCGTATGTTCCACTGGGAAAGTGAAGGAATAGAAAAAAACACTAGAAAACATAAAGATTAGTTCATAGAAAAACCCAAACTTACTTGACTAGGGATTGAGCAAACTCAGGTATTGATTCTTTAGGTGACAATTTCTAGAATGGTAACAAGGCAGTACATATAGAATAGTTATGTTTTACGAAAATCAACATAAAGTTTAATATAAAAAAACAAGGCAGATAATCCTACTACCAGCAGGTCGGGTGTGAGAACAAGTACTCGCCACCGATGACATTGGCTAGCGGTCACGCTATGTCATGAATCGGTAGAAGGTGGAATTCATGAGTTGGTCACTGGATCAAGTCCTAGTGACTTAATTGTCTACTAGCTCCCTGACCTTATGAACAGAAGATCCTGAGTTTCAACCGTGGTGGTGGGCGCGTACTGATGAAGAGTCCAAAACTAGGACGAAACAGCTGTCCAGTAACCAAGGGTTTTCCGACAGTTCTTTAACCGCTGTCAACTCATGATGAAATCCTATAAAATATTTCAATATGAATTTATGATTCTTCATATTCCTAATATGACATGGCACAATATCGATCACGAAAGTGCAGGTGCACTTACTGCTTAACCTTTTTTACAAATCCAAAACGTTTCCATAAAAAACACACATACAAAAAGACCTGAGTATGGTTACTCGCTGAACTCCACCTGGCTAACAAGATGAATCTACGAAATTCACGTTAAGGGTGTCAAGACTCGCAGTCGTAGGAATAGCATTGAGTAATAGGGCGAAAAAATCACTTCTTGACTGGATCCAACCAGTAGATAGTCGTATATGTCCGTCTGAAGACGGGTCCGTTAGAAGAAGGAAGGATGAGTCACTACATTCGACACGTGCTCTACCTACTTCAGACTGGACAATTACTGGGTAGTATCACCCATCTTCACACAATAATTGTGGCTCATATCTTAGAAAATGAGTTCGAGTAACATGAAGAATTAACATCATTCTACTCAATTACTGACTGATCGACTGGCTTCGACATAGAACTTTATACCAATGTGCAGCAGATCAAGTCGCACATAAAGCAAGAGATGAATGGAAAAAGAAATGCATAATAGAGACAGTAGACAGGGATATGAGGCAAAAGGAATAGTATTCACGAAGAACAATATACTTTCATTGGGAATTATAAGCCACGAGGAGTGGATGCATCCACGCCATTGACAACGACGATCTCGAGCCATATCACCGATTGTCTCCAGCCTTCAATGCTGTTCACCATCCCAAGGATCCCAAGCAGGAAGTCTACATCTTCCTACGTGGTTGGCTGGTTAAAACTAACTGTTGTGGATTTCATTGACTGGTGTGATGTTTAGGTTTGACCACCACTAACAGCTCTTTTCCATCCTGACCCTATGACAGCTAACATTGCCCATCGAGGAAGGCGATGGCTAGGCATACATAACACATGTTCCAACCATCTCAGTCGTTGTAACTTCACAGCCTCGTCGATTGATTTCCCCTTCCCGCTTACCTAACACTCGACTGAGGTCTGACCTCAATATTGCTCACCCGATTAAACCACTTCACACGAGACAGAACGCAGGTACCTACGATCAAAGACAGACTCTTTAAGAATCTTGAACAATGTAAGGGCAATAAGTGTATCTGGATAACATGAGTTCGGTTTTTTTACGTTGTGTATTCCTTTCAACTGATAAAAACTTTAAAAATACTGTCAAAATAAGAATTCCACACTGAGTAACTGATAGAAAACCTACAATCAAAATGCTTTTCATGAGCGTTAGCAATCAACTTTTACACAGGAATGAGTCCTGTGTGTCAAAAACCTGTCCGCCATACTTCAGTTTAAATGATTGGGTAATATTATGAAGCCTCTTACAGTTAGTGTGGTTATTGGTCTGGTACAGACAGACAGTTCGTCTTTATCAGGCCTACTACCCGCTAATCTAGGTTTAGGAGAGCATCGATTGGGAGTCAAATCCTCGGCTATATGAGGCGGTGTGGTTGGAAAGTATTCTACCACTAAACCAACAAATAAAACTGAAAGATGAGTCTCTTTATTCTTTGTTTTGCAAAGATATATTACTCCTTATTTACTTATTGTTTTTTTTTATTGATTAGACCATCCCATGTGTTTGTTACATTTGATGATAAATATCTACTTATATAATATTTTTTGAAGCATGTTGTAAACATAATTTGGTTAACTTCTGTCTTCATTTTCAAGCTGTACAATCGTATTTATATTACAGAAAAAGGTTATTAAGTGGCACTAAATAATTGCTCAGTCAATGTACGTATATGTGATAAAAGTTATAAGGGGTAGAGTTGGAGTGGATAAATGACCGCTCTTAGCGGACGTTTTCATGGCTAGCTTAGAGAATGACCCACTAAAGGGAACCATCGATGGTCTGTTTATGTATAAAAGATATGTTGATGATACCTTCATTGTATGTGATGAAAACACTTCATTTAGAAAATCAAAACAAGTGATTCAGCGAAGAGACTCTTTTCAACGAATTTATCATCAAGCTGTACAGTCATATATATATGGTTTATCAGAAGTTATATCCGGTGAGGGAATTGAATCTTAGGTGTGTATACATAAAATAATAATAATAATCATATGAAGTTCAATTAAAACTAAAATGTTTGTGATTATAATCGTAGTTAAATGTCAAGTGGCAAAGCAGATTAATGTCATATATAGAATAATTCATAGGAGTGATAGAACTTGAAAAAGGATGTGCAATTATAGGATTAGTAGGCAAATCGAATAAAACAAAAACGTTACGTAATATTGTGTGAAATTTAATAGCATAGAATTTATCGTTGTAAAAAAGAATTGATTTAGAATGACAAGTGGAACAACTGAAATAATACCGGGGACAGTTCAAAGTGAGAATAGTAATAATAACAATTGACTTAATAAGGAAAAGTATACAAATTGAATAGACAAAATGAAAAATTGGTAGAGCTAAAATATGATTGGGGATTACCATATTTTAGCATAGAGGGATTAAGACCATGAAAGTTGGAGGGGTTGAACGAACTTTTTCTGTACACAGAGATCTGGCTTTTCTGTTTCGATAGCCAAAGCTTCAGCAATACAGATGAGTCGGGTACGTAGGGATTTAGGTAGATTGCTCTTTGCCTTGTAGATGACTTTAAAGGCGGAGGCTATAGAGATAGGGTGATCATTTTCGACCAGATGTTCTATGATCGCGCTTCTTATTGCTCCACTTCCACCTTTTCGTAGCCATGCAGGATAATGTTCTTGCACCCTCTTGGACAAAACTCGAGTCGAACGACCGATATACCTAGCTCCACAAGAGCAGGTGAATTGATAAACGCACATAGAGTTGGTCAACATTGGGATCTTGTCCTTCAGGTTATTGAACAATAATGGTCGGCTAGTAAAAGCTATTCTCAGGGAGGCAGCAGGGAATGTTCTTTTCAGGGACTGTGATATCCTTCGTTTCATGATATCGGAAGCTAAGTCCCCTTTGAATTCTAAGCTCATGTAAAGTATTTTCTTGAGAGCGGTTGATAAGTCACGTTTTGTACGCTTTGAATGTATATTCTTATCTATAAAACGTGGTGGAAATCCATTTTCCATTAGGATTTTCCTCAAAATGTATAACTCATCTTCCACAGTATCAGTGCTACATATGCACTTCAACTGCCGAACTTCTTAGAATATTTAATGGTTCTCACCCATCTTTGCTTTTCACGATCGAAGAAGAGTCGGATTCTTCGTTTCACTTTCTTGATGTTAAGCTAGATAGAAGAGAGAATGGAACGCTTCTAAGGTCGATTTACCGAAAGCCAACATTCACTGGGCAGTACACTAACTTCAACAGTTGGGTACCTTTAGGGAGAAAGAGAAATCTTATTCACTCCTTATGCTCAAGAATTCGTAAAATCTGCTCTCCAGAGACAATCGATAGGGAACTAGACAACCTTCGATCAAATCTCCTTAATAATGGTTATTCCACAAGGTTCATTGAACGTAACATCAAGAAAGAATCCACCCCGAGACAAGTCACAGTACCAAAGAAAAAGCTGTTTATGAGTCTTGCATTCAAAGGTGACACCATTTCAGAATTGATTAAAAATCGTTTATCTAAATGTATTAAACGTACTTTTCCTGCAGCTGACCTGCAACTAGTTTCTACCAGCCGAAATATGATCAGAAAATACGTCAAGGATAGATTACCGCTTTTGTCCACATCTATGTGCATTTACTCTTTTACTTGCTCTTGTGGAGCTGTTTATATTGGACGTTGTAAACGTAATCTCCGAAAACGTGTAGCTGAACACTATCCGGTTTGGTTAATGAAAGGTGAACGTAGGACTGCAAAGTCGTCTATTTGTGATCACCTGTTAGAGTCTGGTCATTTAGCCCCACGTGATTCATCTTTCAAAGTTATATACATGGCAAAATCCAATCGATCCAAAAGTTTACGTTTTCTGCACTTATGCATAGCCGAAGCTTTAGCTATACATGAACAGAAACCTAAATTATGTGTTCAAAAGCGTTTTGTCAAACCCCTTTCTTTACCTTGGTCATAATAATTTTCCTTCTAGTTTTTATTTTATTTTACCACTTGAATTCTTTCCACTTCACTTCACATCTTCATTCTTATCGTAATCGTACTCCTAATTTTCATAATTTTTTAGACAACACTTGACATTTTTCTTATAGAACAATCTTTCATATTTTTTTAATTTATCCACTTCAACTCTACCCCTTATAACTTTTATCACATATACGTACATTGACTGAGCAATTATTTAGTGCCACTTAATAAACTTTTTCTGTAATATAAATACGACTGTACAGCTTGATAATGAAATCGTTGAAAAGAAATTTCTTCGCTGAACAAAAACTGTGTTTTCACTTATGAATAAATGGGTATTTTTCGAGATTTAACTTCTGTCTGTCTGTCTGCCTGGATTCAACATAGAACTTGACACCGAAGTGCACCAAATCGAGTTGCCACCTTCCAAATAGCACACAAAGGTAGACAAGAAGATGAGTGAAGAGAATCAATACAGTCTGACAAGTATAAGAGTGAAACAGAATGGGTGATGGTAGAAAGAAATATGAAAGATTACAGAGACTGAATACATGTGCGCTGGCCATTGACAACGATTTTGAGCCATGTCACCTATTGTCTCCAGCCATTGATTCCTAGAGTCCCGAGGGCCCCAACCCGGGAGTCTGCATCTCCCTCCCTACCTGACTCAGTTTAACTGTCACGGATTTCATGGATTGATGAGGCCATATTTTTGTTTGGCCACCACTTACTCTTTTCCAACCTGCACCTATATCAGCTAGTAATGCCCGTCGTCGGGGGAGACGATGGTTAGGCATGCGCAGCACGTGACCTAACCGTCTCAATCTATGTAACTTTATAGCCTCGTCGATTGATTTTCCCTCTTTGCCCAACACTCTACGCCTAACGTCAACATTACTTACCTTGTAAAACTACCTAATGTGAGAAAGAGATCGCAGACATCTATTATCGAAAGCAGTCAGCCTTTTCATGTCTTCAACTCGTATTGGCCATGTTTCAGAACCATAGACAAGGACGGAGCGAACTGATGAGCAGTACACACATCCCTTGGTTGATAACCGGATGTCACGCCTAGGCCAGAGATGGTGTAAGTCAGCGAAAGCAGCTCGAGCTTTTCGGATCCGTGCTGAGATTTCATCGCCAATCAGTCCGTTGGTGCTAATACAACTTCCCAAATAGGTGAAGTGGTCAACATGTTCTATCACTTCACTCCCTATCACTAAGTTAGGGGTTAACGTGGTCCAGTCCTGTAGCAGCATCTTACATTTTGTAGGGGCGAATCGCATGCCAAACATACGGAGATTGCTGCTCAAGGTGTTCAGAAGACTCTGCATTTTGTCAGAATCCTCCCCTGACAGGACTATGTCATCTGCATATTCTAAGTCCATAAGACTATTCCCTGGTAACAAGTCGATTCCTAAGTCATTACGTTCAGTTAAGGATACTTCCATCAGCATATCTATGATGAAGTTAAACAGAAATAGGGAAAGTGGACATTTTTTTATTTTTTTTATTTTTGATTTACAGCTTGATTCCACACTGTATTTTTGGTACAAGTATGGAATTTTCAGCATGGATATCGGTAGCCCAAATTTTGCAGGCCGACCATAGATATCAGGTGTGCGCCGGCGTGGGCTCGAACCCCGGACCATGTGCATGGTCGGCGAGAGTCCTAACCACTGTGCCACCGACGACATCCCTGTCGGACACCACTAGTTGTTACCAATTCAGATGACAATTCCCCATAAGCCCCTACATGACTACGTGAGTTTGAATAGAGTGCCTTAATTAGTGCAATGTACTTTCTTGGCACTCCCTTCACAGTCAGACATTGCCATAGTACCCTTCGATCCACGGAGTCGAAGGCCGCCTTCAAGTCAAGAAATATGGCAATTGTTGGACGCCGAAAAGTGTGTCTGTGTTCTAGAATCTGTCGGAGAGTGAAGATATGATCTATGCACCCTCTACCTGGTCTAAAGCCTGCTTGATTTTCCCTCGTCTGTTCCTCCCGAGTTCTGCTTAGTCTGTGCATGATTACTGAGCCTAGGATTTTAGAAATTAGCTATTGACTAATTTTATTTGCAAAACTTCTTATTACGTTCTATTGAATACAATATGCAGAGTCTTCTAAACACTTTGAGTTGCGATCTACAAATGTTTGGAATGCGATTCGCTCCCGCCAAATGCAAGATGATGTTACAGGACTGTTTGGAATACACCGACTCCTAGTTTAAAAATAGGGGGTGAAGTGGTAGAGAATGTTGACCGCTTCACTTATTTGGGAAGTGCTATCAGCCAATGCCAATGGGTTGGTATCTGACGAAATCTCAGCACGAATACAGGGGGCTCGTTTCGCATTTGCCAGCTTACGCCGCCTCTGGCGTAGACGAGATATTCGACTATCAACCAAAGGGCGTGTGTACTGCTCATCAGTCCGCTCCGTCCTCCTTCATCACTAGTTGTGAGACCTGGCCATTGAGAGTGGAAGACATGAAAAGATCAAACAAAAACTTGGCACCAGTCAATGAAATCTACAACAGTTAGTTTTAGCCAGTCATGTAGGCTTCCTGGTTGGGGTCCTCGGGACGGTAAAAACCAATGGTTGGAAACAATTGGTGACATGTCTCAACGTGATCGTTCTCAATGGCTGGAGCAGATGCATCCACTCCTTGTGACTTATGATTTCCAATGAAACTGTTTTGTTCTTCGTTATTACTATCCCTTCGTCTCACACCTCTGTTTACTGTCTCTGTTATGCTTTTCTTGTACTTTCTTCTCTTGCTTTTTTGTGCTATATGGAGGGAGTGTGGCGACTTGAACTGATGTACATCAGTGCAAAGTTCTATGTCGAAAACAGACAAACAGTCTGGTACATAAGAAATTTCTTCCAAGAATCACAGTTCCAAATCAGATACGAACTTAAAGTAATATAAACTTATATTAGAGCTTTATATGCCCCTGCCTCTAATACTATACTTATTTTTTTATTTCATGATTACAGCTTGATCCCACACTGTATTTTTGGTACAAGTATGAAATTTTCAGCATGGATAACGGTAGCCCAAATTTTGCAGGCCGATCATAGATATCAGGTGTGCTTCGTCGGCAGGAGATCGAACCTCATACCATGTGGATGGTCGACGAGAGTCCTAAGCACTATGCCACCGACGCACAGATGGATCGGGCATACATCGAGGAGGCCGTCAAGTGACATCGCGCACAATTCTGGCCATCGCTCAAATGGAATCCTAATGGGAAGTGATGAGTGGGTCGTCGGTACGAGGGGTAGTGTGAGGAAGAGATGAAAGAGTTTGTACAGTCATGGGCCTAGCTGAAGAGAATGGCAGAAAATAGAAAGAAGTGGAGATGTGTTGTTGAAGCCCTATGTTCTACTAGAGATCCAAGGGAACAATAAAAATGATAATAAAAACACTCTATGAGTTTTCAATGTAGTGGCTTTTGGATAAAGTACAAGACAAGGAAAAATGAATAATACTCACCATATAATCTTGATTGCTTTCCATTGTTATATCTGTTTCTAAAATAGAGAATTTTTATGAGAATGAATAGATTGATAAATACATAGAAAGTACAAAATGACAAAATTGTGGAACAGTCAAAGAAATGAGCATAATGAACAAGATGATGATGGCGAAGGTGAGTGATGCTCAGTGGCCCAAACTATGGAATTTGATTTTATCTTGGGGTACCGTATCTGAAACACAAAGAGTATTAGTGTTACATAACCACAAGTCCAGGAGACTACCTACTTGAGACAGATTGATCACGATCAAGATTTTATAGTTGTATCAGAATTGAGATCTTAGCATCAGGCTACAAAAACACTACAAGGTAAAAATTAGGAAGTACAACTGTCTTTTAAATGCACTTCACCAGAGCCAAGTGGTAGAACAGTTTGTATACTGATTGTTGAAGGGATCACCTTACAGCTACATTACATCTCTATTCACCAGAAGGACAATATCATCCGCAGAAACACAAAACATGGTGTGTTAACCACTTACTCTATGATGGTGAGTTCTTCTAATCTAACCACTATTCAAACGATCCTCTTGGCATGGTGAGATCTACAGGAACACTGATCCCAAACAATTGCAACGGTAGGAGACTAGAGACTTGCTAAAAGAATGTTTATTTGAAATTTGGTATCTCTATGTAGCGAGATTATGTACACCTTATCTTTATATCACCATTTACATAGACCTTCCATCTTGTGCTTGCCACTCTTCTGTCCTTCGTATTGTGTTTCTCTGTGTTCCGCTCACGTCTCCCATGTTTCTCCGCAACGCTATATCATTTGCTTTCGCTGGCATTCAAATCTCTCTCCCTGATATTTGATGTTTTTATGCCAATGAACGTCTTTATACATATAGAAACTACTAGCAAATCTGATCAGTGTTACACGCTACAGTAGCTCCCAGGATCACTGAAGGGTGGCAGCATAATTGATAAAACCAATGAAGAGTGTAACCAGTTGATTAAAACAAAAACTTTCAAATTCGATACTGTTCAGCCAATGGTTTGGTAGCTATGTGCCTGTTAGCAACATAGGAGGTCTAGGTTCGATTCCCAACTGAAGGACTAATTGGTAGCAAGGTGAAAAGAGAGGTACGGCTGGGTGTGACGCTAGAAAAACCAACCATTAAAAAAATAGTATTACAATCACTCCTGAAACTTCAAAAGCTTGAAGTACAATATCCCATTCGGAACGCAAACAATGGAAAACACATTCTAATCGAAGTTGTATCACTTAAGCGCTTTACGACTGTTGTAATGCCTTTGAATTACTCATAAAGTGAGCTTTTAGATTCCTCCATGAGTTGATTAGTCACCTCTCCTGGTGGGTGACCTTGAACGTCGTCATTGGTTCTTTTTGTGTGTTTTCACACCACTAGGCCACTTGAGGTATCAGTACTGACTGTTTCCTTGACCTGAAAATTAACTTATTGGTGTGTGAGATTCCCCTATTATGGATTGGTAAATTGAATCTATGTCAATGTGACTGTTAAATGCCAATTCACTGGAATACAAAGCAGGCTTCTAAAAATTCTCTGGCATCCTTGGTACTTCCTCTGCCTAATAACTGAAAGTTGTCTCAGTCGAATTCATATTCGCAGTTGGCTGTATGCAGTGGTATGAGCGAGGGAGTGGATGTCATGTCTTTTGACAGCTAGTTTATGATCATGGATACTAAGAAGATTAGCACCAACGGACTGATTAACGACGAAATCTCAGCACGGATCCAGAAAGCTCGAGCTGCTTTCGCTGACTTACACCATCTCTGGCGTAGGCGTGACATCTGGCTATCAACCAAGGGACGTGTGTACTGCTCAGGACTTCGCTCTGTCCTTCTCTATGGCTCTGAAACATGGCCAATACGAGTTGAAGACATGAAAAGGTTGACTGCTTTCGATCATAGGTGCCTACGATCTCTTTCTCACGTTAGGTGGTTTAATAAGGTAAGTAATGTTGACGTTAGGCGTAGAGTGTTGGGCAAAGAGGGAAAATCAATCGACAAGGCTATAAAGTTACATAGATTGAGATGGCTAGGTCACGTACTGCGCATGTCTAACCATCACCTCCGCCGACGGGCGTTACTAGCTGATATAGGTTCAGGTTGGAAAAGAGCCAGTGGTGGCCAAACAAAAACATGGCCTCATCAATGCATGAAATCATTCAGGTAGTCATTCAGGTAGGGAGATACAAACTACCGGGTTGGGGCCCTCGGGACTCTAGGAATCAATGGCTGGAGACAATAGGTGACATGGCTCAAAATCGTTGTCAATGGCCAGCGCACATGTATTCAGTCTCTGTAATCTTTCATATTTCTTTCTACCATCACCCATTCTGTTTCACTCTTATACTTGTCAGACTGTATTGATTCTCTTCACTCATCTTCTTGTCTACCTTTGTGTGCTATTTGGAATGTGGCAACTGGAACTTCTGCACTTCATTGTCAAGTTCTATGTTGAATCCAGACAGACAGACTAAGAAGAAGAAGGGGACGTCCACTTTGGTCAATGTAGTGTTTTCCGCAGTTGTTGCAACTTATTTAGTATATTATGTTGGTTTCGCCTTCTTTCACTGTTGGAGTGAAGTGATTTTGTTGGTTTGTGTGCGACATCAATTCCTAAAGGTTTGAAGAGTCTTGCAGTGATTTCTGGGACATCTTTTATATATGGTAGCGCGATATTTTCTATGCACTGCTTGGATGACTTTGATTTATCAGGTTGGCTTTAGGATATATGTCTCTTGAAGAAATTATTTTGGACGACGTCTATGAGATATCTTTCTTCAATCTTCCTTAAGGTGGGAGTGCTGCAATGAGTTCTGACTGGCTCTGTTGAATAGTGTTTGTATGCAACTTCTCTTGTATATTATCGGGTTGTCGCTGTTGTGTGACTGAGTGTTTGGTATGTGTGAGTGGATTTCCAACTCACTTCAGTTTCCTGATCCTCCTGTGGCTGTTCACTTAATGAAGACGTCATAAAATGAGATTTTCTTCCCGGATTCTCCTTCTCTTATGAATTTGATGTCGTTGAAGACGTTGTTTTTTAGGTTTTGAGTTTTGTCCAACGCGCGAACCAACCAAACGGGGGTCTCAGATTCGATTCTCAAGCGATTCAGTCAGAAACCTTATCGTCTCCTGGTTTATGAGCAGACAGTAAAGCCGAGAAAAAAGGAGTTTGGGCAGGGTATAAAGATAACAAACCTACGACATCGCAAAAAACAACTCCAATACCAGCTACTATCAACGAGGATATCAAAGTGAGGTTCATTGGGAAAGCAAGGAAAGCTTTCATTACTTTCAAGTGTGTGTGGAGATTAACAGCCTTGCTCAGCGTGAAAATTAAGATCCAGATTTGCAACTCTAATGTGAAGTAAGTCAGTGCTACTCACTATACGGATCAGAGACTTGGCTTCGCGCCACGTCAAGAAGGCCACTTCGAAGAAACTACAGACCTTCATCAACAGACGTCTCCACTCAATACTTCGCTCAAGATCAGATGGTCGACCAGAAATGATCAGTAATAGTGAGGGATCTCTGGGAGCAAACCAAACCAAGGGGGAACCGATTGTGGAAAAAATAAGCAGGAACAAATCGAAGTGGATTGTCTGGCCATACTCTGAGGAAACAAACCATCATGTGCGTGACATCATATACAGTGCATACACATCACTCCAGTGGGCCCCGAAAGGGAAGTGGCGAGTTGGTTGTCAGTGCGAGGGCGACATGCAGGAGGAGGTGATGTGAAGAGGAGATAAAAGCATGTGGGCAGACGCGGAGCCAGGTGAAAACGCTGGTAGATAGCTGAATGCAATGGAGACGTGTTATTTATTTATTTAGTCAAACGCATAAAAACTTGGTACAATATGGCGCCAAGAAGGATGCGCCACACAATAATAATAAAACAACATAGATCAAAAGAAAAAAATATATATATATAAGTAGAGAACGGATAAAGAACTTCATCTGGAAGGAAAACAGTCATGCTTAACAAGTTCAAACAGTATTCGTTAACTATCATCGGGAAGGGAAGAAAGAAGGAAACTGCAACACGTGTAATAGCACGCGATACGTTTCATTGATTGTTTGTTGCTTTATTCAATTCATTGTGTGAGAGCTGAGATACTACCCGGGCGCCCAGACCGAAGCAATTGATTTTATTAAGGGACCACCCCCCGAGCCTTTGACTTGGAGACTAATCCGAAAGGCAGCGCAGCAGCATCAGGAGCTGCATTCCCATGGTCGCCGGTGACCCATATGGGTTCATACGCCATTTGATCCGATCGGATACTGGAGCCCACGTACCCCAAAGTAACTGCTTTTAGTTTAACCGCTATCCAAACAACCTTCTTGACATGGTAGGACCTGCAGGGACAGAGTCCCAGTCAGTTTAGCATGTCGGGTCATTGTGGTATTCAAGCCCGACCACCACGACAAGGTAGCAGTTATCGGCCGGGATGAAGACGTGTGGCTGAAGCCCTATGTTCCTCTAGGAATTAAAGAGGACAATCATAATAATAATAATAATAACACTAAACAAACAATCAACTAAATTAATGTACTACAGTCTATATGCTCCACTTACTTAGCCTAATACTCAACGGTTCAAGATGGAAGTATTTCATACCAGCTATTGATAACCAATCCATCGTTTGGCCCCTATATGAGAAAGTTTTCAAAAAAAATAATAATAAAAGCAATAATGACAAATTACAATCAATGAGGAGAAAAAGAAGTGACGCAACGATTGATGACTATAGGCAAAAATTCATTTATTCACACAAAACACAGCAAAATGCGAACTATGATATAGGTAGCTACAGTGAAATGAAGATCCAGTTCGTTAGGAGTTAAGATCTATGCTGGTAAAATGCCAAAATAAATTTTTAATGAACATTTCATTAAGAACCGATATCAGTTAAAGAATAATTACTGAGAAGGAAAGAAGTGCTGAGCCATTGTTTCTTCATAGCTTGGGACTCTTCAGCTGTGCCATAGCTGCCACAGCACCACCAGCGACTTTTAGATTATAATGTAACGACAGAAGACAAGGGCCAGGCAACAACAACAACAACCCTTTAATTGAGAAAATCAACAAACATTTATAGATTTTTATGTACATGATCATTCCTTATTGTTAGCAGAGGAGCTGAAGGTTATTCTGTCATCTCATTGTGGCCGTTTCTTAGAAAGTCAGGCCATATATCTGTGAATAGTATTTACACACGTTAAGTCTGCTGTGATTGGTTCGTAAGTTTTTCTCAAGGTTAAGCTTTGTTTTTGTTTGTTTTTTCTCATGCCCCCGATTCTGGACGTAAACATTTGTCTTGCAGAAAGCACTCAACACAATAAAAGAATCCTACGGGCCATTCAGCTACTGGAATGAAGTCGTCCAAAAGCCTATGCATTTTAACTCCCCCACCCCGATTTGAAAATGTAGCTTTATCCAAGAGCTTAGCAGTATGATACAACATAGTTATTAAATAATTTGAGTTATACTCATAATACCAGGGAGGCAATCTATTGTTCAACAAAGTGAAGATGGATAAGTCACATGCCAAGGAGACCGTGAAATGGCATCGCGCGTCAGGCCATCGATCCCGTGAAATTTGGATGGGAAACGACGAGTCGGGCGTTGTCCTGAGACTAGCATGAAACAGATGAAAGTGGTAGGCAATCGTGGAGGGGGGGGAACTGCAGCAGAGAAAAGGATAAAGAATAGAGATATCCTGTTCAAGCCTTATATTCTACTAAGAAACCAAGGAAATAACGACAATAATATTCAATGAGGTTTGCGAGAATCTTAAATAATTGACGCGACGGACTAAGTTACAAACGGGAGAAATGAACAAAATTACTAACTAATCTGCAGAAAGTAGCAAAATGGGGACAAAGGAAGCAGAAACCAAATACTTCATACAAACCAGAGTTTCCGATAAGAAGACTCTAAGAGATCTGGATCTCGCACGTGGATGATTCACGTTTGATGTCATACAAACTCTAAAACCTGCGCAGGCGAAAACCATCAAACTGACTGAAGAGGCTGGCGATCAAGACGGGAATCCAGGTGAACATAAAGACAGAGGCGATGAATGATAACCAACCGACAGCAGTATGAACAAACAACACCAATCAACATCAATGGGAGAAATTTGAAAAAGGGGTTCCATCCTCCAGTTATCTGGCTAGGAAGCATAGTTTCAACAACAAGCACATCGCACGGATGAAGCTGTTAAAGCTGAGACAGTTTGGAAATCTTCTACTCTCCGTCCATCTCAGCATAGACAAAGAGATTCAGATTTTCAACACAAATGTCAAGTCAGTCAGTCAGTCAGTGCTTCTAAATGGGTCAGAAACTTGGCCACTGAGTCACGAAAAGGATTTTCAACAAAAGTTCAAGACTTGTTAACAGCTGACTTCGCTGGCTCCACATACTGAGGATCAAGTTGCTTGTTGGCCAGCCAGAAAGAATTAGCAAGAAGAAACTCCACAGCGCAGCAAACCAACCAGGAACCTATTGCTCAACAAACATGAAACAGACAATGGAGATGGATACAGGCATTCTCACTTAGGAGGCTATCAAATGACATCACGCGCAATACTCGTCATTGCTTGAGTGGAATCTTAATGCAAAGCGACGAGTGCGTTGTTCTTGTGAGGGTGACATGGAATAAATCGTGTGATTTGCAGGAGGAGGAGATGAGAGATCATGGTCAATTGTGAACCCAGCAGTTGAAGAGGATAGCAGAAAATATAACAAAGTGTAGATAGATTGTTGAAGCTCTATGCCCCACTCGGAACTCAAGGGAATAATACTATTTGCTCCAAATAAGCGATGTGTCTATCGGATACCTCTAATTCTTCCACTACACAACTAGTAAGTAGAGATACAACGGATTAGCTTAAGCTGTCAACTTTAAGGTCAACAAGTGTCGATTTCGAATCCCATCCCACCCCTACAACCACTTTAACCAGGACAATTGGATATTGGACAAATGTGTGAGTCGGTAATACAGCAACTGGATGCTTGCCAACCATCCCTTATGTGGTCCGGGGTTCGATCCCCGCCACCAACACACTCCTTTACCTCGCTAAACCAGTAAAGAGTGAAGGTCGGGCATGAGGCTGGTTAGCAACTCTATCCCCTGAAAATAAACACCACCACTACCGTAACTTTAAGTCTGCAGCTTGGAGCCTTATGTTCCAACCACTGGGACCGTAAAGGAATAAAAATTAAAAATAAAGATTTATGCAACACAGGTGACTTACTCATAGTGTCGTTGCAGTGCTTGATATGAATAGCACAACCTATATTTCATTAAAGGTTGAGAATATTTACACAATACTGTCAATAATTTCTTTTCATTACTGTCAGCTGCGACATGAAGTAGTCGATTGATGTCTGCAGTCATTCAAACAAAACAAAAAACAGGAGAGAGAGAGAGAAAGAGAAAGAGGGATGTAGATTGATAGGAAGTGGTCAATAATTGAAGTCAGCATTTTAAATCAGTGACCGACTGACTACTACTGCAGAGGGATTTAGTCCACCTTGTAGTCATGACAACATTTTGCTGCATTTATTTAACCCTGAACCAATTGTAAAGCAATCAGAACAGTTTAATGTGCCATAGCTTAGCCAACTTCCAATGTGGTTAAAAATGTACAAATATGATGCGCTTTTCCTTCATAATTATAGTCCGTTGACAATTCTTTTATCTTCTGCCAATGCATACATCTATACTAACTAATCATAAACAAGAGTAAATTAAAGTAACGACGGCTATCAGGAACTTGCCACCTAACCAACAGTAAAGAAAGTATATAATCTCTTTATATGACTTTATGGCTGACAGACATGGTCATTGAGAGTGGAAGACATGAAAAGATCAGCTGTCTTTGATCATAGGTGCCTGCGCGCCTCCATCTCCCGCGTGAAGTAGTATAATAACATGAGAATTATTGAGGTTAGGTATCGAGTGCTAGGCAGGTGGGAGGGGAAATCAATCGACGAGGCTGTGAAGCTACATCGACTAAGATGGTTAGGACATGTGTTACAGATGCCTAGTCATCGCCTTCCTCGACAATGGGCAATGTTAGCTGACATAGGGTCAGGCTGGAAAAGAGCTAGCGGAGGTCAATCAAAAACATGGGTTCACCATTCAATGAAATCTACAACAGTTATTTTAAGCCAGTCACGTAGGAAGGTGTAGACTGTTTTTCTGACTGGCTGGTTGGGGTCCTTGGGACGGTAAAAACCAATGGTTGGAAACAATTGGTGATATGGCTCAAAGTGATCGTTCTCAATGGCTGGTGCAGATGCATCCACTCCTTGTGACTTATGATTTCCAATTAAACTATATTGTTCTTCGTTATTACTATTCCTTTGTCTGACACCTCAGTTTACTGTCCCTATTATGCATTTCCTCTAATTTCTTCTCTTGCTTTGTGTGCTACACGGAGGGAGTGAGGCGACTTGAACTACCGCACATCGGTGCAAAGTTCTGCGTCAAAAACAGACAGATATGACTTAAATCAAAAATCATAAGCATCACGGATCACTCCTGACCCTTCCCATATCATTCTATACCAAAAATGGTGTACCACACACTTCAAAAAGTAGCACAACGTGCATAAACTTCATGGGTTCATGACAGATTTCTATTTGACCATCTTCATCTCTTTTCCAACTTTATTCAAAGGCCAGCTAAAATTATTCGATAAGGAGTAATGCGGTTGTTCAGTTTTTATCAACACGTGTGCTAGCCATCTCAAGAGATACGCATTTTCACAACCTAACACTCTATGCCCGACTGTTATACTACTCACCTGTAATTACACGAATTAACACAGGAGATAGAAAACCAACATCTGTGGTCGAATACAACAAAACTCTTCATACCTTCCACAGTTTGAATGGACAAGCTCTACAGTCATAAAGAAGGATGGAGTGAGGTGATGAGCAACAGTACAAAAGTTCTATTCACCGATAACTAGGTTATACGCCTACGCCATATATAAAACTAAATGGTAAATGCTAACTTTTGTAACTGAGCTGACATTTCGTGAGCAATAGGGCTGAAACGACAACATCTCAAGGTAAGTGTATTTTTCAAAACACCTAGTCACTTCAGTTCCTATTTTTAGACTTCAAGTATCATCTTACATTTGACAGGAACAAGCTACAGGTCTAAAATACCACCATTTGTGTTTAAAGTGTTCAGAAGACTCTTTATTATGTAACTCCTTTCCCATCCTAACACGGCTAGTTATTGTTGTTGTTAACGTACGATGATGGTACAGGAATGGACTACATTGACTCCTAGCTTAAAGATAGTCAGGAGTGACGTCGTAGAAAATGTTCACCACTTCACTTACTTGGGGAGTTGCATCAGTCAGGGCAAGCACGTTGACCGCTGACGAATTCCCAGAACGAATAAAGAAGGCCCATTTGGGGCATGCCTGTCAACGTACGCCACCTCTAGCCTACACGCGATACCTGGCTGGTTGTCAACCAAAGGGGGGGGAGTGTCTCTACTGCCTAATAGACGTTCACTCCGTCCTCCTTTGTGGCTGTGAGTGAGACATGGCCACTGAAAGTGAAAGACACGGAAAGGCCATCTTTCATCATAGGTGACTTCACCCTATCTCTCGTGTTAGGTGGTACGTGGCCAAATGGAAGATGATGTTACAGGACTGGACTACATCGACGCCTAGTTTAAAAATAGGAAGTGAAGTGGTAGAGAATGTTGACCGCTTCACTTATTTGGGAAGTACCATCAGCCAGTGCCAATGGGTTGATCTCTGACGAAATCTCAGCACGAATACAAGGGGCTCGTTTCGCATTTGTTAGTTTACGCCGACTCTGGCGTAGACGAGATGTTCGACTATCGACCAAAGGGCGGGTGTACTGCTCATCAGTCCGCTCCGTCCTCCTTTATGGTTGTGAGACCTGGCCACTGAGAGTGGAAGACATGAAAAGATTAGCTGGCTGTCTTTGATCATAGGTGCCTGCGTTCTATTTCCCGTGTAAAGTGGCATAATAAGGTGAGCAACATGGAGGTTAGGCGTAGAGTTCTAGGTAAACAGGGGAAATCAATCGACGAAGTCGTGAAGCTACAAAGACTGAGATGGTTAGGACATGTGTTACGTATGCCAAGCCATCGCCTCCCTCGACGAGCTATGCTAGCGGATATAGGGTCAGACTGGAAAAAAGCTAGCGGCGGTCAAACAAAAACTTGGCATCAGTCAATGAAATCCACAACAGTTGGTCTAAGCCATGTAGGAAGATGTAGACTTCCAGGCTGGGGTCCTTGGGACGGTAAAAATCAGTGGTTGGAAACAATTGGTGACATGGCTCAAAATCGTTCTCAGTGGCGCAGATGCATCCACTCCCTGTGACTTATGATCTTCAATGAAACTGTTTTGTATTTCTTTATTACTCCTTTGTCTCACACCTCTGCTCACTGTTTCTATTATGCTTTTCTTGTACTTTCTTCTCTTGCTTCGCGTGCTACACGGAATGTGGCGACTTGAACTTCCGCACATTTGTGCAAAGTTCTATGTCGAAAACAGACAGACAGGTGGTACGTGTAGTAGGGTGAGTAATATTGAGGTTAGGCCTCAGTCGAGTGCTAGGTACGCAAGGAGAGGAAATCAATCGACAAGGTTGTAAAGTTACACCAATCGAGTGAGATGGTTAGGACATATGTTACGGATGCATGTCTAGCCACTGATCGCCTCCTTCGTCGACGGAAAATGTTAGCCGCCGCTGACATAGGATGGATGAGGTTGGAAAGGAGATGGCTAGTAATGGTTAAACCGGAAAACATGTCTTCATCAGTCAATGAAATCCGCAACAGTTAGTTTAATCTAACCACTTAGGGAAGTGTAGACAGCCAGTCCGATGAGAGTCTTCGGGATGGTAAAAACCAATGAAGGCTGGAGACAATATGTAATATGGCTCAAAATCCTTGTTCTCAATGGCTGGAGCAGATGGATTCACTCTTTGCGATTTATGATATCTAATAGAATTCCATTGTTCTTCTATAGAACTATTCTTTTTCAGTGGCACAGTGGTAGAATGCTCGCCATCTTCGTATGTTTGGCATGCGATTCACCCCTGCAAAATGTAAGATGCTGCTACAGGACTGAACTACTACTGGGCTACTCTTAGCTTAGTGATAGGGAGTGAAGTCAAAGAACATGTTGACCACTTCACCTATTTGGGAAGTTGTATTAGCACCAACGGACTGATTAACGACGAAATCTCAGAACGGATCCGAAAAGCTCGAGCTGCTTTCGCTGACTTACACCATCTCTGGTGTAGGCGTGACATCCGGCTATCAACCAAGGGACGTGTGTACTGCTCAGCTGTTCGCTCAGTCCTTCTCTATGGTTCTGAAACATGGCCAATACGAGTTGAAGACATGAAAAGGCTGGCTGCTTTCGATCATAGATGTCTGCGATCTCTTTCTCACATTAGGTAGTTTTACAAGGTAAGTAATGTTGACGTTAGGCGTAGAGTGTTGGGCAAAGAGGGAAAATCAATCGACAAGGCTATAAAGTTACATAGACTAAGATGGCTAGGTCACGTGCTGCGCATGCCTAACCATCGCCTCTCCCGACAGGCATTGCTAGCTAATGCAGTTGCAGGTTGGAAAAGAGTAAGTGGTGGCCAAACAAAAACATGGTCTCATCAATCCATGAAATCCTTGACAGTTAAACTGAGTCAAGTGGGTAGGGAGATGCAGACTCCCGGGTTGGGGCCCTCGGGACTCTAGGAATCAATGGCTGGAGACAATAGGTGACATGGCTCAAAATCGTTGTCAATGGCCAGCGCACATGTATTCAGTCTCTGTAATCTTTCATATTCCTCTCTACCATTACCCATTCTGTTTCACTCTTATACTTGTCAGACTGTATTGATTCTCTTCACTCATCTTCTTGTCTACCTTTGTGTGCTATTTGGAAGGTGGCAACTCGATTTGGTGCACTTCGGTGTCAAGTTCTATGTTGAATCCAGACAGGCAGAATGCTCGCCAACCACGACCCACGTGACTTGGGGTTCAATTCCCGGCCGATGCACTCCGCAAAAATAAACACCAATGCTAACAAAAACTTCAAGTCACCACCTTGAAGCCCTGAAAAGGTTAAAGGAATAAAATCTTTTTCTAACAAAAAGCCATATTGCACTCTTCTCTAGCTTTGTATAGTGCAAGGAGGAAGTGTGGCAGGTGTGAACTGCTGTACATCTGTGCAAGGTTCTACGTTGAAATCAGTCAGTCAGTCAGGCAGTCAATGGCACGACATGCGGTAACACATAACCCTAACATTTCGGAGAGAATCACAGAGAGAGATGAGAATATTTCGATCAAAGAAAAAGGAATAGAATCATTCACACACTTACCAGGTAAACTTTGTTGCATGAGCACAGAATAAACAACAAATGGTGCCAAGATGTCTAACATTTTTTCATCTGAGCTGAAAGAAGCAAAGAAACACATGTACAACACATAGTTGAATTGATAGAAGAAACAGAAAAGAGTTAAAGATTGAAGAAAGTATTAAAATAAACTGTAGAAGGCAATCAATGAAATTGTTCTCGAGGAGATTTTGGCCCTTTTTCACAAATTGTTATAAGCTTTAGTCATACTAGGACTACAATATAATAATATGAAGTAGTATAGTGAACTATTGGTCCAGGGTTCGATCCCTGGCCACCAACGCACTCCTTTACCTTGCTAAGCCACAAATAAAGGCTGGAAAAGAGGAACGGTTGGACATGAGGCTAGCAATCCCATCCTTTAAAATCAGACACTGCTACAGAAACTTCAAGCCACTAGCTTGAAGCTTTATGTTCCACTGGGGAACGTGGAGGAAAAAGAAATAGGGAACTAACTATTCATTTTTTTATGATGATATTGATTCAAATTATTCTAAAATATTTGCTAGACAGCTTGTTGCATTACAAGTCTCGTGGTTCACATTACAATACTTGATCTGCTTGATACCGAAATTGGTGATCAGAAAGGTTGATCGACTTAGCTAGGACAGACTGGTTAGTAAACTCCTAGTACATGGAATTAAATTGGTAATTTTCAAACTATACAATTCAAGGTGAGAATTCATCAGTTTTCTATATTATTATTATTAGTAGTAGTAGTAGTATTATTATTCCACTGGGTTCCGAGTGGAACATAAGGCTTCAACAACACATCTACACTTTCTTTTCTGTCATTCTCTTCAGCTGGGTCCACAATTGACCAAACTCTCTCATCCCCTCTTGCAACTCACACGATCTCCTCTATATCACCCCTTGTAACGACGACCCACTCGTCACTTCCCATTAGGATTCCACTCGAGGACCTGGTGTGCGATTTCATTCGGCGGTCTTCATAATGTATGACCGATCCATCTCCACTCTCTCTCTCCTACATATTTGTTGAGCGATCGTCTCTTGGTTGGTTTGTTCTACTGAAGAGTTTCATGTTACTTATTCTTTCTGACCCGGCGGTAGATATTCACTATGGAGCTAGTGAAGTTGGCAGCTGCTGATAAAAGTCTGCAACAGGCTGTTAGAAATCCATTTTGTGACACACAATGGTCAAGTTTCCAACCCGTTATAGAAACGTTGACCAACTTTACATTGGTGTTGAAAATGCGAATCTTCTTCTTCCTTATGTTGAGAGTGCAGAAGACTTTCAAACTGATTTCCGATTCTGACTTTGACATCTTCGTCCGTACCGCCTGTAGAGTTGCAGTGATGCTTCCCAGATAAGTGAAGCGGGCAACCTCTGTTAAATCTCTCACCGTTCAATCCTCCCTTTAGTATTAGGTAACTTTTAAGATTTGACCTAATTTATTTATTTATTTATTGAATCGTCTACACATACACATATCACTCACTACCTTCCTTATTCTCATCGCCCCACCTGCAGCACAAACCTTATTATCATTATTTTTGTTATCATTATAATCATCGTGATTACTACCATTATTATCTGATCCACAAACTCGACGTCATCGGTTCAATTTTTTATATATAAATTCACGTGAATTAGACTAAAGCCTGAAGAAGATCTCATTGAAAACATCAATATTGTTTCATCTATATGTCTTGTTCTAATTTTAACAATGGGAATAGATTTACACCCATACTTTTATAGTAGGACTACTTTATAGTAGCACTGACTTCACATTGGAGTAAAGTCGGTGCTACTATACGAATCAGAGACTTGGTGTGCCATTAAGAGCACCTCAAACGAACTTCAGTCCCTCATCAACAGCTGTCTTCGCTCAATACTTAAGATCAGATGGCTAGAATAGATCGGCAACAGGGAGGGATCTCTGGGAGTGGACCAACCCAACAGGAACCGATTGTGAAACAAATTATCGGGAAGATATTGAGGTGGGTTGGCTGGCCATACTCTGAGGAAACCAGCAAGTGACATCACTAGACAAGCCATTGCTCGAGCGGAACCCGAAAGGGAAGGGGCGAGTTGGTCGTCATTACAAGGGTGACTTGGAGGACGTCATGTGAAGAAGAGATGAAAGCATGTGGGAAGACCTGGAGCTAGGTGAAAACTCTACCAGAGAACCGAACGGAATGGAGACACGCGGCTGAAGCCCTATGTTTCTCTAGGAATTAAAGGAAATACTAATGATACTTGTATACATGGACAATCCTCTGTCCGTTGGTTGTTGAAGGTTCAAACATTTTCATAGAAGAAATTCTAAAAAAAACTCACCATCCATTTTATATTTCTCTTCATGAACCAACATTGATGAACACATCAACCCAATAGTGCACTGGAGAGATGTTTCGCCCAATAGTTTAAGACGCTTCATCAGTGTCACCTACAAGCATTTGCCCCATACTACTGTCCAGTAGTGCCCTGGAATTCCAAATGATCTCTAACTGATGCGTTTTCGTGACGGAAACTATCTCGAAATTATTACCAAATTCCCATCGGGGGAAAAATCCATAGGTTAAAACTAATGAATCACCATTATTTCGGTTTAACTATTACTAGTACTACTGTGGTGAGAGCTGTCCGCTAGCCAATATTAGTAGACAGCAATTGACGTCAATGTTTACGTCCCAAATCTTGATCATGAGAAAACAACAAAAGAACAAAGGCTAACTCAACAACCAATCACAACAGAGTTTGCGCGGGAGGATACGAATGGCAGATATATGGTCTGACCTTCAAAGAAACGGCCACAAAGAGATGACAGAACAGCACTCAGCAAGAAAATAACCAATCAAAAGACGCTGTTTCTCTGATAACAATAACGCTAATAATAATATAAAACAATTAGTTCCTTTTATGAATTTAGATAAAGCAATAAGAAGACGTAATTTATCTGAATCGTGTAATGTTGTATTTGCGCAACACTTTTCGAACAATCTGATCACCCACGGACCTTTCATAGGAATATATATATGAAATAAATAAAGAGTTAAGAGGTGAGAAAATAGACCAAAACAAAACTTACCAAGAAAGGTTTAATGTGATAACGAATCTTTTTATTGAACGCATGAAGGCGGTTTAAACTTTCTAATTGCTGGGACTCCGCAAACATTTATGCAGCTAATGTCATAATAATAGAGAATGTAAAGCCGTTCGAACATGCGAAAAATGGTGTCACATCTCACTGTGTTGACCAATTTCAATGTACATGTAGACACACGCACACATGCATAGGGAGGATTCATCGATCTTTGCAATTAAGGGCTGGCTTCACAGCATATTCCTAAATGGCTCCAGAAACAAATGGAATCTTCAGAACCTATTAACGGTGAGAACAGGAGACCTATCTGCTCTATTGCGAAATATATTATAGAGACAGGACACAGAATTGACGTTAGCACATCTTTTAAACCTATCTATAAAACGTGTTTGGCGGAGGGTGTATCCTAAAGTTCATGGAAGGCCTAGCTGGTAATTAGAAAGTTTAAACCAGCTTTATGTGATCAAAGCAACAATTTGTCATCACATTAAACCTTCCTTGGTAGACTTTATTTTGACACCAACCAGGGTAGATGTATTATTGTTTGATTTACTTATCTTCAGTGTTACTTCGACCTTCAATATGTCCTTTTAACTTTATCGAAGTCTATTTTCTCATCTCTCAACTCTTCATTAATAATTAATGACAAGTCTGTATGTCATCAGATTGTTCGAAATGTGTTGCACAAATGCATCACACAATTCAGACAAATTACGTCTTCTTATTGCTAATAATAATGTATATAAAAATCTATAAAAATCTGTTGATTTTCTCAATAAAAAGGGTGTGTTGCCTGACCCTTATGTCTTCCATCGTTACACCACAACTAACCTTTTTAACAATTCAATAACGATGGTATGATTTCGATTGGTTATTGCTGTTTGTAAATCGTCCAATATGATATTTAATGATATGCTATGCTTTGATAAAGCTGAGTTCAATTCATCCAATGATATCTTGTCAGGCTGTCAAAAAGCAAACAAAAGAAACGACAAAGACAGACATATCAACAAAATAAGGTGGGAAGGTAAAGTTTTCAATGATTAAGACAACAGAGCTGGAAGGATAAGATGACTTGTTGAAGAATTTCAAACTACTGTCACACTTAGTGTCTAAAAGTCTCAATAAACCATATTGCTTTTCAATGAGAATAGATTTTATGGAGAAATTATTAATTATGAAGACCATGTATTCTTTTTATATTGTATGATATAAGATTAGGGCAACAGTAAAGAATAAACACCAATTTCAGACGACCTTGAACCCCGGTGGTGGGTGCGTACTGATGAAGAGTCCCAAACTAGGCTGACGAAACACCTGTCCAGATTTTCCAGTGGTTCTCTAACTGATGCCAGCTCATGGTGAAATCCAGCATACAATCAAACAAAATCCCTACCAAAAAGCAATACTTGAAAACATGCATGTTTTATTCCTCCCCTATCAACACATTTTCTACAGAGAAGTCAAAAACCAAATCTAGGAGGCAGGTTCAAAGAGGATTATGACTAGGAACCATTTGTAATGCTGAGTTATCTGATTGGTCAAATCAAGGTCATTTAACCTTGCTGTCTGTTGTTTACTCTTGCTAAGATTAGATTTAAATCAAAAGTTATATTCACCTTAAAAGGTAGTAACTAGAGTCTAGTCCTATTGAGGCAGTTAACCTGGGGTTCCAGTGGGAAGCCATGACCAGTCGGATGCAGCAGGTTGAAGGTGAGACAGTAACTCATCGAAGAAGACATTGAGAAGTGGTTGCACTATGTCATGAATTAGCTGATGTTAGAATTCATGGGCTGGCCGGTGACTAAGTGATCTGCGGGCTCACCTTGTAAACAAAAGGCTCTGGGTTCGAACCCTGTCAGTGGGTGCATGCGGATGAAGAGCCACAAACTAGGCTGTCGAAACAGCTGTCCAGTACTCCCTGTAGGTTTTCCAAAGGTTCTCTAACTGATGTCAGCTCTCGACGAGAACCTCCAACTAATTTTCAACAGATAAGAAACCTGTATCTAGTAATCAATTGGTTGATAAAGCGTCGCTGGCACAGTGGTTAGGACTCACGCCGACCATGCACATGGTCCGAGGTTCGATCCCCTGCCGACGCACACTTGATATCTATGGTCGGCCTGAAAAATTTAGGCTACCGATAGCCATGCTGAAAATTTCATACTTGTACCAAAAATGCGGTGTGGAATCCAGCTGCAATCAAAAATAAAAAAAAAATAAAAAATTCTCATATTCATCTTAAGTAAAACATACTTCTGAAAGCTTATACAGACGGCTGAGTTACCTTTCTGCGTTTTTGTAATCGATTTTTTTGTAATGAATTACTTTTATGGGATTTCAGTTCATTCAGTTCAAAGGACGTTTTATTAGAGAATATTATGTGAATTATTCATGAAGATGTGTTGGCGGCACACATGCGTAGTCGCATGTGGTTCGGGGTTCGATCGCCAGCCACAGAGGCACTCCTACCTTTACTTTGCTAAGTCAGTATTAAGACTAGTAAAGAAGGAAGGTTAGACATGAGGCTGGCAACCCAATTACATAAATATACACTCCAATGCAATCGAAGCTTGAAAGCTCTTCGGCTTGAAGCCCTCTATGTTCCAGTGGGAAAGTAAAGGAATAAAGTAAAAATCGTAGTCTGAAGGCTAATCTTAATTTCCAAGTGTTGGTTTGCAGGGATTTGATTTGATTGGGTTGGCTACAGGATTTCAATCATGATGAGCGGATGTCAATTAGTGAGAGTACTGAACAGCATCTGTTTCTTCAGTCTAGTTTAGGACTCTTCTGAAGTACGCACTCACAAAAGGAAGTTCGAAACTAGGAGGCGAGGCGAGGCTTTAAACCACTAAGGCACTGCGAACTAATCGAAAAGGCCAGCTCGTGAATTCCAACTTCTGGTAACAATTCACGCACGATTTAGTCTGACTAGCACTAGCCAATGTCATCGGTGGCGAGTATTTGTCCTCACACTAGTCCTGAAGTCCACCACTCCCATGTTTTCCAATCGTTTTGTAACCGATGTCAACTGACAATGAGATGTTGTATCCAATCAAATCCTCACAAACCAACATTTGAATATCAATCTAATGCTCACTAGAGACTGGTTCTATTCAGGTAGGTTGTTACACGGGTTCTAGTGAGAAGTCGTGACAACTAGGTTACAGCAGGTCAAGTATGAGGACAAATGCTCGCCAGTGATGATATGGGCAGAAGCTGAAATTCATGGATTGGCCATCGGATTAAGTCACAATTGCTTAGTAGTCTAAGGACTCACCTAGTGACCTGAAGATCTTGTCTTTGAACCCTGGTTGTGGGTGCGTACTGTGAAGAAACCCAAACTAGGCTGACGAAACACAACTGTCCAGTAGTCCCAGGTTTTCCGACTCTTCTCTAAACAATGTCAGCTTACAATGAAATCCTGCAATCTTAGTATTACTTAAGGAATTAGTCTAATACACAGAGCTGAAGTCATATGAATTTATCTGAATAAGTCTAAGCAGTATGTGGTGTTCAAAAGACGCTTAAAATAATAATAATAATAATATAATAATTTGCTTTATTCCAAAACAGTACTTGTGATACAGAATGGAATTCTCAGCATTTTACTGCAGTATTGCGCATCCAGTTAGTACATTATCAACAAATAAATAAAATTCTACATGGATTAAAGTTAATCTCAGTTCATTATGACAACAACATATTTGCATGTTGGTAGCAAAGCCAAAAATTGAACAGAGTGTTTGAGGTGTTAGAAAAGTAGATGCTAGTGTACTTACTGGCATAAAGAGAAGAAAGAAACAAAGCAGCACGTAACAGAGGAAGAAAGAGAGAGAAAAGGGAAAGAAAGAAGGAAAAACACGTTGTACCTATAAATGATATCAGTTGGAAAGACGAGATCCAGTTGTTCTACTGACTATTTAATAAGTCATAACTTTCACGCCTAGTGCTCTCTTTATCGCACAGAACACGAGCTAAGTAGGGTATGGTTGAGTTTATGTACTTGCTAGTGCGAACATACAGTTTTCTATATAGGCTTCTGGTTCTGCTTGATGAGATACAAGGGGAGAGTTGAGAATGAAGGGGCTGGTGTGAGTTAAATAGAATGAATGGATTTAGCCCATTTTTCACATGAGTCCATGTGCCTGACGACCAGAATATTAACAAGCTGGTTAAGTGGCACGTAGCTTACCCTGCTGACAACCTTTAACATCCTGAGTATTAAGAAATAGTCCTACTTCAGTAGTCCTGGATAAACTAAGGGGGGAACAATAGAGAATAATAGGCAGGATGTAAGAGTTAACGAATCGTAAGAGTAAGGGTTGGGTTATTCAAGAATGTCTTAACTTCTTGATATGGAAAGTACACACGTTGTGAGTGCTAACCAGTTTGTTTAGGTCAGATTTATGCCTAAAGGTGAAATTGACTGTTTGGCATTTAGAGGGATTTAAGGTTAGACCGTTTTCCTTGGACCACTGGTTGATTTCTGATAAAAAGCCATTTAGTTTGGAGAAGTCACTTTGACACTTGACAGGCAGGCAAAGATACAGTCAGATCGTCAGCATATTTAACAAAGTTATTGTCATTTGAAGATGGTAGGTCATGTAGAAAGAAAGAAAGAAAAGAGAAGTGGGCAGAGTACAGCACCTTGGGGGACACCAACTTCAGTGAGCTCAGCAGAGGAGGATTCACCTTTGTATACGGTGTACTGCATTCTGTTTGAAAAGTAGGAATGCAACCAGTTAGTGACCCAAGACTCAGGTTGTGTCATAGAGAGCTTATTTAGCAAGACACATCTAGGTACAAAGTCAAAAGCAGAAGTGAAGTCGAGAAACGTGCAACGAACATATATGGCACTTTTATCTAATGATGAGACGATACTGTTGTGTAAGACGGCTGCAGCGTCTAAAGTACTCTTATCCTGTCTATATGCAAATTGTTTGGGTTCTTCAAAACTTTTAAGGGAGAGTTCAAGTTTAAAAAGTACTAGTTTCTCCATCAGCTTTGGAAACGGGGAAGTAATGACAATGGATCTGAATTTTTTTTTATTCTTGTTATTTCCAGGTTTAGGGATAGCGACTTTTTTTGGAATGTCTTTCCATGCCATTAAGTTATGCCAACGCTTTCCACACTAACACTCAATGATGCATGCCACCTGGGATTCAATCTCCGATTGATGCACTCCTTTAGCTTTTCTTAGACGGTGTTAAAGCCAGTTGGTTGGTTTTCACAACAAACAGCTACTATAAAACTTTCACAGAAAAAACAAACAAACATTAATCTATACGATGCAAATAAATACTTGTTACTTGTTAGACAGAACATACCATGCCTGTTATATTATTCATTTTACCAACTGTATACATCAGCCATCTATTGACAGGATCTAATTTCGATAGATCCAGTGAATCTTTGATCAACTTTACAGTATATACCAAATTATCCGAGTGACTTGGTTTTATGCCTAAGAGAGAATAGCATTACATGTTATTATTACTATTATTATTAACGTTGTTTAGAAAAGAAAGTAGATTAACAATACACTAAAACGATATCATTATGTAGAAGATTTGTAACTCAGGTGGATAATTTCGATTTGAGTTGTGTTCTCCAAAAGGGGTTCAGTGGTTGATTTAACTTGCAAAGCATTCATTGTCTCCCTTCTAAACAACATCACTTTAAGTTCCATATTAGTTTGTTGATTAGATGTATCACAACAGTGAAACAGTATTACTGATAAGGTCTCCAACACAATCTATCATTGTTCATAATCATGCCATCAATTATAATCACACGACTTCAAAAATTGAGTTTTATAGTTTTCTGTGTTCTCTCCTATTTGTCGTCGTTGGAGTAGTAGAATCTTGCAGATATCTAGCTGGACAGGTGTTGAATCATTCCTATGACACGTATTCTCTCTCAGTTGATTCGGTAAACAAAGCTTCCATTGTTATCAATCTCTCCCTCCACCTTGTTTTTATATTAAATGTCAAAACTGTCATCCTATCCCATCCAGCCTATTGTATGGTTGAGTGTAACTGCATGTAGTAAGTGCTAAAGCTGAACTATTCTCTAAATTTCTTATATTATTCGGGTCAACTAACCTAGATTTTGCTAGGTTTTTATGTTCGGCCAGTCTGACTGCCCCTGTTCTACAACTTTCACCTATGTATCTGACCTGACAATCATTGAAGGCAGGGTATTAGATGAAGTAAATTGTTTTGTTATAAATGCTTCACAGGATTGACCTTTCAACCGACAAAGCTTGTTTCTAATAGAGTTTTCGGGTGGTTTGAATGCCAGTCAGCCTTCTTAAGAATTCTGCGTAAGGTCTCCAACATTCTTTCCTTCTATGGAATCACTACTGATGATTTAGATTCCTCATTTTTAGTGCAAAGTTCTATGTCGAAGACAGATAGACAACATTGCTCGTTGTCGAGGAAGGCGATGTCTAGACAGACATGCGTAACAAACGTCCTAACCATCTCACGCAGCCGAAGTAGAACTTCACAACTTCATTGATTGATTTCGCCTCCTTAACCCGCACTCGACGGATACCCAACCTCAATATACCCCACCTAATCACATCACATCAAACAGGAGATAAAACACATGCCTACGATCAAAGACAGCTAATCATCCGTTTCTTGTCTTCCACTCTCAATGGCCAGGTCTCACAGCCATGAAGGTGGACAGAGCGGACTGATGAGCAGTGCACTCGCCCTTTGGTCGATATCCGGCCGAATATCACGTCTAATACGCCAGAGACGGCGTAAACTGACATATGTGAGACTAGCCCTCTGTAGCGGTGCTGAGATTTCGTCAGAGATCAACCCGTTGTGCCACTTGCAGTTGGATCAGTTCTATCTGTCCAGGTAATTGAAAGAGACGACTACATTTAGAATTATACTGTCAGAAATGATTCATATTTATTGTTAATTGGGTATCTATTCAGCCACACTTTATCTACACTGGAACGTTAATATATTACATAAGAAATCAAAAGCAACAATAACATCGAAAATGTACATGGAGAAGAAATTCACTTACGTAGTAAATTTAATAAGTGATTACAGAATGTCAAATAACTTTCTGAATAATGTTCTGATACAAAATCTAACATTGGTTTCAACCATTCCTCCTAGAGTAGAATACAAAAGAAGAAGAAGAAAAAAGAACTGGAAAAGCGTCAGGAAGACTATTCAACTTGGAATACTGATGTCCATCTGAAAAGTAGTAGAAATATAATGAAACACGTGGAACTTCATTATTATTTCATTAAGCGATGAAGATTGTTGGTGAGTCTCATTCCGATGTAAACGCAGCTTTGAAAAGTATACCTAGCTAGATATTACGAGGAGCGATAACTTGTAATTACTTGCCTGATAGAGCAATACAAACTCGGTGGCACATTTCCTCATATTTCGGACGCATCGAATGCATTTACTTGCTGCCCAGTGAGTTCCGGTATTGATGAAAATAGAACCCGTAATAGACACCAATCCACCAACCAACAGAAGCGGAAATCATGAATGTAGTCAAGCTAATGAAGTCTAGGAAGGTAGAAGGACAAGACGGAATTCCCCATGAAGCACCGAAAATAGACCCCCAACACTGTAGCAGATATACCGACACCATTATTGCAAGAGATTTGCAAAGAAGGAAAGGTGCTTATAGATTAGAATAAAGGCCGGCTACCTCGTCAAGCTTCAAAGACGTCAAAGCTGGCCAAAATCGGAAAGGCAAGATACGACTTTATCAATCTGAAACCAGTTTGGAAATCTGATGCACTGCACTCAGTATTAGGAACAAAGTTCGGATTTTCAACATAAATGTGGTCAGTCTGTTCTTCTATATGGGTAGAAAGTTGGCGTCGGCTTCACCAGAAGCATTTCCAACAGTCTGTTGCAGACCATTGTCGACAGCTGCCTTCGCTGGCTACGTACCGAAGATGAAATGGCCGACCAGGAAGAATTATCAACGAGAAACTATTGGAGCAAACTAACCAATTATTATCTTCTTTAGTTCCTAGAGGAACATAGGCCTTCAGCCACACGTCTACATCGCGTTCGGTTCCCCGCCAACCTTTTCACATGGTCCCACATCTGTTCACATACCTTCATCTCCAAATCACATGACCTCCTCCATGTCACCCTCGCACCGACAACCAACTTGCCACTCTTCATTCACATTCCACTCAAGTGATGACCTGGTGTGTGATGTCAATAACTTGATGGTTTGTTTTCTCACACTATGGCCAGCCAGTCCCCCTCGATTTCTTCCTGCATATTTATTGCACAATCGGTTCCTGCCGGGCTGGTTCGTTCATTGCCAGAGATCCCACACGTATCCATTACATTCCGTTATCTGCTAATGTTTTCACCTGGCTCCAAGTCTGCCCACATGCATTCATCTCCTCATGACATGACCTCCTCCAAGTCACCCTCTCACTGACGACCAACTCACCGCTTCTCTTTCGGGTTCTACTCGAGGGCTTGTATAGTGATATCACTTGATGGTTTCACTTGGTGATTCGTTTATTCAGAGTATGGCCAATCCATCTGCATTTCTTCCTGCCTATTTGTTTCACAATCGGTTCCCGGTTAGTTCGCTCCCAGATCCCTGTTGATGATCTTTTCTGGCTGACCATCTGATCTTCAGTTTTGAGCGAAGACAACTGTTAATGAAGGTCTGAAGTTTGTTTGGGGTGCTCTTCCTGACGCACCAAGTCTCTGATCCGTATAGAGAGTAGCATTGGCTTCACATTGGAATTGAAAATCCGGATGTTATTTTTCATGTTGAGTGCTGTTGACCTCCACACAGACTTAAGAGTAGTGACAGCTTGTCTTGATCTCCCGATCCTTGCTTTGATATCCTCGCCAGTTCCGCCTGTAGTTGAAACGATGCTTCCCAGGTAGGTAGGTAGGTAGGTAAGTAGAGGAGGTGGTTTCTTTCAGGTTCCTCCCATTTATGCTGGCTGATTGTTGTCTGTTGTTGTTGCTGTTGGCCAGGAAACTTCATCACCTCTGTTTTATCTATGTTCACCTGAAGTCCAATCTTTGATGCTTCTTCTGTCAGCTTGTTGCTTTTCACCGGCATATCTTCCAGTTTATGTGAAATCAGACATATATCATCGGAGAAGTCCAGATCCTCCAAGTTTTTGTGTGAGTCCATTTTATGCCTGTTTCCTCATCGTCCGCCGCTGTCTGTCACATTATCCAATCTACTGCAATCAGGAAAATCATTGGCGATAGTAGGCAGCCAGCTTACCTTACTCCCGTCTTCACTTCGAAGGATTCCGTAAGTTTCCCGTTATGGATCACTTGTCATGCAGCATTGTCGTATAACTGTTGGATGAGATGTATAATTGTCGATGGCAGCCCTTGGTAGTAGTGAAGTAGTTGCCAAATCACCTCTTGATCGACGCTGTCCTGTCCAAGGCCTTTTCAAAATCAATGAAGTTGTGGCAGACAGCTGAACACCATGATCAATACAAAAATGGCAATAGTAATCAAGCATGAGTATATCATTCGACACAGAAGACATTTTTTTCTCTCAGAAATACTTACTCATGGAGAAACACGCAAAAATTTACTCTTCATAAAGGCTAAGCAGGAAGATGTTGTGTCTGGACTGATGTTCAGTGAACCTTTTTTTCTTGTGACAATAAAATTTAAATCTTAGAAGGCGAGATTTACAATACCGGCAGCCAAAAATATTCAAATGGTATGGCTGATTTGAAGTCTTGAGTGGATACAGAACACAAAATTGATGTTAACCAGGCTTTCAGAGTCATTAACAACATATCAACAAATCTTAATTTCGCCTTAAGAGTTCGATTACTAAATATTGCTGAGGCTGTTGGGATGCACATCAAGAAGCCTAATTTATGCGTCCAAAAGAAGGTAGTTCAGACATTCTCCTTATCTTGGCCATCCACGTTTGAATAATCCTGATTTTTTGTGGAATTTTTCTAATTTTAGTTGATATTCTATTTGCTATTATATCTTTATTATTATTATTATTATTATTATTATTATTTAAGCATCTTTAATGAAATATAATTTCATAGTGATCTTACTTTACAAATCGATGTTATTTAAAAAAAAACACTAATATTGTTATTGACTAACTATTCTAAAGTTATCTATTTATACAAACATATGTATATAATTGTAGAGCCAGAAGAGGAAATTATCGAAAGGTGGATATTCTTTGCTCAACCTTTTTTGTGTTTCATAGATGTCTGAATGAATATTTTCGCTATACTGAAAAAAGAAGTAGTACTACGTCGCCGACTGATTCTTTCAACAGCCTTGTATACGAGTAGGATTTACAAGAACAGACATTATTATTTATTCGATAGGATAAACTAACCTTCGCTAAACATAAACTGGCCAATTCATGCATTGAATCTTCGCCGGGTAGTTTATTAATAATATACTGTAATAGAGGATAATAAGAAAATAAATTAGTTTAAGTAACAGGATTACCATTAGATTCCTTTAGCTAGACATTTTAGGCGGCCTTTTTATTTCAAAAACACACAATACTACTATTACTATTCCTTCGGGATCCGAGTGATATGTAGCCACATAATATGTGTGTTTGTTTTCACAGTCTGTTATATTTTGCTATGTATATATGGATAGATATTCCATTATAACTGACAATATGTTTTTGTCTGTCCACTAACTAAACAAACATGTCTGACCTTGTTGTCACGTGACATTACAACCAATCGTGTTAAGACTGTCTATTGATTCGTTCATTTTTTAACATTCGCTCATACACTTGTGTGACATTGATTTTCCTTGTTTGAAAAATACAAGTATCATCGTGAACCAGGTGGTTTTCTGATTTCCGCCTTCTTGCATCAGTACTATTAATTTCTCGACCAGTACATAACACCGAGTAGAACATAAAGCCCTCAAATAGCACATCTCGATTATGTTCTCGTGTCCATGCAGTCTTCTTCAGGTGCCCGGAAGGATAGCTTATAAAGCTATCGTTTCCACACCGAATGATCTTCTGCATTTCACACTCACACCGACGAACAGCTCTTCGTCTCACATTCAGGTTCCACTCGGACGATGGCCTGGTACGCAATGTCATTCAACGGCTGATCTATCTGCGTTTCCCGCGGAATATTTGTTTGAGCGATAGGCCCTAACCTGATGGTTCGTTCGACTGCAGAGTTTTTTTTTTGGCTGCTAATTCTTTCTTTCTGGCCAGCCATCCGGCCATTTGACACTGGTGTTGAAAGTCCGAATTTTGTTGTCTGTGCTGAGTGGAGTGGAGCATAGTGCAGAAGACTTCCAAACCGATTGCAGAGTGATGAAGGTTTGTCTTGCCTAAACTGATTCCAGCTGGTTTTGACATACTCACCTGTAGTTGAAATATTGCTTCCTAGCCGGATGGATATAAGTGAAGAAAATGACCTCTTTCAAATTGCTTCCGTTAATAGTAATTGGTACTTGTTGTTGTTGTTGGTAGGTTAGTTGGCTATCTCTTAATCAGCTTCGTCTTCATGGTGTTCCCTTGAAGTACTCTCTTTGCTGCTGATTAGTAGTTATTAGCATAAAACGCAATTGACAGCAGTTACCTACCCAATGTGGTTATCGGGCTCTCACGTTCTATAATGATCAACCAAGTCAGGAGATATGTTCCTTCAGAGATTACCATCCTATAGACATTTTTTGAGAACCGGCTAAACTAAAAGAAGTTACAATAATAGAACAAGTTGTCTAAAATATATTTGTCTGTGTGGGAGGGGTGGTCTCAAGGTGTGATTGTACCGCTGGTGAACAGGGATAAAACAACAGTCGGATATTTCAACCGGATGACAAGCAAACTAGTTATGCTGTTTTTCTACTCTAAAGAGGATGCTTAAGTTTACCCTGTAGCGGTTCACAGCTAGCAGTAATATCCTCATAGGGATACAACTTCAAAAACTACTTCAAACCTGATATGGATGACAGGACTAAAATAGTTGTCCCTTGGGCACTGCGGTCACACTATCCTAGTGCTTCTTGTGTTTCGCATATTTCAAGAATGAATGAATTTAAACAGTGTGGGTAGCCGTTGCGTGCAAGGTAATGACTGCGCACAAGGCCCTCGTGATCATTATTTGTCATCAGTTCTTCAAAACACCATACTATACAGAACACAATGCTCTCCTTCTTGTAGGTCTCTATACATTGCAACAACACAGCACTTTGGTCCTAGTAACTTTGTAATCACCAAAACATAAGGTATTAAGTATTCAATCTATAATCAATCGAGGAGTACTTTTTCGGCAAAATACCAACTTATCGATAAGTTCCTGTATTTGGGTAGTTGTGTGAGGGCCGGCGGATGAGATTTTCGGCCGTATTTTGAGAGCTAGAATGGCAGACGTTAACTTCAGCCACCTCTGGCGCCATCGTGACGTCACCCTGGCTGTCAAACGTTGGGTTTCCAATGTTTCGGTGCGGCTGTCTTGCTCTGTGCCTGTGAAACCTGGACTCTCCGAGCTGAGGATGTGCGGCTACTCTGTGTATTCAAGCATCGCTATTTGAGTAGGATTCCTTGCGTTCGATGGTATCATAGTGTGGAGAATTCTGAGATCCGGTGGTGTGCGTTAGGACACAGTGGAGATCACCATTCATTGAGTGTCGTCGTCATCTGGAAACACCGGCTCAGTTGGTATGAGTATGTGCTACGAATGTTGTCCCAGAGGTTTCCTGCAGGCCTTCCAATGTTTCTCTAACCAAAGTCAGTTTATGATGAAATCCCCCAACCAACCGATCAATCAAATCCCTCGACACCAATACGTTTATAATCATTTAAATTCTTGAATTATCATTTGGTTCCCGTCCATTTTACCACAGGATGAAAACAAAAAATGAGGAAATTAAATGTTACGTAATAACCACGTCATTATTCCGTGTAGTTAACCAGGAGCCATACCTATTATAAAACGTCTAGTGATGGTGTTGTGAGAGATATCTGCAAGCTAAAATTGTAGATAACAATTTACGTCAGTGTTTACGTCCTGAATCGGGGTCATGAGAGAAAACAATAACAAAGCTTGACCTTCAGGAACTCACCAACCAATCATAGAAGACTTAACGTCTGCAAACAGGATTCATAGATATATGGCTTAACCTTCTGAGAAACGGTCACAAGCAGTACAGAATAATCTTCAGCAAGAAAACAACCAATTAGAAGACGTTGCTTCTCCGATAACAATAATGCACATAAAAATCTATAAATATGACTTGATTTTCTCAACAAACGATGTGTTGTCTGACTCTTGTCTTCTGCAGTTACAATGTTACCAGACTACCTAAATTTTCCCAGGTAGAGGTGACTTGAACCCCTGACCACCCATTTGATTGGAAGTCGGAGTGTATTGTATAGATCAACAAGCCACAGCTGCATCAACAGAAGACATCAGAGATGCATAGAAACTATTTTTCGATGGTTTTATTATTGAAAAATTAAACGCAGGTGTAAACTCTTTGGATGAATTTTTTCGTGGTACGATTTTCAAGACACAAAAGCCATCACTCTGAAGGTTACATAATGTGTACATTTTCATTTTTCAACCCAATCTTATGTATGCTAATTAACGAAAGTAATGTAACAGCCAATTAAACGAATTCGTTAAACAAGTTAATTAATTTTCGATTTATACAGGATTTCAATAAATTTGATTGTAGATTTTAAACCCAATGGGCTCGCTTCACAATTTAATGACCCTGTCTTTGATTCTTGATGTCATGTTCATTGGTGTGTACCGCCAAACAGTTTCAGACTAGGACGTAACACCTATCCAATACTCTTGAGTTTTGCATACAAGATAACAATCTTCATGAGTTAGCATCAGACAGAGATTATTATATTATTATCTTCTTTAGTTCCTAGAGGAACATAGGGCTTCTCCCGCACGTCTTCATTGCATTCGGTTCTCTACCAACCTTTTCACCAACCCTCTCTACGTCTACCCACCTACTTCCATCTACTCTTCACATGACCTCCATCATGTCACGCTCACATCGACAAACAACTCACTGCATCATGTTTGGGTAACACTCGAGCGATGGCGTGTGATGTCACTCACTTGATGGTTTGTTTTTTTCAGGGTATGGCTAGCCAATCCACCTCGATTTCTTCCTGCTTATTTGTTGCATAATCGGTTCCGGGTTGGTTCTCTCCCAGAGATCTCTGTTGCTGATCTTTTTTGGCCGGTCATCTGATCGAGTATTGAGCGAAGACAACTGTTAATGAAGGTCTGTAGTCTGCTTGAGGTGCTCTTCCTGATGCGTCAAGTCTCCGATCTGCACATAGTAGCACTGACTACACATTGGCTTTGAAAATCCGGATCTTATTTTCATTTTCATGTTGAGTGCTGTTGATCTCCACACAAACTACACAGTAATGAAAGCTTGCCTTGCTTTCCTATCAGCTAGAGAATCACTGAAAAAACATGTAAGGAGTATTGGACAGTTGTTTTGCCACCCTCTAGTTTGAGAATCTTCAGCAGTACACCCTCACTAGGATTCGAACGCAGGACCATTTTTTCACTCTTTGGGTTCCGAGTGGAATACAGCGTTTCACACTTGAGCATTGAAGTTCCAAAAGGCATAGAGCCGTTTTTAGGAAAACAGAGGTTACTAGTCTAGTGCCAGACCGCCCTTTCTTTTTTCAAGTTTATTATTGGCTAAGCAAGGTTCGACAGTGCGCCGAAAATCGAACTCGCACCTGCAGCGTAGGCGTCGGGTCAGTGAAACATTGAAACCACCAACTTCAGTAAAAATTCGACTGAAAATATTCAGATATCCAGTGTTGCAAACACGAAAAGTCTCGTAAAAATGGTTACATGGTTGTACTACTGTTTAAGACGGAGAAGAACATTTTATGCACATTAAGAAAAGAAGCAGACGTCAAAATTATTCAACGAGGAGAAAAAAAGGGAAAAGAATTACCTGTAAAGTTGGTGCATCAAAACCATTCTGATAAATTTGACGTGCAATCGACAAAGTGTTGGTTTTTCCACAATTGGCAATTATATCAACTACTATATTGGTATAAATATATGTATATATATATATATATTTTTAAATAAAAATTAGCACATTGATTAGTAGAATTAAAGAAATAAGGGTGATAATGATTTTTTAACTCATGGAAAATTCCCATTGTAACATATAGAAAATCAAATCAAGTGATGATTCAGCGAAGAGACTCTTTTCAACAACGAATTTATCATCAAGCTGTACAGTCGTATATATATATGGTTTTTAAGAAGTTATATCCGATGAGGGAATTGAATCTTACAGCTGTATTCTTCATCAGCTAATTTAATGTGAACTTATCAAGGAGGACCGATGGAACTCTGAAGACATCGGTTTATCGAAAGCTCTCATGGAATGGTCAACTGACAAATTTCTACAGCTGGCTACCCATTGGTCGAAAACGAAACCTGGTCCGGTCACTTGCCACTCGTATTCGGCGCATATGTAGCACTGATAATGTGGAAGATGAGTTATACATTTTGAGGTTAATCCTAATGGAAAATGGATTTCCATCACGTTTCATAGATAAGAATATACATTCAAATTCTATAAAACGTGACTTATCATCCGTACCCAAGAAAGTACTGTACATGAGCTTGGAATCCAAAAGGGACTTAGCTTCCGATATTATTATGTACTCGTCTCCAAATTATTGTTATGTACTGGTCGAGAATTTAATAGTCGTGACGCAAGAAAGACGGAAATCAGAAGACCACTAGGTTTGCGATGATACTTCTATTTTCCAAACACCAGGAGAATCAAAATGTCACACAAGAGTGTGAGAGCACAAATATATGAATGCCCGAGCAAGTGTGTGAGCGAATATTCAAAATGAACAAATCAATAGACAGTCTTAACATGATTGGTCAATTATAAATGAATACCGATCCATATATACATAGCAAAATATATCGCTGTCAAACAAACACATATTATGTGGATATATATCAGATATCATGAAACGAAGGATATCACAGTCCCTGAAAAGAACATTCCCTGCTGCATATCTGAGAATAGCCTTTACTATCCGACCATTGCTGTTCAATAACCTGAAGGACAAGATCCCACTGTTGACGAACTCTGTGTTTATCAATTCACCTGCTGGTGTGGAGCTAGGTATATTTGCTTAGCCACTTAACATTTAACTACGATTATAATCACAAACATTTTAGTTTTAATTGCACTTCATACTATTATTATTTTATGCATTCACACCTATGATTCAATTCCCTCATTGGATATAACTTCTTAAGAGTCATATATATGCGACTGTACAGCTTGATGATAAATTCGTTGTTGAAAGAGTCTCTTCGCTGAATCACTTGTTTTGATTTTCTATATAATGACTTTTGACAAATAACTTATTTTTCTACAGTTGGTTTGCAAGGATTAGATTTGCTTTTACGAGTTGATCACGGATTAATATCAGTTAGAGATGCACAGAAAACCACCATCATCAGTAGTACGCACACACTGCCGGGCTTCGAACCCCGGACGTTCCGGTGACAAGACAAGCTGGCTCGTATGCCATTCAGCCACTAGGACCGGATTCAGGGGTTAACCCATGAAGTCTACACCTTCTACCAATTCGTGATTTTAGCTCGACTGGCATCAACCAATATCATCGGTGGGAAATCAATCATCACACTTGACTGGTTGAACCTCACTGGTCACAACTTCTCACTAGCACTCCAGGAAACTGCAAGTCACTAGCGAGCATCACATTAATTTTCTATAGTTTGGTTTGTACGGATTAGTTTTGTTTTTACGAGTTTGACCACGTATTGATTGATATCAGTTAGAGAACCAATGAAAACCAGCCACACGGACTACTGGGCAGTTGTTTAATAATAATAATAATAATAATGATTTACTTTATTCCAAAAACAGTACTTGTGATACAGAATGGAATTTTCAGCATTAATCACAATATTGCATCTAATTTCCTCAAATTATAAATAAAATTAATCACACAGAAAATTTTCCACATTTACAATAGAGGTAGTGTCAAAAACATGCAGCATATAAAATGGAAATAGCAATAATAATGATAACAGCTAGGGTAATAATAATAAGAATACAAGTGAAAATTGCCGTTGGCTTGTGTCACACAGTATTGGCAATGTGGTATAGAAATCCTAACATGTTTAAAAATATTGAATATAATGTTCTCTTTACATGATATGGTGAAGGGAAAAACAAAGATTACAGCCGTCATGGAGATAAGTTGGTGTTTGCAATTATGAGAGTAAAACAAAGAAGTAACAGGACCATAAATATAATAGAAGTAATAAAAGTAAAACTTGAAGGTATATAAGGATGGATGGAGGAAATTGTTTATTTACTAGATGAAAAAAGGTTAGTTAATTCTTGCCTGACACTATTTTCATCACATAAAATACGTGCCAAGTATGGTATCATAGAATTCTTATACTTAGACGTGCGAGCATACAGTTTTCTGAAGTTACTCCTTGTTCTACCTGAGGAGATGCAAGGTGAAAGCTGAGGGTAAAGCGGATGCTCCAAGTCAGACAAAATCCCTTTAGCAAATTTATTGCACGAAGTCAAGTGCCTATCGACAACGACGTTAACTATGTGGTCCACTGGGACACCACTCACCCTACTGACAGTCTTCAGTATTCTACGAATTGTGACATAGTCTTTTTTAAGCAAACCAGGAAAGAATAAGGGTGAACAATAAAGAAGAATAGGTAGGATGCAAGAGTTTATGAACTGTAAGAGGAGAGGGGTTGAGTTATACCCGAGTGTCTTAACTTCTTAATGTAAAATGTCAGGCGGAATATTTTACTGGAGATTGCTAAGACATGGGAAGACCAGGAGAGATCAGAAGAGAGAATGAGTCCAAGATACTTAATTTCTGATTTGATTCCTATATCATTGTCGTCAATTTTACAACTGTCATGAGAATCGATGACTTCTTTTAACTGTCGTTTACATCTTAAGCTGAAATCAACAGTTTGACACTTAGAAGGATTCAGTTTAAGACCGTTAGACTCAGACCATTTGCTGACTTCCGATAGAAAGCTATTTATTTTAGTACAATCTAGCTGGGAGTTAACAGCCATTGAAACCGTTAAATCATCAGCGTACTTCACAAAGTTTATTTCATCAGAGTGAGGCAAGTCATGCAAGAAGAAAGAAAAAAGAAAAGGAGAAAGAACAGCGCCTTGAGGGACACCAGCTTCAGTAGGCAATGAAGTGGAAGACTTCCCTTTATATACGGTGTACTGCTTTCTATCTGAGAAATAGGAATGTAACCAGTTAACAGCCCAACATTCTGTTTGACTAGCAGCAAGTTTATTTAATAAGATGTCCCTAGGGACCGAGTCGAAAGCAGATGTATAGTCTAGGAAGGCGCAACGAACAAATTTAGCCCCCTTGTCTAGACTGGAAGCAATGTTATGATATAAGACGGCAGCTGCATCTAAAGTGCTTCTACTGTGCTTATAGGCGAATTGTTTAGGGTCATTAAAGGATTTAAGCGAAGGTACGAGACTAAGTAAAAGTAATTTCTCCATAGTTTTCAAAAAAGGAGAGGTAATAGCAATGGGTCTAAATTTGACACATGCTCCAGTGGATGATTTAGGTATGGGTACAACTTTAATGTCCTTCCAAACGGCAGGCACAATATTATCGGAAAAAGATTTGTTAAATAGATCAGTAAGAGGGTGACACAGAATATCAGAACATTTTTTAAAAATAATACTAGGTACATAATCGGGACCTAAGCTCTGGGAAGGGTTTAGAGACTTGAGGCACTTTTGAACATCATTTGTGTTAAAACCTGGAAAGGGGCTATTATTAACACAAGTGATGCTGGGAAGCATGGCATTTGAGGGAGAGTAAATAAAAGATTTGTTAAGAGTACATACATCAAAAGAATATGGAATATTGTTTATCTGCTTACCACCAGTGATTTCCTTAAATACTTTCCACATATTAGAAGGATTTTTGCAGGATATGAATTTCTGGTTATATATTACATTCAACCTCTGCATTTCAGACTTAATTAAGAAGTTAGTTCTTTTTACACCATTTTTCATTCTAGTTTGACAATCATTGGCAGTAGGCAACCAGTGGCTGTGAATGGTATACGACCTAGCTTGCCTTGTTACCGGAAGGTCCTGGGTTTTAACCCTTGCATTGGGTGCATACTGTTGATGATTTCTAAATTTTAGTCAACACATACACACATTTAACTAACTCCTAAAATACACAGATCATGCATGGTAGAGCCCAGGTGACGTACAGATATCCTTTTTTTGAGCATCACTAGAATCTATTAAATAAATGATAGCTGTTTTCCAGCTGTAATCTCACAAATGGAGATCGAATAGTCTGGACCTTCTCATGAATATTCACACAACCAATGGTTTGAAATTCGATGGCTCATGAAATCGAACTTCTCTCTGCTAATTTTATTAGACCGTACCTTTAATTTCTTTCTGTGGTGGAATTCACCCATACAAAAAACTCAGTCTCCTAACAAATAAATTTTCATCATGAGCTGACATCAGTTAGAGAACCACTGGAAAACCTGGGAGTACTGGACAGCTGTTTCGTCCTAGTTTGGGACTCTTCAGCAATACGCACCCATAGGGGTTCGAACCCAGGACCTTCTGGTTACAAGGCGAGCTCGTAGACCATTGAGCCACCGGGACCTGATCGAATGGCCAGCTCATGAATCCTAACTTCTGCCAATTCACGATATAGCGCGACCACTTCGCAATATCGTGAATTGGCAGAAGTTAGAATCCATGAGCTGGCCATTGGATCAGGTCCCGGTGGCTCAATGGTCTACGAGCTCGCCTTGTAACCAGAAGGTCCTGGGTTCGAACCCCTGTGGGTGCGTATTGCTGAAGAGCCCCAAACTAGGACGAAACAGCTGTCCAGTACTCCCAGGTTTTCCAGTGGTTCTCTAACTGATGTCAGCTCATGGTGAAATCCTCCATGTAATTTGCTTATATTTCACTTCTGAGTCATCCCATTCTTCTTGGTCATCATAGCTATTTACAAAATATGGCTCAAAATCCTCGTTCTCGATGATGGCTGGGGCAGATCCACCCAGTCCTTGTGACTTATATTATTCAATAAAACTATGTGGTTCTTCGGTATTACCATCTTTTTTGTATCATAACTCTGACTACTGTCTGTCTCTGTTTTGCATTTCTTTTTACTTTCTTTTATTGCTTTGTGTGCCAACTAAGTGAAGTGTGGTGACTCGGCCTGGTGCATATCGGTGCAGAGTAGTTCTACGTTGAAATCGGATAGTCAGTTAGTCAGTCAGCCAGGCAGTATATACAACCTACAGTACAGATAAGCTGGGAAGCATCGTTTCAACTACAGGCCGACGGAACTGACGAGGATATCAAAGCAAGGATCAGGAAAGCAAGACAAGTCTGTGTGGAGGTCAATAGCACTCAGCATCGAAAATAACATCCGGATATTCGACTCCAATGAGTAGTCAGTGCTACTATGCGGATCAGAGACTTGGCCAGCGCGTCATAAAGAGCATCTCAAACAAACTTCAGACCTCCATTAACAGTTGTCTTCGCTCAATATTCAAGATCAGATGGCCAGAAAAGATCAGAAACAGGGATCTCTGGCAATGAGCGAACCAATTCAGCAGGAACCAATTGTGCAAGAAATAAGCAGGAAGAAATGGAGATGGATTGGTTGGCCATACTCTGACGAAACCATCAAGAGACATCGCTAGACAAGCCATTGCTCGAGTAGAACCCGAAAGGGAAGTGACGAGTTGGTCGTCATTGCAAGGGTGACTTGGAGGAGGAGGTGATGTGAAGAGGAGATGAAATTATGTGGAAAGACTTGGAGCCAGGTGAAAACTTAAGCAGAGAACCGAGAACACTGAAGCCCTATGTTCCACTTGGAATTAAAGGAAATAATAATAGTAATACAGTACGGACAAACTTACCACAATTTTGATATTCATCAATAGTCAGTTGATTAAGACAGTCAGAAACAATAATATCATATAGTATATCACGTCTTTCATGTAGAATTGATAAACTCCATTCTTTGGTACTATTTAAATTTAAAGAAACAAACAAAAAAGAAAAAAACAAGTCAAGATAGCTTGCATTCAAAAAGGTAGAAGAAGCATTTACACTTAATAAATTAGGATTGAAATTAATAAAATATAACCAAAACCTATGACAGTATTAAAATTCACATAAACACCTCTAAGCTAAGCGAAATATATGTGATAGTGTTGTTATAATTCCCTTAATAATACTACTCCTTAGCTCCAGTGTTAACTAACTGGTGGGTGTAATAAGGTGAGAAGTGTTGAGGTTAGGCATCGGTCGAGTGCTAGGTTAGCAGGGAAGGGAAATCAATCAACGAGGTTGTAAAGTTACACCGCTTGATTGAAATGGTCAGGACATATGCTACAGATCCATGTCTAGCCTTCCTCGACGACGGGCAATGTTACCTCACTGACAGAGGATTGAACAGGTTGGTAAAGAACTAGCTAGTTAGTGGTGGTTAAACCAAAAACATGACTTCATCAGTCCATGAAATCCATAACAGTTAGTTTAAGTCAGACATGTAGGGAGGTGTTGACAGCCAGTCCAGTTGGGTTCATCAGGATAATAAAAACCAGTGTCGGCTGGAGACATCCGGTAATATGGCTGAAAATCTTCATTCTCAAGGGTGGCGTAGATGCATTCACTCTTTGTGATTTGTCATATCCATCCAATTAAACTCTATTGTTTTTTTCCCTCACATTTCTGTTTATTACCACTCTTTTGAACCTGTCTTTGTTGTCTTCTCTTGATTTGTGTTGTACACTGTGGGGTTGTGGTAACTTGAACTATTGCGCATCTGTGCTACGTTGAAATCTAGTCAATCAGTATTGTTCCCTAAGGTTCTGAATGGAAAATAGGGCTTTAACAGAATATTTCCATTTCAGCCCGAACCCCGCATTCCTCTACATCTACATCTACATCTACATCCTATGTCGAAAACAGACAGACAGACAGACATCTGGCTCCACAGTTGCCAATAAGATGTCATCTCCTTCCAATACCATTTTCTCCATAATACTCAGTCAGCAAAATCTACAACAGTCAATTTAAGTCAATCACATAGGAAGACGTAGACTGGCTGCCTGGTTGGGATCCTTGGAATAGTAAACACCAATGAAGAGTGGAGACAATCGGTGGGTGATATGGTTCAAAATCCTCGTTCTCAATGGCTGGTGCAGATGCATCCCCTCCTATTGACTTACAATACCCAACAAAACTATACATTGTTCTTCGTTATTACTATTCCTTTTGTCTTACTCCTCTGTCTACTGTTTCTATTTTGCATTTCCTTTTTATTTTCTTCTCTTGCCTTGTGTGCTACACGGAGGGAGTGTGGCGAATTGAACTGGTGCACATCAGTACAAATTTTTTTTATATCGAAAACAGACAGAACACATATACACTATACAATACAAAGAAATCAACGCTTACACGGGATGTATAAGACCAGCAATTAATAAGGCAACAGAAGTAGCATTATCCGGTGCATATCGATACCATTCTCTGAAACAATTTAAACAACACTCAGATGTTGTAATGCTGTTGTTGGTGTTAGCGTTGGTGTTGTCGTCACTATTCGCCTTTTCCAACCATTTCAATGCTAAATATGTCCAATTTATAGACGACTGAAATATTGAATCATCTTGGAATAAACGTTGACAAACCACCAACCATATAGGTATATCTGAATTTAATGGATCAACTCGTGGGGTTATTGTTTGAAATAAATGACACGGAACAGTTTGTGTTAACCAATTCACTGTTCGATCAATTACTTGATCAATAGTTGAAGAAGCAGAAGAGGCGGAGATTTTGATTAATGAATCAAGGTGTTTTAATGCATTTCTATTCGGATTAATTATACTACTATTATTATTATGAGTAGTAGCAGTAGTATTTAAGTTGACTGGGAAATGATTAACAAATTCATGATTTGTATGCAGTAATCGATTATGCTGTATGATATGATCACCGTGTATGAGATATGGTGTAACAAGGATTGTTCTTATTGTTTTTGGTAGAAATAACAGACTATATTGGAGGGCTGATTGTTGAAGAGTGTAGATGGTATCAGGTGAATCAGCTTTACCTAAAACAAAACGACACAATTAAAAAATAACACAATTAAAGCAAACCGTTTCATGCGGAAAAAAGGTAGACACAATAAAATGCGCAATATTATATCGCAATATCCTGCGTTAACGAATAGATTGAAGATTGAATATCCTGTGTTAATTCGCAAGGATTTGATGATGAATATTGATATTCACGGATTTTGTATTCAGCAGCAGTCCATGATTGTTGACTTGAATCTGTGTAATTCGTTTTCAGCAGTTAGACGGAGATCGTTCGTTTGGCTGATTAGATTTTCTGTTCAATTATTGGTTGCAGCAGTCCATGATCTCAGCATAAAAGACATAAAAATGTATCTTAAAAAATTATGCTGTCCTTCGACATTGAGTCACTTTTCACCAATGTCCCACTCACAGAAATGGTCTGCTTCATATGCAGATATATAGATGACAAACACTTCGATATTGGAATACCGACAACATACTTGAAAGAATTATTATAGAGGTGCACTCTGAACATCCAATTCACATTCAACGACACCATCTACAGACAACTGCAATGGGATCTCCGTCGGATCCACTACTATCAGATTGCTTCGTGGCAAGCCTCGAGACAGGTCCAGTAAAGCCAAGCATTGACAATTTGCGACTGTATAAAAGTTACGTGGACGATATTTTCATTATTTGTGACAACAACAATGACCCCAATTTACTGCTGAAGACATTTTAACTGTTGCCATCCAGCAAAAAAGATTCACTCTCGAAATGGAAAACGAGTCGAAGATTCCGTTTCTTGATGTGGAACTAACAAGAAAAGGTGATGGGAGCCCAAGAAGACCAATCCACAGAAAACCTACGTGGAATAGTCAACTAACAAGCTTCTATAGCTGGGTACCCATGCCACCCGCATCCGACGTATTTGTAGTCCCGACGTTCTGGAAACAGAATTAGATATTCTAAGAGAAATCTTCATAAAAAAGGGATACCCAATAAGATTCATCGACAAAAATATCAAACTAATAATTCGGAGAAACGATACTTTAACTGCACCTAAGAAGAAACTCTACATGAACTTGGATTTCAAGGGAGATTTAGCAAGCGATATTCTCAAGAGAAGGATTATATCATCTCTGAGAAGAACATTCTTTGCAGCAACGCTAAGAATAGTGTTATCCAGTCGCCCACTGATCTGAAAAAGCCTCAAGGACAAGATTCCGCATTTGACCACTTCTATGTGTATATATCAGTTCACCTGCTGCTGTGGAGCCAGGTACATCGGTCATTCGACGCGCATCCTGTCCAAGAGGATTCAAGAACACTATCCAGCGTGGTTCCAAAAAGGAAATAGTGGTGCAATAAGGAGTGCGATAATTGAACACTTGGTTAGCACTGATCATTCCATTTCAGCAAACGCCTCCTTCAAGGTAATCTACAAAGTCAAGAATAACCTATCAAAGGCAATACGGTTTCGTCTCCTTTGTATCGCTGAAGCTCTGGCCATTCACATGGAGAAACCGGAGCTGTGCATACAAAAGAAGATTACTCAACCACTTCTACTGTCATGGTAACAACTTTTTTTATTTTATTTTTATTTTGATGACTTAATTTTGTTTCTTTGCCTGTTCTTTAATTGCTTATAATTTATGTATTCATTCAGAACTCTTACGTAATTTCGTATTATCTACTTTGTTGTTTCTATGTGTATCCTGAGTAAAACTCACTCATCAAACTATTCATACTATTATTACATAACTTCTTTTTTTAACAACTGTTTGTGACAACTCATCACCTTTGTTACTACCCTAGTTTCATTAACACTTAATTTTCTTGACTTGTATTACCAACCTTCACCTGTTTAGTTAAAATAACCATAACCAATTGTAATTTTGTTTGACAAACTTAATGTACACATACATACAAAATAATATATATATATATATATATTAGCGATTGTACAGCTCAGAAAATGAATTCGCCGAAAAGAGACTCTTCGGTGATCTACGTGTTTTGTTTTCATGAATATTGGTATTCATAATGATTTCGCGCACTGAACCGACCGATTGTTTCTACCTTGATGTGGTTGGTGGTCTGGCTTGCACATCGCAATGACCTAACAACCTATAATAGGCGGAATCAATGTTCCTGCAGGTCCTACCGTGCCAGGAAGGTTGTTAGGATAGCGATTAGACTAAGAGCAGTCATCGGCACAGTGTAGGAATATTTTTACACTATGCTGGGGGGGTGGGGTCTGTGGGTAAAGTCGTACTGCTGGGGAACGGGGATATAACAGCCGTAGTATGGTGTTTCCCACAGATGACCACCATGCCAGCCAGCTATGTTGTCTCTCCACTCCGGAGAGAGGGGGTTAGAAAAAGTCGATGCAAACAACTGTACATCCCAACTTACCCCACCTACGGTGGTCCGTAGCCACCGGTAAGTTTGCTAATACGGAACCAATTCCAGAAACCAGTTCATACAGGCTGTGTGTGACCGGCTAGCATCAAGCAGTTGTCCCCTGGGCTCTGTTTCTGTTTTAGGTACCCGAAGAGTCGAGCAACTTCCACGGTGTGGGCAACCAGAAAGTAACAACCCCCCGCACACTTCCAAAAGCACACGAAGCCTTCCTGAGCATCATTCTGCTTTACCCACACCACCTTCATCACCTTATGGTAGTGGCTTAAGACTATTGAGGAAATGGCTCAAAATCCTTTCAAACAGCACAGGTACAATCAGTCTTTGTGATTGCCTTCCATAGGTACTTATTTTTCCTCTTATATATATTCGTTTACTATAACTTCATCAAATTTCTTTTTCTGTCTACCTTCATGTGTGCTACCTGAAGTATGGTAATTTGAACTGCTTGAGTCTTGAGTAGAAGTCCATGTTGAAAATTCACTCCAACTTAATGTTCTTCAATAAAGAGACTCCTCATCTACAATTAATGTTGACAAACAATTTTTTGAAGCCTCTATCGATAAAACAACAGACGCATAAAACGCTTTTATACGCACACAGACACATATATATATATATATTCATAAATACATTAGTTACTTACAGAATGATTCAACAATTGAATGTAGTCTACCCAACTTTCGTGAATGACTATCATTTCGTAGACGATGTAAGAAGACCTGTAGAAGAAGAGATAAGCATATATAATTATTGTTTTGTATTTTTTTTATTTTTGATTTACAGCTTGATTCCACACTGTATTTTTTGGTACAAGTATGGAATTTTCAGAATGGATATCGGTAGCCCAAATTTTGCAGGCCGACCATAGATATCAGGTGTGCGCCGGCGTGGGCTCGAACCCCGGACCATATGCATGGTTGGCGAGAGTCCTAACCACTGTGCCACCGACGCAGTATTAGTAAGAATAAGAGTAACAAGTTTTTCTCCTGAAAATATCAAAATTTTAGGACGAATATTGTTGGAGGTCAGTTACTCAGAGACAGACTACTTGTGTAACATTACTGCTATGGTAAAATTTGGGCACTATGGTAGTAAATAATTCCATATAATAATAATAATTATTATTATTATTATTACTATTGTTTCCTTGGGTTCTGAGTGGAACATGGAGCTTCAACAAAGCGTCTCCATTATTTTTCTATTCCCTGTGATCCACTTCAGCTGGATCCATGATTGCACATAGTCTCTCATCTGTCCCTCACACGATCTTCTCCATGTCAATCTCAGACATACACCCAATTTGTTGTTTCCCACTCGAAAGATGGTCTGGCGTGTAGTGTCATTTGACAGTCTCTACTCAGCATGTTTCCGATCCATCTCGATTTTCTTCAGTACATGTGTTGAGCAATAGGTTTTCACACATTGGTTTGTTCCACTGCAGAGTTTCGTGTTGCTAATTCCTTCTGGCAAGTCAACCAGCCAGCCAGCCAGCCAGTCGACTGGTCATCTGATCTTCAGTATGCAGCGATTGAATTTGCTAGTTGTTGATAAAAAAAAAGGTCAGAAGCGGTCTATTCGAAATGCTTTTCATGACACGCGTGTCAAGTTTTTGACCAATATAGAAGAGGTGACTGACTGTCTGAGTGACTTGACATTGGTGTTGAACATTCGAATTTTGTCGCTGTCTGTCTGTCTGTCTGTCTGTCTGTTTTCAACACAGAAATTTGCACTAATATGCAGCAGTTCAAGTCACCACACTTCCTCCATGTAGCACACAAAGAAAGAGAAGAAAGTAAAAAGACATGCAAAATAAAAACGATAGACAGGGATATGAGACAATATAGTTTCATTGGATACTGTAAGTCACAAGAAGTGGATTCATCTGCACCAGCCATTGAGAACGATGACGTTGAGCCATATCAGTAATTACCTCCAGACAATATTGGCTTTTACCGTCCCGAGGACCCCAAACAGGAATTCTACACCTTCCTATGTGGGTGGCTTAAACTAACCGTTGTGCATTTCACTGACTGATGAAGCCAGTTTTTTGTTTGACGACCACTAACAGCCCTTTTACAACCTGACCCTATGTCAGCTAACATTGCCTGTTGAGGAAGGCAATGGATGACCAGGCACGCATGCGTAACACATGTCCTGATCATCTTAGTAGATGTAACTGTTTCACAGCCTCGTCGACTGATTTCCCCTCATCACCTAGTATTCGACACCTAACCTCGATATTGCTCACCGTATTATAGCACCACCTAACACGTGAGACAGAACCCAGAGACCTATGATCAAAAACAACTACCTGACCTTTTCATGTCCTCCACTCTCAATGGTCAGGTCTCACAGCCATAAAGAAGGACGGAGCGGACTGATGAGCAGTACACCCCTCCTTTGGTCGATAGTGTTGGATATCACGACTACGCCAGAGACGGCGTAAACCGTTATATATGAAACTAGCCCTCTGTATCCATGCTGAGATCTGATCAGCGATCACCCAGTTGGGACTGATGCAACTTCCCGAATAAGTGAAGCAGTCAACGTGCTCTGAAATGGTAGAGCAATGTAATCGTGTTTAGGTCATTTCAGTAAGCGTCCGCAAGCCCTGACTATTAACATCAAAAAGAATACAGTCAAAGAATGTACATTTCCTTAAATGACACAGACAAGAATTCAGCCATTTGCTAGACTTCTACCACGTAACAACTTCTTCAACCTATCTGATGATAACGTCAGTAGAAAAAAACGGGTCCGCATTTACCACTTTAATAATAATCATAGTAATAATAGTTTCATTCTGAACAATGTTTCCGTTCGATAGCATCATCGCGTGAGTAACTCTTAGGTCCGACAGCATGTGTTCGGACACACTCGAGATCACGATTTACTGACTGTCATCATCATCATCATCTGGAAACACCGACTCCGGTGGTATGGGCATGTGCTACGAATGTCGTCCCAGAGGCTTCCGTACAGGTCTCTGTTCGATAGCCCTGGGACGGAATGGTAAAAGCGGAGAGATGGTCAGCCAATGTCGTGGGATGAAGGATATTTGTGTTAGGCTAGCATCGGTTGGTGCGAAACTTCAAGCCACTACTAGCGTGAAGCCTTATGTTCCACTGGGAACGTACAGGAATAAAAAGAAAACTTAGTCATCCACGTAATGATTAAAACAATCAATACAGAGATTCTTTTCCAAACCGCATTCTTTAATTGTAATATACAATAAAATATTATTATTAGCATAATAATTTTCTGATTAGCTTACTTCTACTGGCCATGATGGTTGAATATCGTTTTGAAGTTCAGGATACTGGGGTCGCAGACTTTCCATTAATCGAACAGTCATGCATACAGAGGAATCATATATATCGTCAGATTTTAAAGCTATAGAGAGAGAGATTTGTTACGAATAAACATATACACATAAATAAAAAATATTAGTGATAGAAAATCTTTTAAAAATCACGTTTCATTTCACTTTTTCATCCTGCAGTAATCCTTTTATCCTCAGTACAATTTGATGTTATTAAATCTATGCTACTTATATTCATATTAAGTAGTATATATACGCCCCATTCACTTTATTGAATGTTGAAGTCCGTTTCGATCATTAAGTAGTTATAATAATGTCTTTCAAGACTCGGTTTGTAAGGATTAGATTTGTTTTTTGAGTTTTATCACGCATTGATATAAACTAGAGAACCATTGAAAACCAACACTGGAACAGTGGACAGCTGTTTCATCCTAGTTTGGGATTCATTGGCAGTATGCACCAGCCACTTTGGGGTTCGAACCGAGGACCTTCCGGTTACAAGGTAATCTCATAGACCATTTAGCCAATAGGATCCGATCCAATGGCTAGCCCAGGTCGTGATTTTAGCACGACCACCAACAAAATTCGTAGGAGAGAAATCCATCCTCACACTTGACTAGATGCTTCGATGATGTATGGACATGTTATATCTGTCTGTCTGTTTTCGACATAGAACTTTGCACAAATGTGCGGAAGTTCAAGTCGCCACATTCCGTGTAGCACGCGAAGCAAGAGAAGAAAGTACAAGAAAAGCATAATAGAAACAGTGAGCAGAGGTGTGAGACAAAGGAGAAATAAAAACAAAAAACAAAGTTTCATTGAAGATCATAAGTCACAGGGAGTGGATGCATCTGCGCCACTGAGAACGATTTTGAGCCATGTCACCAATTGTTTCCAACCATAGATTTTTACCGTCCCGAGGACCCCAGCCTGGAAGTCTACACCTTCCTACGTGGCTTAGACCAACTGTTGTGGATTTCATTGACTGATGCCAAGTTTTTGTTTGACCGCCGCTAGCTTTTTTCCAGCCTGACCCTATATCCGCTAACATTGCTCGTCGAGGGAGGCGATGGCTTGGCATACGTAACACATGTCCTAACCATCTCAGTCTTTGTAGCTTCACGACTTCGTCGATTGATTTCCCCTGTTTACCTAGAACTCTACGCCTAACCTCCATGTTGCTCACCTTATTATGCCACTTTACACGGGAAATAGAACGCAGGCACCTATGATCAAAGACAGCTAGTCTTTTCATGTCTTCCACTCTCAGTGGCCAGGTCTCACAACCATAAAGGAGGACGGAGCGGACTGATGAGCAGTACACCCGCCCTTTGGTCGATAGTCGAACATCTCGTCTACGCCAGAGTCGGCGTAAACTAACAAATGCGAAACGAGCCCCTTGTATTCGTGCTGAGATTTCGTCAGAGATCAGCCCGTTGGGGCTGATGGTACTTCCCAAATAAGTGAAGCGGTCAACGTGCTCTACCACTTCACTTCCTATTTTTAAACTAGGCGTCGATGTAGTCCAGTCCTGTAACATCATCTTGCATTTGGCGGGAGCGAATCGCATGCCAAACATTCGTAGATTGCGGCTCAAGGTGTTTAGAAGACTCTGCATTTCGTCAGCGTCTTCGCCTAGAAGGACTATATCGTCTGCATATTCCAAGTCAACGAGATTATTCCCCGGTAGCAAGTCAATCCCTGAGTCGCTGAAGTCACCTAGGGTTAAGTCCATTAACACATCTATGATGAAGTTGAATAGAAAAGGAGATAATGGGCATCCTTGACGGACACCACTGGTCGTCATCAGTTCAGATGACAGCTCGCCGTAAGCCCTCACCTGGCTGTATGAGTACGAATAGAGTGCCTTAATCAGTGCAATATATTTTCTTGGAATTCCCTTTACAGCCAAGCATCTCCAGAGAACTTCCCGATCGACAGAGTCGAATGCTGCCTTTAGGTCAAGAAATATAATGACTGTTGGACGCCGGTAGGAATGCCTATGTTCTAGAATCTGTCGGAGGGTGAAGATATGATCAATACACCCTCTTCCTGGTCTAAAGCCTGCCTGGCTCTCTCGTGTTTGTGCTTCCCGAGCACCACTCAGTCTACGCATGATTATTGAGCCTAAGACTTTAGATACTATATTAGTCAAGCTAATCCCTCTGTGATTATCACAGGAAGACTTGTCTCCCTTCTTGTATATGGGGATAATCAGTGACTTACACCAACCCGATGGGACTTCTTCTGATTCCCAGACGCTGCCTAGTACCTCAGTTAATCCGGACAGTAAGCTGTCTCCACCGTACTTAAATACCTCTGGCGTCATTCCATCAGGTCCCGCTGCTTTGCCTAGTTTCAGATTGGTGACAGCTTTAGTAACCTCAGTTAGTGACGGAGGACCTGTGTCTATATCCCATTCAGGGAGGTGTTGGATGCTCGGAAGGTTGAGCGTGGCTGTGGGCAAATTAAACTGCTCCTCATAATGCTCTTTCCAACGATCCAGTCGTCTATCCTGTGAGCTAATTATAGTGCCATTTTTTTCCGAGATTGTCTCACTAATGATTTGTCTTCTCCCACCCGTTTCCCTGATGAGTCCAAAGAGTTGCCTGGTGTTGCCTATCCTCAAAGCTTTCTCCATCTCTTTGGCTTTTGTCGCCCACCACTGTTCACGGTCCTTGCGGAGACTTTTCGTAAGTTTCCTCTTGTGCAGCTTTCGCTCCTCATTGAATTCGGAGCTCGCCGGAATAAGTCTTCTAGCATCTATCAGTTCGGATGAGGCGGTGGAGATCCAGTGGTTTTTACTCACCTTTGGGTTTAACTTATTCACAGATTTTACAGCTGTATCTACATGTTATATAGAAGTTAATTGGTGGTTGGTGACTAACAGTGGAATCCAGGATGTGCATTTCATCCTACTTGGGTGGTTCTCGTAGTCCAATCGGTTTAGTGGATAACGCTTTGGCGTTTGAAACTATGGGCACTGGTTCCACCACTCAATGCGGAATGCAGGTGTACATTCAGATGACGATTCTCGAATAGGACGAAATGCACATCCTGGATTCCACTGCTAGTCACCACCCATCAATTAACTGTTATCATTAGATTAGACACTACTTGATCACGCAAATGTTAGTATGCAAGGATTTGATTGGTAACAGGACTTTATCAAGAACTGACATTGGTTAGAGAACTAATGAAAGCCAGCACTGGAGAACTGGAGGGCTAGCTGTTGCGCGTCAGCCTACTTTAGGACACTTCAGCAGCACCCATCCACCCGCCGTGTTTCGACCCCAGGACCTTTCGGCTACAAGGTAAGCGAGCTCGTAGACCATTCAGCAGCCATTGGGACCTGATCCTCACAGCCTACAAGCTCGCCTTGTAATCGGAAGGTCCTGGGTTCAAACTCCCTGTGGTAGGTGCGTACTGCTAAAGAGTCCCAAACTAGGCTGACGAGACAGCTGTTCAGTGCTCCCTGAAGGTTTGCCAATGGTTCTGCAGCTAATATCACCTCATGATGAAATGCTGTAACTATTTGATCAGTTTACAAGCTTAGACACCGCCTCCTAGATTCCACTCACAGCCAGTAAATAAAGAAAAACATTAGGAAAGTGTGAAGCATTTGTGTAATACAAGAGAAACTTCACACACATACATAAAAAATTAGATACACTACAAACTCACGCATGCACTCACTTACCAGAAACAAGTAAATCCCAGTTTTTCCGACACTGTTTAGTCAATAATGCAGAGATAGACATTCGATTAAGAAAATGCTTTGCACAACCTGGAGCATCAGATATTACACGATGAAAGAAGCCTTCAAGACCGTTGTAGTCTTTTCTAAAGATGTATAGAAAAGGGATGTACACAGATTTTTTTGAAGAAAAACAAATAGACATCACTTCAATTCACTTTATGTAGAAGTATACAAAATGATTAAATTACAGCTTTTACATCCCTACTTACCCTACTGTTGTCCTTAGCCAGCAGTAAGTTACTCATACGGAAACAACTTTTTAAAAACTACATCAAACAAGCCTTGTGTATATGTGTGATCAGCACCAAGCAGTTGTCCTCCGGACTCTGCGGCTACAAATCAACATTAATTCTGTTTCTACTTCAGGTATCCCAAGAAAAAACCAGACAGTCAGTCAATCAGTTACTATTATTATTTCTTTTAATTGCTAGAGGAACATATGGCTTCAGCCGCGCGTCTTCATTTCGTTCGGTTCTCTGCTTAAGTTTTCACCTAGCTCCAAGTCTTTCCACATAATTTCATCTCCTCTTCACATCACCTCCTCCTCCAAGTCACCGTTGCAATGACGACCAACTCGTCACTTCCCTTTCGGGTTCTACTCGAGCAATGGCTCGTCTAGTAATGTCACTTGATGGTTTCGTCAGAGTATGGCCAGCCAATCCATCTCCATTTTTTTCTGCCTATTTGTTTCACAGTCGGTTCCTGCTGGGTTGGTTCGCTCATTGCCAGAGATCCCTGTTGGTGATCTTGTCTGACCGGCCATCTGATCTTGAGTATTGAGCGAAGACAACTGTTAATGAAGGTCTGAAGTTTGTTTGAGATGCTCTTTATGACACGCCAAGTCTCTGATACGTATAGTACCACTGACTTCACATTAAGTTGAAAATCTGGATCTTACTTTTGATGGTGACTGCTGTTGACCTCCACATAGACTTAAAAGTAGTGAAAGCTTGTCTTGCTTTGATATCCTCGTTAGTCCAGTGCGCCTGTAGTTGAAACGATGCTTCCCAGGCAGATTAAAGAGGTTGTTTCTTTCAAGTTCCTCCCATTTATGCTAGCTGATTGTTGTCTGTTGTTGTTGCTGTCTCTGTTGCGGTTGGCCAAAAGTCTTCATCACCTTTGTTTCCTTTATGTTCACCTGAAGTACCATCTTTGATGCTTCTTCTGCTAACTTGTAAATCAGTTAATCAGACTGACACTTCAAAGCTTAGAACCTCATGTTGTACTCAGAACATAACAACTTCATGCATCTGATCCCCATTGATTACTTCAAACAAAGCAACAAAGAATATATATATATATATTTTTAAATAAAAACCAATGAGTTCATCTTTTCAGTTCAACTTTAGATTTTCCCGTCGATTTATTAGACCGAAGTGCTCGGTCTAAGGTTGATGTGACAGCTCCTTGAACCGAAGCTTCGATAATGTCTCGTTATGCAACTTGAAGTCAGTCGATAGGAGAGTCTAAAATTGAATTAAATAATTATTAAGACCCATTGCACAAGAAGCAGGTGGCTCTCGTTGCCCAAGTGGTCTATCTAATGGATAACAACGCTTTGGTGTTTGAAACTATGGACACTGAGTTCGAGCCTTAGCGGTGGGAACATCATCACTGACTCACTGGTACAGTGAATGCAGGTACATCCAGATAACGAGTCCTAAACGGGATGAAGTGCACATCATGGATTCCACTGCTAGTCAATGAGTTCATCTTATCTTACAGCTTTCTTAAATCTGTTTATGCTTTTTTCCACAAAACAACGGCTATTTCCTTCAAATTCCATCAAGATAGATAAGACATGAAAATTACCTAGGCGTACTAGACAGCTGTTTCACCAGCACGACTGCTACATTGAGGAACATATGCTACATATGAGGACATGTCTTATATACGCCTTCCTCGACGGGCAATGTTAACTGACCTAGGGTCAGGCTGGAAAAGAGCTAGCGGCGGTCAAACCAAAACATGGCTTCACCAGTCAATGAAATCCATAACAGTTAGTTTAAGCCAGCCACATAGGAAGGTGTAGAATTCCTGTTTGGGGTCTACGGGACGGTAAAAACGAATTGTTTCCAACAATTGGTGATATGGCTCAAAATCGTCGTTCTAAATGGCTGGTGAAGATGCATTTACTCCCTGTGGCTTATAATACCCAATAAATGAAACTATATTGCTCTTCGTTATTACTATTCCTTTGTCTCACACCTCTGTTTACTGTCTTTATTTTGCATTTCTTCTACTTTCTTCTGTTGGTTTGTGTGCTACACGGAGGGAGTGTGGCGACTTGAACTGGTGCACATCGGTGCAAAGTAGTTCTGTGTAGAAAACAGACAGACAGAGTAACAAACCCATTAGAGCTTCAGGTTACAAGGTGAGTACTCATTAACCACTGGGCTAGAGTCCAATAGCCTATTCGATTATATATATCCAAACCAAGTTCACTTTTAACGGTTTGAAAAAATTTGGGCATTGGGTATATGATATTCATTATAATAGAGGTTTTTTGTATTTCCCAATGAAAAACACTCGTAAAAACAATCTCGTTTTGTTTTTTCATTCATCGGGAAATACAAAAAACCTCTATTATAAGCCTATTTGATTTCTCACACTGTTTTCAAACGACAAGTAAACCCTTCTTTTTATTCAGGGTATAAAAAGAATCACCACAACATGAACAAGAGATAAGTGTACTTACAGGATAATGAATAGATGATTAATAGCTCTGACTGAATCAGAAATACTGTCAGGAGTATGATTTTGATTTTTAAATTCTTTCCAAAATTTGTTTTCAATTTCATAGACATTAGTAGTATTACTGGCAATAGGAGTATGATTATTATTATTATTACTATGACTCCTTATATTTTTCCGTAGTAACGCACAAGCATAACTGATAGAATTATCATCAAATTTTCTAGCTGATAGATGTTGAGATGTAAGATCTGACGAAGTAGTAAACAGATCGACAGTTTCTATAATTAAAAATTGATAAAAATAAAAGAGAAAGAAAAAAGAGAAAGAGAGACAAGGAGGCATAAAATGTCATTCAGCATAGACTATAATCCACGGATATAAATTATAACTCCATTATGGATAAGATTTTATTTTGATAAAGTGTCACACTGTGTTGTTATACTGTAATACTGTGATGGGAGCTAGCTGCTAGCCAAATTGGTAGACAGTAATTTACTTCAGTGTTTACTTCCTCAATATTGGTCGTGAAAAAAATAAGAACAAAGACTGATTCAACAACCAACCACAGAAGACTTTGCATAGGCGGATACAATTGCAGATAGATAATCTGAACTCCAATGAACGGCCACAAAGAGATGAGAGATTAACGTTCAGCGAGAAACCACACTGGACGGGTAACCTGAGACTGTAACTGCACCTGATATCTATGGTCAGCCTGCAAAATTTGGGGTACCGATATCCATGCTGAAAATTCCATACTTGTACCAAAAATACAGTGTGGAATCAAGCTGTAAATCAAAAAAAAAAAATCTAGCTCCACAGGAACAGGTGAACTGATAGATACACATTGACGAAGCCAGCAGTTGCAGCTGCAGCGAATTATTGATTTTGTAGAGAAAGTTAAACGACGTTCAGTCACGAAGAAGGTTTACTTCAATGTGCGGGAAGGCACTTTCTCAGAATTTCTGTCGATGACTCTCTGCTGGATTGTAGATCCAGTAGTATGGAGAAGTCTTTTAAGAGCAGAAAGTGTGAGCTTCATGGATTTTGTGATGAGGCGTTTCAGGTAGCCATTTTCCTTTTGTGGGAGAAGGAAAATTTACTACATAACTATATACGATTGTAGAGCTTCAGAACGATATCACTGAACCCTTTTTCTTTTATACGACTTAATGAGAATTTTCAGAAGTATCGCTACCCCAAAGCTTCTGTCCAACTACAATAAAGCAACATTAAACACTATTATTATTATTTCCTTTAATTCCCAGAGGAACATAGGGCTTCAGCTGCACGTCTCCATTGCGTTCGGTCCTCTGCCAACGTTTTTACCCCGCTCCAAGTCTGCTCAAAACGCTTTTATCTGCTCTTCACACGACCTCGTCCAAGTCACCCTTGGACGACCAACTCGCCGCTTCCCTTTCGGGTTCCACTAACATAGAAGTATCTTAGTATACAAATATTATTATTCGTAGGCGACCTGAAGCATTTCGTAGTTTACGGATAGGTAGTGAAATGGTTAAGCCTGTTGACTAGTTCGCATATTTGAGAAGTCACATCATCTGTAATGAACTGATTACTGGATATGAAAGGTAAGTGTGGCGGTTGCCAACTTGAGCCATTTTTGATGTAGGCATGGTATGTGTATGTAGTGCGCAGCGATTCGCTCAGTCACTCCTCATGATTCTGAGATATGGTCATTCAAAATGAAACACTATTGATGTCTACCCTTTTGGATTAAGTTATGTGCAGAGTTCTACGTGAGGAAATAGAGTCAATCAACAGAATTATTAAGTCACATCGATTGAGATGGCTAAGATTCAAGTTATTTAAGTAATGTTATCATCTTTCTCGAAGAGAAACTTTAAATGTTGTAAGATTGTCATTATTATTCCCTTGTGTTTCGATTGTAGCATAGCACTTCAACAATACACCTCTACTTTGTTGTGTTTTCTGCTGTCCTCTTCATCTGGGTAGACCACCGCCCACAGTTTCTCATCTTCTCCTCGCCACAGGATCTCCTCCATGTAAGATTAGTTAGAAAAAAGCTAGATATGAGGGCTATGACTGCTGGTTTGAATCACATAGGGCGATATAGACTGCCTTCTTCAGGATTCGTCTGAGGATAAGAGCTAATGGTTGGTCGCTTATTATTAGTGAGACATGGCTCAAAATCGTCGTTCTGAATGGCGCAAATGCATTCACTGTTTGCGACCTGTCAGATTCAATACATTTGTATTAATCTCCAAACAGTTATTGTGTCCCACGAAAATTTCCGTTTTGTTATAGTGTGGTGAGATCTGGCTGCTAGCCAAATTGGTAGACAGAAATTTACGTCAATGTTTACGTCCTTAATATTGGCCGTGAGAAAAATGAGAACAAAGGCTTTGCGTAGGCGGATGCATTTAACATATAGATGATTTGACATTCAAGAAACAGCCACAGAGAAATGCAAGGTTAACTTTCTGTAAGAAACAACCAACCAGAAGACTGTGTTTTTCTGCTTACAATAATCTATAATAATGTACATGAAAATACATAAATATGTGTTGATTTCTATGATAAACGATCTGTTACCTGACCCTTGTCTTCTGTTGTTACATTTGGTGTCTCTGCCTACCGACAAATAGAAAGCCTATGCCCTGCAGTTTTTGATGGAGACATATGGATCTTCGGGCAGGCCTTCGAGGCTTCAGCGTAGCTGAGTGGCGTTCAAGATCTGTCAGTGATGAAGCTGCTACTTGGGACGCTGCTGGGGGGGGGGGGCGGTTGAAAGCAGCACATGAAAGTGTGAGACGAAATACCGACAAATGTGCGACAGGGTCAGGCAAACAGTTTCCAAAGTGAGAAGGACCACATATGGTCACGTTGAGATGGAGTTACGCAGACACAATCGTAATGGTAAACAAAAAGAAACAGGTGAGCATCAGCGAGTGCCGAGATTCCAGACAGTAACACAAACGAGCAAAGCCCCTAGAACCAAAAAGACCGAACCAACTTCAGTTGCAAGCCTTTGACGGAGGGACGAGTGTGATGAAAGCTGGCTGCTAGCCAAATTGGTAGACAGAAATTTACGTCAATGTTTACGTCCTTAATATTGGTCGTGAGAAAAATGAGAACAAAGGCTTTGTGTAGGCAGATACAGTTAACATATAGATGGTCTGACCCTTGTCTTGTGTTATTACAATAGTATATAATAAGGATTTCTATTCTTGTACGCACTTATCAATTGTGACAGTCTGTTGAAACAAATATGTAACAGGTTATTTTAATACACTGTGTAATAATGACACGGAATAATTTCAATCTCTCTTGAAAATTTTACTAACCTTCAACATTTTCCTCCCTTGGATTTCTGTACATCTCTTCTTCACCGGCTTCATTAGACTTCCTTGATATACGTCGTTGAAAATCTATTATAAGAAAGATGTCGAAATGTAAAAAGAAATATAACCATTTTAGAGAGAAGCTTAGCAATCAATAAGAACTACATCAACTAATATAGAAAATAATCATAAAAGATAAACAATAAAGCTTTACTGGTAGGTGTAAGTGGCAGAGACTTGAAGTGTAATCCAAAAATGTGCATTTCGTCCCATTTGGGATTCTTCAACTGAATATACCTGCAATCTTCAATAAGTGATGGAGTTTGCCCAGTCAATCAAAGGGAAAAACAGAATAAATTCCTTTTGTTATATGCTTTGAAGATATGACTGTCAGAGTTAGATACTTAACTTTATTCCTTTACGTTCCCAGTGGAACATGGGGTGCCTTCAAGCTAGAGGCTTGAAGTTTCGGTAGTAGTGGTGTATTGACCATTTTCTATTGACTTGGATTTTAAACTTTCTAGTCACATGATTTACTTTTTATTAGTTGGTAGATTTGATCTATATTAACGTGTTTGTTAATTGCATTTTCGTTTGAGTACCAGGCTTCTAGGAATTCCCTGGCCGCAATTTTGGTGTTTCCTTTGTCTAAGATTTCGACATTATCCCAGTTATCAAACTGATGTCCATAATTGTCCGTATTTATTGATGCTAAAGAATTTATATCATGTCTTTTCACGGCTGATTTGTGTTCTTGGATTCTAATTCGAAGGGGACGCCCATTTTCGCCGATGTAATGCCTGTTACAATTAATACAATTTATTTTGTAAATGGTATTAATTTTATCCTCTTTTTCTATTGGATCTTTTGGTTTGCACAATACCGGATGAACTGATCGTGTTGACTGGCTTTTATTTTTATTTTTTTATTTTATTTTATTTTTGATTACAGCTTGATTCCACACTGTATTTTTGGTACAAGTGTGGAATTTTCAGCGTGGATATCGGTAGCCCAAAATTCGCAGGCCGACCATAGATATCAGGTGTGCGTCGGCGTGGGCTTGAACCCCGGACCATGTGCATGGTCGGCGAGAGTCCTAACCACTGTGTGCTATATCTAATTCAAACGGTTTCAACATTCCAGGTGCTATTTCAAAGGTATTTTTCATTTGTGGTTTCATCATATGTGATTTGTCATATCCAATAAAATTCTATTCTTCTTGCCTCACTCACACTTCTGTTTATTATCTCTCTCTCTCTCTCTATTTTGAATCTCTCTTTACTCTCTTCTCTCGCTTTGTGTGGGACATGGGAGAGTGTGGAAAGTTGGACTGCTATGCTTTTTGTGCATACAGTTCTATGCTGAAACCAGTCAGTCAGTTAGTCAGTGTTACTAACACACATAAGAAGTGAATTACAATCAACTATCTACATATGAATTTTCAAGTATTGGTTTTTGTAGGGATTTAGTTTGATTGGTTGGAGGATTCCATGATGAGCTGACATCAGTTAGAGAATCATTGGAAAACCTGCAGGGAGTACTGGACAGCTGTTTCATCAGCAGTACGCACCCACTGGGGTTCGAACCTAAGATCTTCTGGTTACAAGGCGAACTCGTAGACTATTCAGTAGGCAACTGTCTGTCTCTTTTCGACATAGAACTACTTTGCACCGATGTGCGACAGTTCAATTCGCCACACTCCCTCCGTGTAGCACACAAAGCAAAAGAAGAAAGTAGAAGAAATGAATAACAGAGACAGTAAACAGAGGTGTGAGACAAAGGAATAGTAGTAACGAAGAACAATATAGTTTCACTGGAAATCATAAGTCACAAGGAGTGGATGCATCTGCGCTAGCCATTGAGAACAATTTTGAACCACATCACCAATTGTTTCCAACCATTGGTTTTTACCGTCCCGAGGACCCCAACCAGTCAAGAAGTCTACACCTTCCTACGTGACTGTCTGGCTTAAACTAACTGTTGTGGATTTCATTGACTGGTGAAGCCATGTTTTGGTTTGACCTCCGCTAGCTGGCTCTTTTCCAGCCTGACCCTATATCCGCTAACATTGCTCGTCGAGGAAGGCGATGACTAGGCCACACATGCGCAACACATGTCCTAACCATCTCAGTCTTTGTAACTTCACAATCTCGTCGATTGATTTCCCCTCCTTACCTAGAACTCAACGCCTAACCTCAATGTTGCTCACCTTATTATACCACTTCACACAGGAGATAGAACTCAGGCACCTATGATCAAAGACAGCCAGCTAATCTTTTCATGTCTTCCACTCTCAGTGGCCAGGTCTCACAATTAGTGATGAAGGAGGACAGAGCGGACTGATGAGCAGTACACCCGCCGTTCGGTCGATACCCTGCCGGATATCAAGGTCTACTAAGCCAGAGACAGCGTAAACTGACATATGAGAAACTAGCCCTCTGTATCCATGTTGAGATTTCGTCAGAGATCAACTCGTTGTCACTGGCTGATGGTACTTCCCAAATAAGTGAAGCGGTCAACGTGTTCTACCACTTCACCTCCTATTTTTAAACTAGGAGTCGGTGTAGTCCAATCAGTCCTGTAACATCATCTTGCATTTGGCGGGAGCGAATCGCATTCCAAACATTCGAAGATTGCAGCCTAAAGTGGCTTATGAAATGGCAGAAGTTAGAATTCATGGGTTGGCCACTGGATAGAGATCCCAGTGGTTGCTGAATGGTCTACGAGTTCGCCTTGTAACCAGAAGGTCCTGGGTTCGAACCCCGTTGACTGCGTACTGATGAAGAGTCCCAAACTAGGCTGATGAAACAGCTGTCCAGTACTCCCTGTAGGTTTTCCAATGGTCATCCAACTGACAATATGAATTATTTTCAATGCATCTCGTTTGTTTGCATGATAATTATGATAACAATAGAAAACAGTGGTGCGAAATAAACTCAACTGCTAAACACAAAACCTGTGAGCAAATGGTTTGGTCGTCCCACCAGACGACAACAACAACAACATCAGAGAACAACTATACACCTCTAATCCTAGTGATGTAGACTACAGATATCAATGTGTATAAGATATTTGAAAGTTTTCAACAACTTACACAACTTTGTTTGATTCTCAAGTGATTGAAAATGTGAGGCATCATCAGCAGCGGCCACTTTCCAAAACGGTTTTAATGACTCTGGATTCTGTAAGCCAAAACAAATAAAAAAAAACCACGTAGAAAAACCTTTATACGATGAGAAATGTTACAATAAGAGCAATTAGAGCCAAGAACTGCCTCTGATAACCTCATCCACCACCTCCTCCTCCTCCTCCTCAAGACACAACATATAGTTCTGGATTCAATTTCCGGCCGGCGCACACCTTTACTTCCCAAAGTCGGTTCCAGACCCGACAAAGAAGGAAGGTTAAGTGTGAGGCAAGCAACCGCATCTCATAAAAATAAACACCAGAGTCAATGAAACCCCCAAAGCTTGACCAAAATAATAACATAAAAAATAAAATAATAATAATAATAAAAATAAAAAAAAAATAAAAAAATAAAAAAAAAAAAATAAAACAGCTGTGAACATGACAATAATAGTATAATCAGATGAGCGATCAATCATATAAGGTAAAAATTAAAGCGAACAAAAGATTGTGCACTGTCTTCTGTTATATTCAGGATTTTTTCCAAGAGTTTATCTGTAAGGATTTGATTTACTTCAAGATTGACCATGGATCGATAACATTTAGAGAACCATTGAAAGTCAACAGGGGATACTAGACAGCTGTTTCGTCCCACTAGTTAGGGATTCATCAGTAGTACGCACTCACCAAGTTTCCAGCCCGGGACTTTCCGGTTACAAGTCAAGCTCAGAGACCATTCAGCTAATAGGACTCGACTCAATGGCCCATGAATTATAAATCTCTACGGATGTGTGATCTCAGCGTGACCACCAGCCAACGCGTAATTGGCGAGTAGCTGTCCTTACTCCAGACTAAGTGGACCCCACTGGTCACAACGTCTCACTAGAATTCACGTGTCACTGAGTTGGATTCCTGCACACAAAAATGCCATACAAAATAATGGTTACATCATGAAGAGAAAATCTAGTCTTCGAGTTGTCATACAAATTAATTTACTTCCCTCTCTCATTTGGGTTTATATATAGAAAACCGTTTTCGAAACAATCAAGTTGTAAAACGATAGTAAATTTAGAGAACAGCTTAATTCAAATTCAGTTACGAATTCACTTCGTTTAGAGAACCGTTAGGGAACCAGAGATTACTGGACAACTGTTTTACCCTTGTTAGGGACTCTAACACACTAGGCACCGGTGACATGTCAGGGGCCGAGCCCAGTTACAAGGCCATCCAGCCACCAGGGTAGAATCCGACGGACCATCAATTCTAACTTCACGATATTATAGCGCGACCACCAGCCAATGTTATTAGTGCGTCGATGACACAGAGGTTATGATTCTCGCCGATCATGCACATGGTCCGGGGTTCGATCCCCTGCCGACACACACCTGATATCTATGGTGAGCCTGCAAAATTCGGGCTACCGATATCACATGTTGAAAACTCCATACTTGTACCAAAAATACAGTGTGTGGAATCAAGCTGTGAATCAATATATATATATATATATATATATATATATATATATATATATTTATATATACATCACCATTGGTTCTTAACTTCCCAAGGACCTCAACCGAGTTGGCAGTCTACACCACTATATGTGGCTCAAACCAACTGTAAAAGATTTCGTGGACTGATTCCATAGTTTCGTTTGACCATCATTAGCTCTTTTCCAACCTCATCCATCCTATGTCGGTCGGTTAACATTGCCCATCGAGGAAGGCGATGCAGCTTCAATACCTCATCGATTACATTTCTTTTCTTACCTAGCACTCGACGCCTAGCCGCTATATCATCCTATTATACCATCTAATATGGAAGATACAACGTAGACACCTATGATGAAAAACAGCTAACCTCTTCATGTTTTCCACTTCCAAATGGCTGTATCTCACGGTCACAAAGAGGGACAGAGTGAACTGTTGCTCCAGTACACACGTCCTCTAACAGATACCCGAATATTACGTCTACGCCAGAGATTATTATTTCCTTTAATGCATAGAGGAACATAGGGCTTCAGCCGCGCGTCTCCATTGAGTTCCGCTCTCTGCTAAAGTTCTCACCCCGGCTCAACGTTTGCACATATGCTTTCATCTTCTCTTCACATGACCTCCTCCAAGTCACCCTCATTCTGACGACCAACTCGCCGCTTCCCATTCGGGTTCCACTCGAGGGCTTGTCTATCGATGTCACTTAATGGTTTCCTCAGAGTATGGTCAATCCACGTCCATTTCTTCCCGCTTATTTGTTGCACAATCGGTTCCTGCTGCGTTGGCTAGCTCCCACAGATCCCTATTGCTGATCTTTTCTGACCGGCCATCTGATCTTGAGCCAAGTATTGAGCGAAGACAGCTGTTGATGAAGGTTTGTAGTTTGTTTAAGGTGACCTTCGTGATGCGGTACCAAGTCTCTGATCCGTATAGTAGCACTGAATTCACATTGGAATTGAAAATCCGGATGTTATTTTTGATGCTGAGTGCTGTTGACCTCCACACAAACTTGAGAGTGATGAAAGCTTGTCTTGCTTTGCCGATCCTTGCTTAGATATCCTCATCAGTCCAGTGCGCCTGTAGTTGAAACGATGATTCCCAGGTAGGTAGGTAAGTAGAGGAGGTGGTTTCTCTCAGGTTCCTCCCATTTATGCTGGCTGATTGTTGTCCGTTGTTGTTGTTCTTGCCCAGGAATCTTCATCACCTCTGTTTTCTCTATGTTCACCTGAAGTCCTATCTTCTCTAGATGCTTCTTCTGCCAACTTGTTTTTTTTCACTTGCATATCCTCCAGTTTGTAGGAAATCTGACATAAATATATCATCGGCAAAGTCCAGATCCTCCAAGTTTTTTGTGAGGGTCCATTTTATGCCTTTTTCCTCGCTGCTTACTGTGTTTCTGTCGCATTATTCAATCTACAGCAATCAAGAAAAATCATTGGCGATAGTAGGCAGCCAGCTTGTCTTACCCCCCGCCAGAGATGATGCAGGAGGTTAGCAAATGCCACATGAGCCTTTTGTATTTGTGCTGATAATTTGTCAGCAATCAGCGAGTTGGGGAATGATGCGACTTCCAAAATAAGTGATTACCGACACAATCTATCACTTTACTTTGTATCTTTAGGATAAGAGTCGGTGCAATCCAGCCCTTTAGCATCATCTTACATTTCACAAAGGCATATTACGTGCCAAACATTCGAAGATTACTGCCCAATATGTATATATATCAAACACGCAAATATCCCAAGTCACCTTAAGTTTACGCCGACTCTGGCGTAGACGAGATGTTCGACTATCGACCAAAGGGTGGGTGTACTGCTCATCAGTCCGCTCCGTCCTCCTTTATGGTTGTGAGACCTGGCCACTGAGAGTGGAAGACATGAAAAGATTAGCTGGCTGTCTTTGATCATAGGTGCCTGCGTTCTATCTCCCGTGTAAAGTGGCATAATAAGGTGAGCAACATGGAGGTTAGGCGTAGAGTTCTAGGTAAACAGGGGAAATCAATCGACGAAGTCGTGAAGCTACAAAGACTGAGATGGTTAGGACATGTGTTACGTAAGCCAAGCCATCGCCTCCCTCGACGAGCTATGCTAGCGGATATAGGGTCAGGCTGGAAAAGAGCTAGCGGCGGTCAAACAAAAACTTGGCATCAGTCAATGAAATCCACAACAGTTGGTCTAAGCCAGTCACGTAGGAAGGTGTAGACTTCCAGGCTGGGGTCCTCGGGACGGTAAAAATCTATGGTTGGAAACAATTGGTGACATGGCTCAAAATCGTTCTCAGTGGCGCAGATGCATCCACTCCCTGTGACTTATGATCTCCAATGAAACTGTTTTGTATTTCTTTATTACTCCTTTGTCTCACACCTCTGCTAACTGTTTCTATTATGCTTTTCTTGTACTTTCTTCTCTTGCTTCGCGTGCTACACGGAATGTGGCGACTTGAACTTCCGCACATTTGTGCAAAGTTCTATGTCGAAAACAGACAGACAGACAGACAGACAGACAGACAGACAGACAACTAAACTAATTAATTCACTGTACACTTCAATCAGAACACTTGAAAATTCATACATACACAAAACTGATATCAAAATAGAAAAAGAAAACCAATGAAAATTTTGAAAAAAAGCATCACTGACTAGACCACCATGAGCAGCATAACGAAGTAGAGAATACAAATATCCAGATTTCGTATCTTTTGAATAGATTCTTTTGAAAACTTCAAAAGCAGCTGCTGTATAACCGCGAGCAAGGAGAATTTTAACTGTGTCCCGAGCAAAACCATTTGGAGTCATCATTGAAGGCAACTTTGTGAATATCTATAATAATAAAATCAATGTAATGTATTGAACGATTCATCAGTAAAGTAAGTGAGTAAAATACACTGAGCTATCTATTATTTTTAATTAATTAGGAATACGCTCAAGTTACTGAATAAATTTAGAGTATATTGATGAACAAGTGAAATGTTAATGTCTGCCAGTGAATACAGTTAAGTGACATTCTGTAATTGTGTTCTATAAGATATAATATTTTTCAAACAAATGTATATAATCGATTACTTTAAATCATCTCGACTTTTTCGCCCTACACTTCTTGGTATTATAATTTATAAAGAACTTCATCTGTAAGGAAAACAGTCATGCTTAAAAAGTTCAAATAGTATTCGTCAACTGTCATCGGGAAGGGAAGAAAGAATGAAATTGCAACACGTTCGCCATTGATGACTGCGATTCTTGGCCATATCCGATGACGTTTCGAGCCATCGATTTGAGCTATCTCGAGGACCCCAACCAGGGAGTCATGACACACCAACCGATGCTAATCTAGCACAAAAATCCTTTGTCCCACGACGTCACGTCATGGACTGACCACCTCTCCGCCTTTTCCATCCCGTCCCAGGGTTAGCGAATAGAGACTAATACGGAAGCCTCTGGGATGACACATGACACAGCACATGTCCAAGCCACCGGGATCGGTGTTTCCAGATGACGACACTCAGTGTTCAAACACACGCCGCCGAACCTCAGAATTACTCACGCGATGATGCCATCAAACGCAAGCAATCCTGTGGAGACAGAGATGATCGAACACGAAGAGTCGTCGCACATCCTCAGCTCGGAGAAGCCAGGTTTAACAGGCGTAGAACAAGACGGCCCACACCGAAGCATTATATACCCCACCTTTGACAGCCAGGCTTACGTCGCGAAGGCGCCATAGGTGGCTCAAGTTGATGTATGCCACCCTAGCCTTCATTATACGGCTGAAAATCTCATCTGTCACCCTTCCGCCAGCACTCACACAACTACCCAGATAAACAAACTTATCAATAACTTCAAGCGGTTCACCCGCAAGAGTGAGTGCAGGTACAGGCTCCTGCCAATCTTGAAAGAGTACTTTGCACTTGGATGGCGCAAAGTACATACCATACTTACAGACACTGATCGCCAACTGATTAAGTGCGATTTGGGCAGCCTGCATGCTATCGCACAGTAAGACAATATCGTCTGCATACTCGAGGACGAAAAGTCTATCTCCAGGTAGCAGATCTACACCATCTTCATGCACATCCTTCAGACCTGACTCCAGAATGCCATCGATGGCAAAGTTAAAGAGAAATGGAGAGATTTGACAACCCTGTTTAACCCCACTGTTGGTTTGGAACAGTGATGATAGTTGGTTGTATGCCCTCACTCTACCTGAGGTGATTATTAATTATTACTATACAACTTCAAAACTTTCGTTTTATATATTCTTTATCCTTCCCTATTCATCGTCGTACGGGTAGTAGAACTTTCTAGATATTGAATCATTCCCTATTACACGTATTTGCAGTTGATTCCGTAAATAAAGCTTCCGTTACCAATATCTGCCTCCAGCCTGTTATATTAGATTTAAAAGCTGTCATCTTATCTCATCATCCTATTGTATAGCTGTGTGTAATTTCATGTAGTGAGTACTACAGCTGAACTTTTCTCCAGACTTCTGATATGATTCCGGCCAAGTCATCTAGAGTTTGCTAGGTCTTTATGCTGCGCTACTCTGATTAACCTTGTTCTACTACTTCCACCCATGTTCGTTTCCTGGCAATCATATCACTATATGATATATCTAATAAGCAAACTAATACGGAACTACATAATACCACAGTGCCCAAGTTTTACACATGTGCGTCGGTGGCACGGTGGTTAGGACTCTCGCCGACCATGCACATGGTCCGGGGTTCGATCCCCTGCTGACGCACACCTGATATCTATGGTCGGCCTTCAAATTCGGGCTACCGTTATCCATTCTGAAAATTCCATACTTGTACCAAAAATACAGTGTGGAATCAAGCTGTAATAAAAAAAATAACTAACAACTGTTTTACATATGTCTGTTTGCAGTTAAAAATACGCATGGAACTCCTACTTCAAAAAAAGTAAAACGCTATTTGAAAGGAAGTATTATATCAAATATGACAACACTGTATGACACTAATATTGCGTGGGTGCCTAAGTAACTGGTTCAGGAGTAGAATTCTCGTCATCCACGCAAGTAGCCAAGGTCCGATTCCCGGCTGACACATTCACAAACTTCGCCTAGGCGGTAGTAAGTTAAAGAAAGAAGAAAACTTTGGCTTCAGACTGCTAACCTCACCCCCTTTAAAACAACACAAGCACTAGTGAAACATCAAAGCTTGAAGCTCTGCATTCTACTGGGAGCACAGAGGAATGAATAAAAATAGTAAGTGCACCACTATGTTTGATGAAGCACTAGTCGAATGAAACTCTCCAGCGAAAATGGGACCAATTTTTTTCAATGCAACATAAAAGCCAGGAAGTATAAATGCAATGATATTAAACACACTCTTCTTGATAAAGAACTAATCTACAGCTATGACACAACTTGGACAAAACTAAATAGATTACGATTTTAATTCCGAAACAAACGATCGAAATTCTGCTGAAATGAACTAAAGTATTAAGCTATGCATAACAAGTCTTATCTTCATCTCATCTGGTAGAAAAAGCTGCGAACATAAATACATTTTTTTTGTTTTCTATCGGGATATTTTACTAGTTCTAACTCCGCTGTTCTGTTAACCTTCTACTAATTGGCCGTCCTTCAGAAAGAGATGATGGTCGTTCTACAGACCATACACTACATAGTTTCAGTAAGCGTCAACAGACACATAACAACCCATCAGTGAAATAGTATCAATTACACAGTAGGTAAAACAACTGGGACCAAACCATACCATCAAATATGTGAACGTTATAATAACTCTGGGTACCATAAGTGAAATATGGATTTTAGCTATCCCGTTAATTCGATAACTAGATCTTAAAATATTTTCGGTCAAACTAACTTCAAACATTTCTATTACGTTTAGTGTTTGTCCCACTATAAAGTTAGCTACGATAATGATTTCAAAAAAGGAATGAATTCGGTATCACCCAACTTCATTGTGCTAGCCGACTAACAGCTGACCATGATAAAAAAAATTCAATCAGGCTAGTTTAGAACATGCACGGTCACGTAAGTCGGTGCGTCGGTGGCACAGTGGTTAGGACTCTCGCCGACCATCCACATGGTCCGACGTTCGATCCCCTGCTGACGCACACCTGATATCTATGGTCGGCCTCCAAAATTTGGGCTACCGATATCCATGCTGAAAATTCCATACTTGTACCAAAAATACAGTGTGGAATCAAGCTGTAAATCAAAAATAAAAAATAAGACATCCTTCAATCTACTAGAGATACACATTTTGCAGCCCCAGGAATCAACAGTATGTAACAGAAATGTGAGAACCAAGGTATCAGGAACAGTGGAAACCTCCAGTCATTAATATTTGGGATAAGTGAAAGAAGTGGAAACTTATTCGATCATAATATATATGGATTTAGATATGATGTAGCTCAAGATTTCACCTTGATTTACTATGAGTTAAAATTTACATAGATCACATTAAAACATCACTTATCTACAACGTCAACAGCTTTTTGTATGACTAAAATGAGTGCAGAGTGAGAAATAAGATTCCCTTAAGACAGAGCCATTGATATAAATACATTTCATACACAAGTGTCACTCAAAGTATGCAAAAACAGTTAGGTTATCAATAATAAATAATCTCGTTTCAATCCTTTCGTTTTGTAAATGTCTTCATAATAATAACAACCGAAAATAACGCATAGATTAAACAGCAAAAATTAACATACTTCATCACACGTTGCATTACTAGTCCCTAGAGAGCATGTAAGTCTGGTGTACATATCCAAAATAAACAATGATGAAAACATGGAGTCGGAGGAGTAACTCTGTTCCGCTGACTTTACTGATGGAAGGGTAGCGAGAGCTTCTTCAAGTGTTTTTAAAAAGCGAACTTTGTCACCGAGATCAGCATAAGCAGATAAAAGACCTTCATAACCAAACTTCGATGGCCATAAACCAATACTTGACAATTTTTCTTGAAAGGCAACAACCTCATTTGGTAATCTAGAAGACAAGAGTAAAATTCAAGGTGTACAATTACATAAGAAAGATTGTTAGTATAAGATTGAATAAATGATCTACATGCTACTTCATGGAAACTGTTTCAACTTATAGTGAACAAATGAATATTTGCATATAACTGCTGTTAAGATACCTGTATGCAAAAATTTAAGCAAAAAATCGAACGGTTATGAGTTAGAACGTACCCAGCTTTAACGTAACCATGAAGGACAAGAGAAAAAATTAACGAATTCGGGTTGAATCCAAACTTCTTAAGTGAACGTATGTGTAACCTGAAAAATAGATATCTTAGTTAGTTAGCTTACTCTGTCTCATCAATATTTCCCGTAAGACAACTTTGACGAATAAATGAAGTGAAAACTGACTAAAAAAGATAAGCTATTAAAAGTAGAGATACCAGTGTGGGTTTCATGTTTGCTTTTCTAAGGTCAGCCAGAATCTCACTAGCATTTAATTTTAATCCTGAGTTTACTCGCATTTCCAAATACTTTTCCACAAGAACGATATCACCAGCTGTATTTAGGAGTCATTAAAAAAGGAAAATACCCTTGAGCACTTCATTCCATATGCCACAAGTCATGGCCTCAAGCTCTTCTTTCTTGAATAAAACTGAGTTAGTCCTGTGATACTGTAAAAAATTTCTTATTTCACCAATATGAGTGGGCTTCTCAACGTATTTGGTGAAGTCCCTCTTTGATTTAGCACTGTGTTCCAGGTGAATGAAACGCAATGGTTGTTCAAAGCTATTAGGACGGAAGTTTAGAATGAAATTTAAAATACCTATTTACAGACCAGTTATTCCTTGTTCGGTGTCTTAAAAACCGAAAAAGGCGTGATACCAACATGATTTAGTATCGCCACCTTTTGAAAGTGGGCATAATCTTTGTCGCCTATTAAATACCATTCAATATCCAATGGGAATCATGTGATAGAAGTTGAGGACTCACGGTTGACAGCAGAAGAGTGAATGGGCCATACTCACGCTTTTAGTTATCTTCCTACTTGCAACCCCACTTTCTACGTTCACAATAAAGAAAAGAATAACATTTCCCATTACGGAAGGCATCATATCAAAGATATGATTATGATGAATAAATTGTGTTCAGATTCAGGGATAGACTTATATATCAAGTTCTGATGAAGTTGTAATAAATTTGTGTTATATGTTATCTGGATTCATAGGAATTCCTATTTCCTGGCTAGTTATGTTGGTGTCCGCGTCATCCAATATCCAGTATCGTTTTTACGAGCTAGTATAAACCAATTTGATTTCTTTTTGCTCGCTTCTTAGTTGTAAGGTATATGTTCCTGATCTTCGGTAAACTTCTGCGTAGCTCGTCCCGCTACTCGACTGTCGTAGTTCTGCTTGGCTCCAAAAGAAGTAGTGCTGGGATTAATTAAATGTGGTTTGTAGTACGAGGTGTGTTTAGGCTTTTTTACTACCGCGAATGAACTTGAGCCTTTCATCAGTTAGTCCTCCGGTGCCGTCGTCAAAAGAAAAGAGATAACAATAATAATGGTAGATATAATTAGTGAAGTTATTCATACTAACAGATAGAAAAAGAAATCAAGAAAACGTAACAACAGTCAGCTGATTAAATTTGAAGAATAATACGAAAAAATATATATCGGTAATAATAATAATAATAAGCGTTGTTAAAGTTGTCAGGAGAGTAAGACGGGAGAGAGTGTAAAGAAGTAAAACGACGAATTTAATAATAATAATGTGTATTCTCATATAAACATATAAATTTATATGAAAATGCATGCCATTTTTACAGGCACGATCAAGTATGATATAATGTCAAATCGTAGATTGTCTACAGGTTAATAATGTTTCAACAGTTAAATATTTGATATATATATATATATATAATTACACTCATTGTCTGAACCAGGCCGTATAGTTATTGAATTGTACAGTTGTCCTCCAGGTTTCGCGGGAAAATCGACTTCGTTTCGTTTTCATTCCGTGGGCATACGATAACCAACCAATATTGAGGTAAGTACAACGTTTACAAGGAAATGGAAGCTGTTTTAGAAAAGCAAAAGTGCTAAGATTAATCAATAAATTGTAATGAAATAGGTAAGTGCAAGTATCATTGGTAAATGCATTAATAAAGGAAATTCCCTAGGCTGACAACGTTCATTTGCAATGTATAATGCTACACGTATATCTCGTACTATCATGATGTCCACTTTTGGTTTTAATACATTTATCCTCATGCCGGTTTTTTAATTTATACCTTTTTAGATGTCTACCGATGAATGGTGTATGGGATTTTAAGGGAACAAGCCATTTGGACGCACTTCTTGTGTCGCTGCATGATATTCCAGCCTTCTCTCAAAGGTGTCCTCAGACGGTTCCATAGCTACATCTGCCGGGAAGGAATTCCAGGGACGGCAAACCCACAGTAAAAAGAGGTGGGAGCGCCGCCGGGTCCTTGTCCCCTGGCAAGCTATACTTCTGGGATTTCCACCAGGAACCCCATACCTACTCAATGCCAGAACATCTATGCTTGTGTGACTTCGATCATTCGTTACTTTGTAGACAGTAATCAAATCCCCCCTAAGCCGACGGTAGCCAAGTGTGAACCGGCCCAATTTCTTCAGCCTTTCATCATGTGGTTTATTTCGGAGAACAACCACTCCTTTTGTTGCCCATAGTTGGACTCCTTCCAAGAGGTTGGCTTCTCTTCTAAGCATTGAAGGTGCAATAATATTATTCACTTCAAGGTGTGGTCTGACATGTGCTTTGTACAACCTTAGAAAGAGCTCAGGAGTGAGTGCACCTAACTGTCTATGTGTAAAGTGTATGACCGCATATGCCCTCGCTACATCCCCTGTGTAATTTACGCTTGTGTCCATTTTTCCCGTTTAGAACTAGACCTAAGTCGCGCTCCGACGTTGTGCAGGACAAGCTTTCATTACATAGGATGTAACTTGCATCCTGCAGTCTACAGGTGCGCAACTTCACTACTTTGCACTTTTACAGGTTGAAAGTCATCACACTGGCCACCGCCCAGTCTTCCAGAGAGTTTAGATTTTCCTGCAGCCTATCTGATTCCTCCGGACACTTTATCGCCCTCCACATCTTTACATCGTCAGCGTATAGAAGAGCTTAGACAGAGTGGCAGATCATTGGTGAAAATCAAAAATATCAGTGGTCCTAGGATAGAACCCTGTGTCAGCCACGTCTCGTAAACCGTTAATGCCCAGCTCTTGCTGCACTCGGGCTCACGCTGTTCCTTGAAGTTTCTCAGAAACGCTTTGTAATAACGGACGAAAAAACCAAAACACTGATTGGCCACTCGAGAATTCTTTATTGTTACACCAACAGAAAAAATGTTTCCACTAAGGTCTGTGAACAAATATTACAATAATAAATCACAATATTACTTCTGACGGCTTACTGCTGACTTCCTTCTGAACAGCGACCGACGAGACGATGACTGTCGTATTGATGCCTCCGCGAAAATTGGGGAAGTTGGTTTTGAGCAAACAACCATGAATTGATCGTTCAATCTTCAACTGCATTGACACTCCCCGGCAAAAAAGGGACCCATCCCTTTTTTCTTCACGACCAATACACGTTGACTTGGATGCCATTGCGAGAACCTGGGTCACATGGACAGAGCTGAAATGGAAAACAAACAGAAAAGCCAACACACCACAAGCATACTCACAGCACAATCTCACACATCAATGACGACCCGCGCCTTCCAGTTAAAGGCATCCTATTGCAACACAATCGCCACTTGCTAGAATGACTCTTGTAGAATGCAACGTGACCATAGAACCACCTCACGATACTCCACGCACGTCCCCTTATCTACTCACTACCAATTACCACTGCAATCGCTTGTCACTCATTCTGCCTCAGTTCTAGTAACGGTGACGTATGCGAGCCTCAGTCGCTTACACTCTTTCTCCCCGGCGTGTGGGACCGCACCTAACAATTATCTCCGTATGCATGTCATTCTCAGCAATAGCCTAGCCTCCCCGGCGTATGCGACCCATCTGCTGTCTCTAACATCAATCAATTCATTCACGGATGTAGAAGACTCGAAACAACTTCAGAAGTAATCACGACGAAAATTTTAACAAAATTACTCAATAACAACAAGGTACGAAAACAACAAGTAAACACAATGGATCCAAAAACACCAATTGATATGACACACCACACGTATATACAAACAGTACAAATAACCTCACGGATCATGTCTTGGTGGAATTCCTTCGAAGAATTGCAGGACTTACACCAGTACGCCTACAACCCTTCTCAGGTTGACGATTGTAAGTTGTGGAATGTCCGGACACAAACAAGATTGACCAACAATTACAATAATTGGAACTCACACAATTATTCAACACAAACCTATGTACAATCAACACATCAAATGTTGTGGATTCTGGCACGAAAAACTACCCTTGAAGAACTGTAGGACTTACAGCAATACGCCTACATTCCTTCTCAGGTTGATGATCCAAGTGGAAGTCGTCCGGACACATTCAGAATTACTAACAGCTAGATGACAGATGATATCAATTCAGTATATACAATATGAACTTATGTACAAAATCACACACCAAGCACATTGGACTGCTCATTGATGCGCTACCCTTTGAAGAATTGTAGGACTTACAGCAGTACGCCTACAACCCTTCTCAGGTTGACGCCCTAGGTTGGAAAATCGTCGCAGAGTTCATTTGCTGACTTCCCTCTATCAGCTATATCCTCAAATCTGAACGGTAACAAGCTCATGTCATTGTATCGTAGAATATAGATGACGAACAAACACACGACGTATCTGGTCAACCAAGCGTAGATACAGAGTAATTTACACCAAAGATAATAGCATTCAAATAGTAACTTGAAACTAGAAATGCCTTTATTCATGCAAGTCAATTTAACAATTACTCCCTCGTTTACACTTGGCTTATCCTCTCTAAACTGAGCAATATCTTTCGTCCTTTCAAAAGCACCAATACTCTCAGAGTCATTGCACAAGATACTTGAGTTGATGGGCGTCTTTTTCATTGTGGATGACAGCACCAACGACGACTGATTGATATCAGTTGATGAAGTTAGCGGTGGATCAAAAGCTGTTGTTGCTCGACTTTCAGAAATTTGTCTACCTGCAAGACCACCACCACTGCTGTCTTTTACTATCAGCTCAGGTTTAGCACTAGCATCTGATGATAGATGGACTCCATGCTGATCAATCACACTGACGGTCTCACAAGTATGCATGCCTTCTGCAACTGCATCTGCATTTATTTCTACTTCACGTTCAAGTTCTACAGAACCTTTATTTAACTTAGCGGTAGTAGGCATTCCCTCCATTTCATCATGATCAACCAAAGACAAATCTGCACTATCATGATCATTATCACGAATATTCACTTTACCGTCAACTTCATCATTTTCAAACTCTTTAATAACAGAAGTAGACAGTTTTGGTTCCTCCTCACAAATCCTTACAGGTTCTATATCTTCACTCTGAATAGTAATACCCTGTAAACTTGTGGAGTCAGAACTGCACTCTGAGACTGCAACTCTATTCTGTGACACTCTATTCAACAATGGCTTACCAGTTGCAACTGCGGACTCCTTGACCGCACCGTTATCGTCACACAATTCGGAGTCTGGCCTGGAGTTTACATTTAGCTTACCACTGAACTTGCTCACTGGTTCACAGTTCACCTTTGTATGCACTTCTTGCAAACGTGTAAAACACAACCGTGCTTGTCTTGCATCTTGTAACTTATCTGTTGAGGATGTACTACGAAACCTGTTACACTCACTAAGTTTATATGCATTACTAGACATCATGGAGCC